ACAGTAACATTTTGTTGGCACTCTGTGGAGGAAACTCTGCCTACAAATTCCAGTTCTTCATTAGCAGAGCCTGGTGTGAGATCATGGCACCACTCCATGTTCAAAGTTTGGGTTAAACACTTTGAGGTTTAGATACAATTTGTTAAATTGTTTGTACCCTACTTCACAGAATTCAAAGAAAGGTTTGGTTGTTATTGTAAAGGGAGCATGGCAAGAATTTATTATTGATTCTAACGTAAAACAACAGTCATCACAAAAGCTGTCATCAGCACTTAACGAGTCACACCTACCTAACACCAGTGCAAGGTCAAGGGAAAGCAGGCTTCAAGGTCATTTAATGTTTATTGTTACGGAAGAAACATTATCCTCATCAAAGGTCCTCTGAATTCACATCCCCCTCCTTCCCTAAGTTTTGGGTGGAGTTGTGGTTTGTTGAGAAGTCAGGAGAAAATTGACCTGTGTTTAGAATGTAATTGAGAAAACCACAGAATGTGTGAAAAAGTGCCTCCAGGCGTTGAGTAGACAAATGGGAATTGTTGTGGTATCACAGCGGAAACTACTTTGAGATTGTCTTCTTCTGTAGGGCAAATGTCCCGCAATCGAAACTTAATTGTTATAGGATGTTCAGTGTTTATAAGTATGGGGTCAACAATGTGTGGTTTATGAAAGAGCTACTTATACACTGAATGATTGACTAGGTCAGGTGGTAGCTGTTCTCATGTGGGAGATCACTTGTTGCATTGGATCTCCATCATGGAGTTCACACCATCATGTCAAAATGTCATCTCAGAATTGCCCATTTCAATGGGTCCTTACACCTTTTACTCCCGACACCAAAGATTCAGTTTCAATTCCCAACAAGGTTATACAATGTGTTAATATTATTTTATTGTCCTCCAAATTATGGCTTCAATAATGCTGATACTGGTGTAATACTATACTCACTCACTGAAAGTAACATTGATTAAACTTTTTGTGTGGAACTGTCTATAACATTGTTATTGACTTTACCTCAAAGAAATATTGAGAGGATGGGTGGTGCTGTAATTTGATATGCAGAGTTGCATCCCTTAGTCATGCCAGAATCCTGTGATGGGTGGTGCTGTAATTTGATATGCAGAGTTGCATCCCTTAGTCATGCCAGAATCCTGTGACCATGGGTTTGAATCTATGATTCACCTGATTATGTTTCTAGGTTTGGCAGTATCATGGGTTTCATGGGTTTTGCCAAAGTGATAATTAAGCACCTCGCTAATACCAGCATCACTTCAGTCTTTCCTCACACATCAAGCTGAAATACTCTGATATACCGTATTCAACTATTAGAAATAGGGGGCCCTTATTAGAATAAAATTTTGATAAAAAAAAACAGAGTTGAAAGATTGTAAATTTCGTGGTTTATGCTGACAGCCTGAAATGATACAAAAGAAAAGTCTGTGCATATTATACATGACAGATATATTTTTCCAGAATTAAATTGCCCATAATTAAGGATGCATATAATGCACGAGTGAGTTTTATACACGAATAAATACGTCTTGTGTACATTGATCAATCAGAAGGGGTGCAAATTGGGATTGTTCACGAACCAATTAGCAAATATCAGCATGGGCACTTATTAAAGTAGGATGCTTATTACGTTGAATACGGTAACTGAAATAATGTCCAAAGTGGTGTTCCATCAAACTTACTCAAAGTGACATTTATCAAAACTGTATATTCTTAAGCCTTATTCTTCTCTTATTGTTGTAGTCCCATCAACTTCAAAATAACATTGTTGGTGTATAAAAAGATGAAGAAACTGCTTTGTGTTTGACTTCATCATCGCTAATTAGGGGCCACCTAGAGATCTTGAGGAGGCTTAAGGAGGGATACTTGGCAATGACCCAGTAAGATCTTGCCCCATACATGATAGTATCTTATATCAAAGAGAAGGTCCTGGATACCCTTTTGCACAATGAATAATTATTCAGTGATGTGATCGTTACTGTTGTGCTTTGAATAGATATTGTTGATATCGGCCCTCATGGTGTACGTGGCGTACAGAACATGGATGTAACACGGAATGTGTGGTTCTGGGTAGAAGATAAGATGTGGCATAGATGTGGCAAATATGAAACTATTGTACAAGTAACCCTCCAGATAAAGCCTCTATTCTATGCTGCAGGCTTTGAGAGGTGGAAGGGCTTATTGATAAAGGCTAGACAGCCTCTCCTGTCATTTGAAGATTTTGGGCGAGAATATTTGAAAGGGAGATCCTGTGCCAGCTATTTGTTTTAGGTCTTAAAAGAACCACAATTAAACCATTATGATGTCATGTGATTGTTTTTGCAGTTGATTCAGAGACAGGAATTCACTGGCATTTCTGAACCTGCATTTTAAACAAGTAAAACTGATGCTTGAGGTCATTATGCAAAATTATAGATCAGTTATATATATCAACCATAACATGGTTAAGTCAGAGAAAACACTTGAATCTGTTGATTCTGAAAATAGAACATATTCTCGTGATTTCTCCATCATGGATTATCATTTTATGCAATCTGAATATTACCTGATGCTTTATCGTCTATTTACTTAGATTTAACCACAATTAATTCCTAGATAAGTAATTGTTTCAAACTTTATAGCCATTGTTTTGTAACAAGACCACAAGTTTTGTATCCTAATTTGACTAAACAAACTGTGAAATCTTTTATAACATAACTTATATGCCTATTTTTATCATCTACACTGTTATTTAATAATATAAGATAGCTATGCGATAAATCACAAAGAACAATGAAGAACGAAGTGTGGTTTATTTCACGATAAAACATTGTACTGTTATTTAATAATATTCCACAGTCATGGGGCAGGACTATGTTCCTATAATCATAGACGGACAGTTATTTGAAACATCCATATCTTTAAAAAGAAAATAATCTCCAAGACAAGTATACATCTGTTTGGACATTGCAACATGATAGATCACTACGCCAGACACGGAAATTGCAACATAATGGTTTCCACCCCAGACAACCTATGTTCGGGTAGTCATTGCCGGCTTCTGTACAAAGATCATCTGACCCATAACGTAAGAAGACTGCGATTTAAAGGAGATTAAATTTCACTTCAAAAAGAAAATGGTGTCTCTACAGCGTAATGCCTGAAGATCCATGCCTCTTTAACTTTGTCAGTGTGCCCTCCGTACTGGCGACCAGACTGGACCGGCATTGTCCCCAAGTTCCATTACACCAAAGGGCGGACTAGTGTCTTCGCACATGATAAGCCATTATTTACGTTATCAACAACATGTAATTTCGCTTACAGTCTGACTCGACAGCTACTTATTACAGAATGGCTAGACTTGCCTTTGTCATTGACAATGCTTGTAGAGGATGTTCGCTTCCGAAGTTTTGCCTCTAGATTACAAGGTCCTCGGGATTTCCTTTACAAAAAAATCTATGTTGAGGACTCAGAGATTCAGTGTTATTTACCTCTTCATCAAGATTTTGCAATAAAGCTAATCTTGTTCTGACACTTGTGTTTAGTGTCAGGGTAGCAATGAATTGCTTGCTAACAGAAACTCAAGCCGTTTAAAATTATTTTAAGAAAGGTCCTTATGTAATATAATAGGCCATATGAATAGAGCGGTTTATCCTTTTGAGAAGAAATTTGATGGTTTGAATAATAGATCAAGTGTGTATTTAAGGTCGAAGCCTTTGTAGTTTGTTCAAAGGATCATCATTCAACAGGAACAGGTTTTTTGTCAGTGAATATTTTAGGCTTTTTTATGTCAACACATGCAATCATAAACATGCAAATATAGAAATTGAAATAGGTTTGGAAATACATTGTGTGGGGATTTGTCATGCACTCGATCTTGTTTATATATTATGTATAGGTATAACATTACGGAGAGCCATCTACAGAGGCCACACAGAGTAGGGTAGACTTTCTCCAAGTCTCCTCAATAGTCTGTAGAAAGTTCTTTTGAAAAATTGTATGATAGAAAATCAACAAAGTACAATAGGAATATTGTAGTGTTATTTTAGATTTGTTGTGTAGAAGTTTGATCTTTTTAATTTCTCAAACTTGTTTTAAAGTAAATATGTGATATATTTATTTTGTCCAAGCCTCCTGTTATAGTCTGCAGAAAGTTCTTTAATAAAGTGTATGATAGAAAATAAACATTGTACAATTGGAATATTGTGTTATTTTAGATTTGTTGTTTAATAGTCTGATGTTTTTAATGTTCTCAAACAAGTTTTTAAAGTAAATATGTGATATATTGCTAGTTATTGTTCTGTCCTTTGACTGTAGGTTTTTATTTGACATGAATGAGTAATATGATCAATTCATAATATGTCTGAAATACTGCTGACTTGACTTTAAATTTAACTCACTCAGATATACACTGTAAAGGATTCAGAAATGAGTGCAAACAATACCATGATCAAGGCTCTCCAGAACATTTTGTTTTCCAGTAGTACCATATTTTCCGGAGTATAATGCTCACCCCCTTCTAGGGGATTCAGTATTTGGGGAAGAGAAAATATTCAAGTATTATGCCCAGAAAAAAACTACATTGTTTCCCTTCAGCGAATTCAGGTAAACTTGGTCAATACAAATTTGAAATTTGAGATAAAATATCCCCAGACATGATGTAGGTGCTTCTCAAGCAGCACCTTCTGTTAACCTGATCAGATGTACAAGACCACTGGTTCACAAACACCTGGTGTCATCACTGGTGTTAAGGCATCCATTCATATCATTTTCACTGCTATTTTGTCTTTTACATCCAATAGAATCTGCATGTTTCATTGGATAATTGAGACTGGTTATTCTCTTCCGTTGATGTTTTGTATTTAAAAAAGTTGGTCCAATTTATGAAAGGGCCATCTCTAATACAAGATATGCTAGTCCAGCCTCGGTGAAGGACGTCCAGTCTCAAGTGCATCTGATGAGGGGTATGAGGATAACAGATCCTTACAAGATTGTTTTTTTGTGTTTTTCAGAGATGGAATCTGAGTTCCAGATCTTCTCCCATGAAGACATCACCGGGTATGTCCAGTTGACGGTGGACATCGATCGCGACCAACTGCTAGTTGGAGCAAGGTAAGGATGACCTAGATGTCAGTGAGTGAGTGAGTGGGTTGGGTTTGACACTGCTTTGAACAAGACCACCTCCGTGGTTTAGTGGTAGAGCGTCCGCCCGGAGAGCGGAAGGTCCGGGGTTCGATCCCCGGCCGTGTCATACCAAAACACGTTAAAAGATGGTACTTGTTGTTACCCTGTCTGGTGCTCGGCATTAAGGGGCTAAAACAAGGACTGGTCGGCTCGGAGTCAGTATACTGTGTATGAGTGGGATATTCATGTTAAAACTGCGGCATGGTATCTCAGTGAGCTAGCACTATAAATCGGCATCAGTCCGGACTAGTACAAGCAGCCACACACACACACACGTGCATGCACGTCGCTATATAAGTGCAATAAACTTGGACGCGACGTTAAACCCCATTTCCCCTCACCTGCTTTGAACAATATTCCAGTTATTTCACAGCGTGTCAGCTTAATATGGGAGGAAAGTCTGAAGTGATGCAGGTCTCAGACAATATATAGATGACTGGGCCACCTGTGCCCCAGATGCCCTACATGTAGTTTCAGTAGTTTTTAAGTGGTGTTTAGAAGCTGTAGTTTAACGAAGACAAAGTTGTTTGTGGATTTCATCTTCTTTATTCTTTCAAGTAACAGAATGATTGCTTGCTTGGTAAAGGCTCTAGCATCTGCACCGAAATGTGACATCGAAGGAAAAAAAGACGTCATCAAGATAGAAACCATGGTACTATTGGATTGAAGCTTACTGTGGAACATTGAGTGTTACCATACTAATGAATTAGTATATAGATACTTTGTAGGTTTGTAGCAGCTCTGGGCTATGTAAGGGGTGGTCGGGTATCCTAGTGGCTAAAGCGTTCGCTCGTCATGCCGAGGACTCAGGTTCGATTCCCGACATTGGTCAATGTGTGAAGCCCATTTCTGGTGTCCCCCGCCGTAATGTTGCAGGAATATTGCTAAAAGAGGCATAAAACCAAACTCACTCACTCACTCTGGACTATGTAAGCCTGTGTTAGTAAGGATGAGCTCTAAGACTTTAGGAAATAGGGCCAGAGTATGAGAACACTGCAAGGATGCATCAAATGCTTAGTGATGGACATGTTCCCACAAGCATGTGGTTTTGTCAGGTGTAGGTTTGGCTGTCCAATTAGTGGCTTGTGTGAAATTGTGAGGTTGTTGCTTCTTATGAGCCTAGATTGAAGCTGATCTTGTGACCTGGGTGAGCAGAGGCTTGGTTGAGACATGATCATGCTGTTTTAGCAACATACACCAACAATGGCCTTATTACCACAACATTCCCTTGCTCACTCCCAGTATTGGGGGCACGGATGTCCTAGTCGTCTACGACACCGCGATTCACTGTGCAGAGCTGCATCACTTGGGCACGCTGTGATATAACTGGAATACAGTTAGAAGCGGCGTTAAACCCAACTCACTCACTCACTCACTCACTCACTCACTCACTCACTCACTCACTCACTCACTCACTCACTCACTCACTCACTCACTCACTCACTCACTCACTCACTCACTCACTATAATCCAATACAGCTGCTTATATACTCACCAAACCTCAGACCTGTGTAAATTCATTCCCTGAAGCATTTTCAGGAATCACTTGTATTTCATGGGGTATTCTGGTATTCCCTCCTCTTGTATTCACCCTCCAATCCTTGTGTTCCAGGGGCTGTCTGTTCCAGCTGGCCCTACAGGACCTGGAGATCCTGCACCATATCGCATAGCTTATTCTGTTATTCCCTACCTTGTATTCACCTCCCATCCTTGTGTTCCAGGGGCTGTCTGTTCCATCTGGCACTACAGGACCTGGAGATCCTACACCATATTTCATGGCTTATTCTGTTATTCCCTACCTCGTATCCACCTCCCATCCTTGTGTTCCAGGGGCTGTCTGTTTCAGCTGGCCCTACAGGACCTGGAGATCCTGCACCATATTTCATGGCTTATTCTGTTATTCCCTACCTTGTATTCACCTCCCATCCTTGTGTTCCAGGGGCTGTCTGTTCCAGCTGTCCCTACAGGACCTGGAGATCCTACACCAGGCTGAGTGGAAGTCAGACAACCTTACAAGAGATGTGTGTATTGCCAAGGGCCAGCCTTCCCAGTATTGTCACAACTTTGTGAGAGTTCTTCTACTTCACAAGGACAAGGTGTTCACATGCGGGACCAACGCCTACAAGCCGGAGTGTACATGGAGAAATGTGAGTTCCTCTGCCTTCCCCTCCATAAGGAGCAGTTACTAGAGCTGGGACGAGTCCAAATTTACTACCCGGGTACCCGACCCTACCCGAGTTCCTGCTCAAGTTGGCAACAAAATGTCTGATTGGGAATTGTTTTACAGGAGCCCTGGCAAAAACTACAAAGATACATGAATAAAATGATCTGATCTTGCATACACTGAAGTTGACAGAAGGTTTATCTTTACTCAAATGTAAAAAAGTCAGAGGTAAAGCGTGCATAGTTAGAAAGAATTGCAAACATTATCAACTTGTAATGTAACCATGGAGTTTTATTGTTATTGTCATCAAACAATATATCACATGACTACCATGGATCCGGGTAGTCCTGTCGGTATTCCTACTGAGGACCCACCCCACCCGAGTACCCGAGTTACCTGTCCCAGCCTTGGCAGTTCAAACATCTCAGTGATTGAAAACACTAGTACAAAGCATAGATATACAGTAAGTTCCACTGACTCACTCCCTTACTCTTACAGGCCAGCTCCCTGTCTGAAGTGGAGCAGACAATCAATGGCCAGGCCAAGTGCCCGTACAACCCATACCAGAATGCAACAGCGTTGATGACACCTACTGGGGATCTGTATACCGCCACTGTCATCGACATCACTGCCAGGGATCCTGTCATCAACAGAGACCTTGGACCTTCACAACATCTGCGAACAATGCAGAGAAATTCTAAATGGCTCAATGGTAAGATGTCGGTTGGATGTATTTTATCCCAAAATGTCATTTAAACCACTCCAAAAACGTTATGGACTTCCAATTCTTTCACATCACTATAGTCTATCTGTCATGACATTAACTATAGTAATATGAACGAATCGGGTGGTCCTTAACTTTTTTTGAGTAGTATATGTTTTCCTATGATGACAATTTAAAGATATTACATTTCGCAATATGAATTAATTTTCCTTTTGAAAGTATTTGGGATAATATACAGTAAACTACGGTTATAACGAACACGTTTATAACGAACTGACGGATATAACGAACTTACTTTTTTGGTCCCGACTGTTTGCTGTAGTTATGCTGTATATACGCGTATAACGAACTACGGTTATAACGAACTAAAATTAGTAGTCCCTTTGAGTTTGTAATAACCGTACTTTACTGTAGTTTAAAATCATTTTGGCGTTTTAGGATTGGCGAGTCACAATTAATGGAACACAAATGATATTCCAAATAACACAGTTGTAATTTGGGAATGGTTAGCCAAAATAATGGTCTACTGTGGCAGTAACAGCACTGACAGGTTACCACCTTGGAACTGAACCTTTGAGTCGTGAAGAATTAAAATGCTCAGGATATCAACCACTAGTATGTCTTCTCCAAACCATATCACAATTCCAAGCAACCACGTTATGAAGAGAAAGTATGTTCAAGCTGTGTATTTCCTGTTTTGCTGTTGACAGTCTCTCGTTCATTTGAAACTGGATGAAAAACATTTCAGTTAAACATTTGAAAATATTATTATACTGAGTATTATTTTTGAAAAGTCAAGAGGATGTGTGAATCTATAAGAGGAATTTTCCTTTGTCCAATAAAAGTAAAGGACTATCAGCAATATGGGAGTTATTTTAATTGTACTATGCGTAAATGTTTTTTGTAGGACAATCAATAACTTGTGGAAAATATTAATATTGTTTTAATATTAGTTCTTTACGTGTCAAGGTTTTCTGTATTCTAAATAACATATTATCTTTCCTTGGGTAGATGAATAAGTTTGGTATATTTTGCTGTATACCAAGACAAAAAGGTCAGTTGACTAGTCATTTTGAAAATATACCTCCATCAAGAATGGTTCTGCATGGCCAGGGAGAATGAGAACATTGTACCGGTACCATCCATCGTACTCACATTCCTGCGACTTCGGATGTTGGTCAGTTTGGTAGTCAGGTTACTCAGTTGCAGCTACAGGAAGTAAACCCTCCAGGAGAGGTCACTTTCAGGAACATTACGCTGATAATATGCAATTATTTTCCATAGAAAGTTGAATGAACTTGTCTTCCTGTTCAAGAGAGGAAGTTTTCTGTGGTGACCATTGTGGTGTTGGAGGTTCCAAGCATCCTTGGTTTAAAATAATGAATTACTGTATTCTGTGACCTCTCTGTTGTCCTGACATACGAAACGTTCTGTTCTTTAACGGTGAAGAGTTCATTGAGTGGAACCTCAGCACTTGAGATTTTATTAGAATTTACATAGACTTAGTCTGTCTTACAGACCCTGATAAAAAAAATATATATCAAATACAGCCCATGCAAGTCTGAAAATGAAGAGAGTCTCTGGGCTCCCTTTTATTATATTTTTATTAAGATGATTGACCAACTGTTTTTTTCTGTACGATATGTTCATTTCAGAGGCTAGATGTTAGTCTAACATAGACTCTCTGTTTATATTTATAATGTTTTTAAATTGTCATCAGAATTCGTCAAAATTTAGTAAATCTCACACAAATAGTTTCTATTCTTTAATCATAGATTGTTGAAGTGTAAATTTAAAGCCTTAAATGAAGATTAGACTCAGGCCATGTGGAAGTCCAGGCATATTTAATTGAACTCTTTAAAACACCACCTTCCCTGTCTGTTTGTTCGTATGATGTGTACGAACCTCACAGTTAATAAATTCCCTAATTACACACAGACACTGTCTCTGTTTCACACATGATATTAATTACAATGTCTAGGAACTTGGCAGAAAATGGGAACAGACAGTGGTGAATAGTCCCCCTGTGTGGTTAATAACTTATAAACAATATCTAAAAAATACACAACATGTCTGACCACCAATGTCTTCTCTCTCTCACCCACTTCCACACACACACACACACACTAAGATTCAGTGTGAATGTCAGAAGCAGTAACAACAAGAATGATATACTATGTGGCACGAGGTGATATCCATGATATATGCCATACCTGACATGCACGTTGTATCAATCATAGAATGTTCTACATGGTTTGTATTAACACCATGACACTGATGTGTCTGCAGATAACTATTTCATGTAATATATGTGAAACATACCCCACTGATTGCTGGCATATGTATTGTATGGCATGTTTGGGGTATATGTATATTGCTTAATTGATCACTTCCAACTTTTCTGGGCGTTTATTTTTTTTATGACTTAATATAAGGAAAACTAATAAAAATAATATAGATGTACAGTAAACTATGTTTATAAGTAACACGCTTATAACAACCTAACGGATATAACAAACTGTTTTTTTAGTCCCGTCCATTTGCTGTATATATGCTGTACATATATGCTTATAACGAACTACAGCTATAACAAATTAAAATAAGTGGTCCCTTTGAGTTCGTTATAACCATAGTTTACTATAATGATATGAGTGATATAGTTTTTATTTTATTGATGTTTAAGGTTAAATATCTTGAAGATTATCTTTGGTTCTTTTAATAAATTTATTATGAGACCAAGGTGCTTTAATGAAAAATAGACCATCTAGATCAAGTACCTTGGGATTTGTTTTAATGAGACAAGTAGTCCGTACAGTAGTATCTAGGTTTTTGTTTTTTTCTTTTTCCATGGATGTTCATTATTGAACTTCGTGAAATCAATCATCCAATTTGGGACACGTTAATCTTTCTTCAGGCAAAACCTACGAGTCAAATATGAATCCGATATTTTTGTAAGGGTTTTTCCTTGATAGATAAGCTTTTAGAGTTGTGGAGGCATTTTGATTCCGAAGTGTTAATGCCTTGCTAGAAATGAACCTTCAACCCCTGCATACAAAACTTTTACCCCTCAAGAATTCTGACATTTGTCTAAAAGCATTCTATACATGCTTACATGGCAGGATCCCACTCAGGGAGGTTCTCAAGGTGTTGTCCATTTAGGCCGTCTTCAAGCCTGGACAGTAATGGCCGACATGGGGTCATTTGTTTATGTCCAACACATGCAGGACATCGAGTCATCTCTCACGAACACAAGAGCAATTGTAGAAAGAATTTGTTTGTTTTTGCCTGCAGTATGTTGTAGATATCATGTCAATTACAATAATGGTAGCGCCATTTATTTCAATCATGGCGGAGATCATGTATTTCCTGCCCTGTGTTGGAATGATGGCTGGAATTGATAGGGGTCAACGGTTGTTTCAATAACTCTTACCGTGTCATGTCAGACAGTCCATCTAAATGTCACCCACAGAACCTTGCCACGTGGCATTTCCATCAAAATCAAAACTATTATGTGATAATATTTCCGTAATGTTAACGTTTTATTGGCATGAAGAATTATCTATTGTAAAATTGGTCTGTTTTGTTTTTTAATATTTCAAAAATCTATATTTAAGCTATATGTAACATAAGAAAACATACAACTTTATGGATAACTTCTGGTTTATTGCATATAACGATGCTTCGATGTAGATTCTTACATCGATATCAAGCTGGAGTGACTACAACCAAGTGATTAGAAGTATATATGCATGACATGTTCTGATAAACAGCAGATTAACATTGATTGCTTATCACAACATATCATGCATATATACCTCTCATCACTTGGTTGTCACTTTAGCTTGATAATGGCAGGCAAAGTGATTCTACAATCATTAATATTATTTTATTAGTATTAGCTACACAACTTCTTTACAATTTAATGCAAGTTTCTATGAGGTTTAACTAATTGTTAATTGACAATTATAATGTCTAATAATTGCCATGATATGTACCTTCAGACACAAAAATAAACTCATTTTGTTAAACTCTCTGAAAATGTTCTGACATTTTTCAGTTTGACATAAACCCGCCCCAACCTTGATTGTCCATTAGAGTGTCTCGTTATTTCGTATAATCACAAACATGGCTACATGATGGACTGGTCAAGCCATATACTACCTCAGCGTAAACTAAGTGGGCAGTAGGGATAATAGGAATGGTGTTTATTCAATAAAACCCAGATCATAAATATCCGAGTGTGACACGAATTGACCAGTAGTCACCGAGAGTGGTGTACAACAAGGATGCCTTCTCCTTTTATTGGTTTCAAGTACATGTTTGGTTTTGTCTGACAAGCCACTTAAATCAGATTGTTTATGTTTCATGCCCCATCTGGAGTCTATTGTCAGTCAAATTTATTATTGTCGATAAGAATTTTGATTGTTAAAGCTACAGTTTAATTGTGTGAGCAAATGTACACACTGCAGGAGATAACTGTTTTGATATTGATACTTGTATATATGTTGATTTTAAGGTTTAATTATGAAACTGTTGTTGAATTGAGTTTTTACTGGTAGGTGTTGTCTAAAATTGCAATTAAATTTTAAATTTCATTCAAATTTTTGTTTTAATCATGCTTTTTATTTTATTTTTGAATTGAATTTTGTGAAACTTTGTCATGCTTTATCTTGACTTTGTGTAGCATAAATATCAAATATGGTACACACCTTTTAATTTTAATGAATAGCAAGGTTTTGAACTTGCTTAAAAAACTTTTTTGGACTTTCATTTTGACAAGAATACTTAAAAATTACTAAGTGGCCCAGAAATAGAACTAAATTTTCAACAACAGTTTTTCACTTTGTTTTAAAACATAGCAATTAGTAAAAATCTCTTTATTATGATAAAACATTGGCCTAGAAAATATTCAAACATGGCCAAAGACCCTTTAGAAGTTCTCAAGAACTTAGTCTGTGCATGAACAGGGCTATGTTTGATGAACTCATCAGTGATGAATGGGGCAAGGTGACACCTAGGTATATCCATGGGATTACATTTTCACACGTAAATGTCAAGGGAAGATAACTCATATCTTCCGGCATCCTAATTGATAATGGTCAGAGACACAGGTACATTGTGATCAGTATAAGCATCCCTTAAGACAGGCACTCTTTTAAACTGACGTCTCACAAGACAAAAATGACACCGTAGTAAATAGCTTTCTCCGAAACATGGGACTTATGTCAATATGAAATATTTCCCATCAGTTTTGGATTAATTAGATGACCGATCATTTCACGGTGTATGTATATGTTTCGTCAATTTAAGCGACAGAGTCACTTTCGGCTGTCTGTCAAACGGGGTTCCTTGTCAGCGAAGTTGATGTCTCTTTCAGTCCCTGGGGCCAATTGAGCTAATGACAGGCTGTGTAATATATGCCCGGGGCATTGGGTAATCAGCTTGTTAAACTGTTTTCAATTCATTACAGCTGTTTCAAGCAGCTAGGTTTTTGGTGTCATCTCGTTTGTATCTTGTCGCAGATCAAAGGATTTGTTTTATCATTAGATTAATGACACATTTGTATCACAAGTTCAGTGACAAAGACACATTGTTTAGTCTTGTTGACAAATTTGATAGATTTTAATCATAAATGTCTTCATGACTTTGATGTTTAAAGATGAAGTGAGGAATTCTTTTGTTAATAATAGCGTAATAAGGACAACCTAATACATCTTTGATGAAACATAACATGTGTGTCTAAGAAATTGATATTGTCTATTTTTATCGTATATGTTCTTATTTTTTTTAATATGTTAAAAATTCTTATGATCATGAATTTTAACGTGGTGAATAGTTTTCTGGCATGTATGGTCGCCAAACAGGAAGATTAAACCATTTAGACTTTAATCAATCCGGTCACACAAACTGGGGACTAGGTTCTGGGTAATGGGCAATCCCGACATGTTTCGTCCAAGTCCACGCCACTTTCTCAGTCTAATATTTAAAGTTTATGATGTAAACATACAACGTCAACACCAATGAATAATCATTTGCCGAAACAAATTTGATTGGGCATAAAAGGCAAAATAGTGGTGAAACTATATAAATTGATCACTGAAAATTAGTGATGACGCCAGGTGCTTTCAAAAGAGTAAAAGCCGACTATGCTTGTCGTAAGGGTCGAGTAACAGGATCGGGTGGTCAGGCTCCCTGACTTGGTTGATGCATGTTATTGGTCCAAATTGCGTGGATCGATGCTCATGATGTCAATCACTGGATTGTCTGGTCCAGACTCAATTATTTACAGACCGCCGTCACATGGCTGGAATATTGCTGAGTGTGGCGTTAAACAACAAACCAATCAAATCAAAAGAGTATACAAAGATGCTTACACATTTTCCATCAAATATGTAGTTTTCTCGTATTCATCTGTTCCATGAAACATGCAGCACTGCTCTTGTACTGAATTGTAACATTTCTATAAAAGGATGTATCCCCATAATACAGTCTTATATCAAACACACTCTACATCTCGGGGCACCTGCTTATGTGTTCCGACTTCAGATGGTCCTGCTTAAGCAGGGATTTATGGTGATTGTGTGTACTGTAGGCGGTAAGGTGATGCTAACGGTAATTGGCCTTTGTTTCAGACAGTTACAGGTGAAACATTTGCCATTTGTATAATATTTCTGTGCATAGGACCTACAAGGGTTATCTAACAGCTGAGGGTTATCTAACAGTGACAGTTTTCCCGGGGGGGCCAAGACCCTCTCCTTTGTTCTACAGAAAAGTGGTCAAATGTTAATATTTCATTTCTAATGTTATGATTTAAGTTGATCTTCTCTAGTATATAATATTATGATCTATATTGTAATATATTAAGGAAAGCACTGATAGAGTGAGATCTGTGGAAAGTCTAGGTTATGATAAAGGAAAGTGTTGATAGAGTGGGATCTGTGGAAAGTCTAGGTTATAATAAAGGAAAGCACTGATTAAGTGGGATCTGTGGAAAGTCTAGGTTATAATAAAGGAAAGCATTGATGAAGTGGGATCTGAGGAAAGCCTAGGTTATAATAAAGGAAAGCATTGATTAAGTGAGATCTGTAGAAAGTCTAGGTTATAATAAAGGAAAGCATTGATTAAGTGGGATCTGTGGAAAGTCTAGGTTATAATAAAGGAAAGCATTGATGAAGTGGAATCTGTGGAATGTCTAGGTTATAATAAAGGAAAGCATTGATGAAGTGGAATCTGTGGAAAGTCTAGGTTATAATAAAGGAAAGCATTGATGAAGTGGAATCTGTGGAATGTCTAGGTTATGGTAAAGGAAAGCACTGATTAAGTGGGATCTGAGGAAAGTGTAGTTTATGCTTTAAAGCAATCATGCCTTTGATGGCTGAGTGGAGTGGGTGCAAGTTTTATTTCCAGAAAGATAAATTAATTCTGAAGTGTATGATAATTTTAGCATGTCATCATTTCTGTATCATTTGAGATCCCAAAAGTCGAATAAAATGTAAATACATTAGCATACTCAGGTATAAGTTCAATACTTAAGACTCGAAAAAAGAGTCTGTCTAGTCATTCTGTCTGCAGCATGAGGTATAGCTGCATCATTTAGATTCCAAATATATAAGTAATATTTCACATGGGGATGGCAGATACGGTTTAGGTACAGGTTACCTGTTGAGAATAAAGATACTTTCTCACAAACTCGTCAAACACAAATATAAGACGTGTAAGAAAAAGTCAGCGATTACGAAAACTATAATTGACGTAATTACCTTTAGGGCTACCCAGTTTTTATTGCCTTTAAAAGGCTGCCTGTTGGAAGTTACTGACAGTGCTACAATTAGTGTGGGATGTATTCTCCAGGGAGAGCTATGAAGCTCGTAATCTGATTAGCCAGTCTTTTGCAATTCCTCTAAACAGAGTCATTGCCTGGGGACAGAGTAGTTTGTTAGCTGGCGGAAAAGATAGAAATCCTATAAATGAGGAAATTTATTTTTGCCAAAGATGAGTCAATTTTGTAAAGGATTTTTTTTAAGGAAGAACCATGCTGGGGGATGAGCTGAAAATTTTAAATCTTTGTAGTTTGTTCAAGAGTGTGAATGGAAAGTTATTAAGTAATTAATTAACTTCACAGTTGGGACTCCACAATTTGTTTCAGGCTGTCGATTCTGAAAAAGAAATTGTCTGTCTGATAAATTCTTTCCAGAAAAAAAGTATGCTGTAAACTTGTGAGTGTTTGATCAATAGAACTGGCATGTTGTTTGTAATAACATATCATAGCTGCACAGAATATTTCATTTTATTTCAGAGCCCAACTTTATATCTTCCTATGATATAGGAGAATTTGTATATTTTTTCTTCCGAGAAACTGCAGTCGAGTTCATCAACTGTGGCAAAGTAAGTGAACATTCTTTGATTATAGCTGATTATTGCACTGATATACTGTGTGTGTGTGTGTGTGTGTGTGTGTGTGTGTGTGTGTGTGTGTGTGTGTGTGTGTGTGTGTGTGTGTGTGTGTGTGTGTGTGTGTGTGTGTCTTTCTGTCTGTGTGTATCTGTGTCTCTGCCTGTTTGTGTGTGTATGTGTATGTTGGTGTCTGTCTGTCTGTCTGTCTGTGTCTGTATCTGTATCTGTGTCTGTTTGCCTGTTTGTGTGTGTGTCCGTCTGAGTGTGTGTGTCTCTGTGTGTGTGTGTGTGTGTGTGTGTGTGTGTGTCTTTCTGTCTGTGTGTATCTGTGTCTCTGCCTGTTTGTGTGTGTATGTGTATGTAGGTGTGTGTGTCTGTCTGTCTGTGTGTAACTGTGTGTCTGTTTGCCTGTTTGGATGTGTGTATGTTGGTGTGTGTGTCTGTGTGTCTGTCTGTATGTGTGTATCTGTGTCTGTTTGCCTGTTTGTGTGTGTGTGTCAGTGTGTCCATCTGTGTGTGTGTGTGTCTGTCTGTCTGTGTGTATCTGTGTCTCTGCCTGTTTGTGTGTGTGTCAGTGTGTCCATCTGAGTGTCTGTGTGTGTGTGTCTGTGTGTGTGTGTCTGTCTGTCTGTGTGTATCTGTGTCTCTGCCTGTTTGTGTGTGTGTCAGTGTGTCCGTCTGAGTGTCTGTGTGTGTGTGTCTGTTTGTGTCTGTGTCTGTCTGTCTTGTGTGTATCTGTGTCTCTGCCTGTTTGTGTGTGTGTCAGTGTGTCCGTCTGAGTGTCTGTGTGTCTGTTTGTGTCTGTGTCTGTCTGTCTGTGTGTATCTGTGTCTCTGCCTGTTTGTGTGTGTGTCAGTGTGTCCGTCTGTGTGTGTGTGTCTGTTTGTGTCTGTGTCTGTCTGTCTGTGTGTATCTGTGTCTCTGCCTGTTTGTGTGTGTGTCAGTGTGTCCATCTGAGTGTTTGTATGTGTCTGTGCCATGTTTATGTGGTATGGTAAATAAAACTTAGGGGTATTGAGTGTGTTGAAAGATCAATGTTGTGTGGACAAGTAAGGGTTCATCAGACAAATATTTGAATTTGTAGACATACATATTAGGTTGCATATTTCAATAATAGGTTGCACTGGTGCATGTTTTATATAGCAAAGTCAAGCCCTGGGAGCTATTAGATACTACTCAAAACAAGTTAAGGATCATCCACAACTGGAAGGCTATGTTACAATACCCACCAGCCATGACAGATTAACTACAGTCACGTGAACAAAATTGGGTGTTCTTAACTTATTTTGAGTAATATACAAACATGCTCTTAATGGAACTGTAATAGAACCCATTATCTCTTGCGACTGATGGTAAGAATGTATTAAATTTCATGTCTTTTGTTTTTCAGAAAACATATTCCCGAGTTGCAAGGGTTTGCAAGGTAAATATACTGAAGGTGATATATAACACAACAGGATTTTAAGATGATAAAAGTACCTGCAAACCAGTTTTTAAGTTTGAGGTAAATGGGGACACTACGATAATTGTTTGTGACAATGTGTTACAGAACTGAAATGACAGGGGTAGCCTCGTGGTTAGAGTACGGACTCAGCACAGTGGAGTCCTGGGTTCGAGTCTCCACCTGGGCTCAACGTGTGATGCACATGCTTGGTGTCCCCTGTGCCAAATGAATACTCATGTGCTACCATATGAATACCCTGGTCAATGGATCAGTGTGCACTTGAATTTCATTCTCAGCTCCCTGGGGAGTATACAACCCAAGCTGCCTCACTCTCCTTACCATCTCATCCTACCAGGGATACGCATTCACTTCTGAGTGAACAGAGGCATTTTTCAAATAAAGTCACTTGCCAAGTGACGGTGGTCAGCTTAAAACTCAACACACTTCTTCACTCTCATGTGGCACAGGATGGCCAAGCTCACCTGGCTGAAATGCAAGAGAGTTTTTGTCCCAGCCTGCTTGTGAAAATTTAGAATTTATACTGATTTGCAGAAAATATTTACATCAATATTGTGAAACTGTCGCTTGTTTTTTCAGACTGACGGAGGAGGGAGGGTCCTTCTAGAGGAGAACTGGACAACATTCTCCAAAGCCAGAATGAATTGCTCAGTACCAGGAAATTTTCCCTTCTATTTTGATGAAATACAGAGTACATTTTTCTCTGAGAAGGAACAACTTCTTTATGCCATCTTTACAACACCATCGTAAGTGTCTGCACTGTCTTTTATCTTAATTTGTTTGTCATTTAACTATTTAACTCATGTGTCTGTGTTGTCTGTATGTCTGCGTCTGCGTCTGTGTCTGTCGTGGTGAGGGGAAATGAACGCTTACTATACCCAAATCACAAAGTAAAATAAATTGTTTAACACATGTATGACATATGAGAAAGGATAAGGGAGATTATCTTTTGCGAAATAACACTATTCAAAGTGTTTTTTAGCTCAATATATTATATCATAACTTCTATTTTGCTTATATCTTAATAGCACATCACATCTTTTGAACTACAGTGAACTATTTTGGTGCATGTGATCAAGGGTAACTAGGGTGTAAGGGAGATAACTCTCATCAAGGAACACAAGGATTTTATGTGTCTGTGATTGGTTAGCAACATGATGTTCAAGAGCTTAAATTCTTTCTGATATAAGTTGGTAGCTTGTTAACGTGATGGCCTAAAATAAATTACACAGTCCTTTGATATCAACTTGTGTAAAACTGTAGTGTGTGAAACATGTATGTAGTAAGCTCTCTGTTGTAGGTACTTCACAATACAATATCGCAATATAAGGGTACAACATTTGATATTCTGGTGGGTTGGGGACATGGTCAGGGATTTACAAAACTAATAATAATAGGCGAGGTGAGATGAAATTATTACACTTATATGGCGACATGCATACACGTGTGTGTAGCTGCCGATTTTATGGTGCTGGCCCACTGAGATATCATGCCACAGTTCAACATGAATATTGTAATAATAATCAATCCTTTTAATGCTCGAAGAAATAATTATTTTTCATCATGGTTTAATCCTAAGCATATAGCGTTCACTAGACATGCTGTATTTTCTGTAAAATGATGTTCTGTTGGAAAAAAAGAGGATTTCTGGCTCCTCCTTTTTGTCAGAAGAAAATGTTTTGTTCTGAAGCGTTCACTCTAAAAATAATCTGTCTAAAAGAAATCACCCCACCAACCCCCCCGTCTGAAGCGAAGATACTGAGAATCATAACTGTGAAATTGTCAAATCGAGGCATTATCTACCACTCAAAAGAAGTTAAAGAATATTCTTTCAATATTGGCATGAAATAGCTTCTGATGTCTTATCTACCTCTTAGCACTTCAAGCTGTGGGCATACTTTGGACTATTTTTATGCAATATCACACTAAACCTGATATACTTTTTCTTTATCGGTGCCCTCGATTGTTTAATTTCAGGAATAGTTTAGCGGGGTCGGCTGTGTGTGTGTACAACATGTCCGCGTTCCAGAGGACGTTCATTGGGCCGTTCAAGTACCAGGAGAACGCTAAGTCTGCCTGGATGAAGCATGAAAACCCCACTCCATTAGAGAGGGTAGGTGTCGAACAAGCAGACTTATAATCAGTGTTTGCTCTTTTGATCGCTTTAAAAATAGCATTGGTTCATACTTTTTTCCTTCAGTGCTTAAAGAGGATATTTCTTTACTCAAGTATATACACCTGCTGCACCAAATTATGATTTGATTTATAAATTCCACAAAAGACATTTGCAGGCATTAAGACACCTGTGACCAAGTTAGGGTTAGATAAGATGACACAAACGTTTCATGTTATATAAAAAACTATTTCCTGGCAGTTTGCGTCAGGAAACATATATCATACCTGAGTAGTACCATCTATAGCTGCTGTGTGGTGGGCCCTGTTCCACAAAGCAATCTGAGCCCTAAGGTGATCGTAACTCCTGCACTTTAACATGGGCTTACGACAGTCGTAGCCCTAAGGTGATCGTAACTCCCATACTTTAACATGGGCTTACGACAGTCGTAGCCCTAAGGTGATCGTAACTCCCATACTTTAACATGGGCTTACGACAGTCGTAGCCCTAAGGTGATCGTAACTCCCGCACTTTAACATGGGCTTACGACAGTTAGCCCTAAGGTGATCGTAACTCCCATACTTTAACATGGGCTTACGACAGTCGTAGCCCTAAGGTGATCGTAACTCCCATACTTTAACATGGGCTTACGACAGTTAACCCCTAAGGCAATCATAACACCCATACTTTAACATGGGCTTATGACAGTCGTAGCCCTAAGGTGATCGTAACTCCCAAACTTTAACATTGGCTTACAACAGTTGTAGCATTAAGCGATCATAATTCCCATACTTTAACATGGACTTACGACAGTTAGCCCTAAGGCAATCATAACACCCATACTTTAACATGGGCTTACAACAGTCGTAGCATTAAGCGATCATAATTCCCATACTTTAACATAGTCAAATCACTTAGATTGGTTTGTAGAACTGGGCCCTGGTCCCTGGTTTGAATCCTTGGAATTTGCCTTGATTATGACCCATTGGTTTGTTAGCACCATACAAACACTCATGGGTGGCAGATGTCTACGACTTGCTTCACGCTAGGCTTTCAGGTCATGTGTATGTGACATGACCAGATATAACAGAAATACGACCTAAGCGTAAAACTCACCACCCTGCATGGAGACAGTCATGTTTGTTCCCGCAATGCTTCTATATCACTTCCATCTTGAATTACTTATGGCAGAATTTGTTGTGTCCCTTAGGCAAGCCAAAAACCTGTGTTCATGTGTTCGAATTTCCATTTTTACAAGTGTCAAACGTCTAAGAATGTATTACTTTGGGGTTTCCTTCCATGTCAAGCTATTATTGTGTATCAGTAATACTGTTTAAAGCAGCATTAAACCCAACTCACTCACTCACTCACTCACTCACACAATGTGCTCTGTCATGCCCCAGCCAAGGCAGTGGAAGTAAGGGGCTTTATTTCAGCTATTAATCGCGCACACTGTCATATTACCAAAATACCTTTCAAAGCAGCATTAAACCCAACTCACTCACTCACTTATCACCGATACAATATTTTGTCCATCTGTGTGCAGTGCCCTAGCCAAGGCAGTGGAAGTAAGCGGTCAACAGATACCTCAGCCAGCAAACTAGAGGCGGCCAACATGTACCAGCTGATGGACGATGCCATACAACCCAATACCATTTCCCCGCTGTTCCTCGGGGAGAACGAGAGGTAACTGCCAATGTTGGAGTTTTAATCAGTGATCATAATTGTCTTTTTTTAGATGTAAAGGAAGTCATCAAGCAATACTCAAAGGCCGGAAGATCTAAAGTATCACATGACCTAAATGCATTACAATGTAATTCCCCTTCTGCTCATGTTGTCAGTGTAGTATGCACTACAACACCTTGATTTAAGTATCTGATAAAACATGGACTTACGTATTCGACGTAATAAGCGCCCACGGTGACATTTGCTGATATATTGGCTGGTGAACAATCCCAATTAGCACCCCTTCCGATTGATCAATGTACACAAGACTAATTTGTTTGCATATAATACGCACTCGTGTGCTATATGCAGCCTTAATTATGGGCAATAAAATTCTGGAAAAATATATCTGTTGTACATAAACATTTCAGGCTGTCAGCATAACCATGAAATTTATGTTTCAACTCTGGTTTTTTTTCACCAAAATAATATTCTAATAAGAGCCCCCTATTTCTAATTTTGAGAGCACCCTGGGCGCTTATTACGTCGATTACGGTATGGGTAGGAAAAACCTGCGATGCTTAAAATATGTAAGCCTCGATTTGTTATCAATCAGCATTTGGAATGAGTGCTCGGTGATTACCTTTAGTTGAGGATGAAAGAGTTTGTTTAAATACATGAAGACATGGCTGACAAAGGAAGTAGTGTATAGCAAGACCACACTTTCTTTTTATTTTCTGATTTACTGATCAGAGCTAAACATTTCCGACTTTCCGACTGAATTAAGATAATTCAATTTTGCTCTAATTTACCCAATAGATCTTTTTTAAAGTAATATAAACATAATGATCATAGTCTCTAACTAAGAGGGACAATAAACTCAGCTTTGATAGAAATGGATGCTGGTACTTGCTGCTTATCAGTTGTAAATAATTTCAGTCTTTTTTCTGCTATACACAGCAACAAATTTATACATGTCGATTTGAACAAAATAATTACGAATGCTTAAATTATGAACACACGATGCCATTTAGAAATTGGTCAAATGTAACAAAACCCACATTGCCAGAATGACTGAGTGGGTTAGATTGCTGACTTTGTGTGCTTGCGATTAGGTGCCTCACTCTGATGTGTGGGTTCGAATCCCGGATGGGACTCAACCAAAAAAAACCTACTAGAATCTGTACTTTTCTAAGAAAGTGTTATCCCATCTACAACATTTGCTATAAATGCTTAAAATATTTGACGTTTTCACCCACACAAGCTGTTCTTTATAAGAGCAAATGAATGCCTAACTAGACATGCAGTTGAATTGTTTAAATTTGGTAATAACAGGTGGACTCATATTGCGGTGGACTTTGTGTACGGCAAGATGGACCTGTATGAGGTGGTGTTTCTGGCTACAGCCGATGGAAAGATTCGGAAGATGTTCAAGGTTCCTCGCTCCAACAAAACCTGTCTCATTGAGGAGATCAAGATTGTCCCCAACGGGGAACCCAAGCCAGTAAAAGCCATGAAAATCTCTCCAGAATCGGTAAAGTACATTTTAAAAAATCCTTAGTTTTAGAATTCATTGAAAACTTGGTCATTGTGTATGGTTAACCATAGTTTTCTGTAAACTTTGTGTGATCCAGTCTTGAAATGTTCATTCATTGTTGTCATTCTTGTAACAACCACAGTACAGTCTTGCACAATGGTAACAAATGTTTCAGTCGTCTGAGATCAGACACATATTTACGAAAATAAAATTGATATGCCTTGAGATTTAACAACCCAGTAACATAAAACAAAGTTCACATAAAATATTACTTTCCTTTCTGTTATGACAAATCCAGCACTATATTCACTCTAGACTAACGCTTAATCTCCAAAAATACTACGAAATTGAAAATGAAAAGGAGCCCCAGTTAGATGGGCGATTCAGAACCTGTGTATAATCTAGACTTGCTTCATTTAGGGCTATAACATTACAGTAAGGGCTGGGTGGAAGGGAACATAATATGGTTCATGGACTGTGACACAGACTTGATTCAGTGTTATTATTGAAAATATGTTCCTGTTGAATGTTATTATGAAAATGTTTTCATGGTGAATGTTATTACTGAAAATATTTTCATGTTGAATGTGATTATTGAAGATATTTTCATGTTGAATGTCATTGAAAATATGTTCATGTTGAATGTTATTATTGAAGATATGTTCATGTTGAATGTTATTATTGAAGATATTTTCATGTTGAATGTCATTGAAAATATGTTCATGTTGAATGTTATTATTGAAGATATTTTCATGTTGAATGTCATTTTTGAAAATATTTTCATGTATGATGTTATTATTGAAAATGTTTTCATGGTGAATGTTATTATTGAAAATATGTTCCTGTTGAATGTTATTATTGAAAATATGTTCATGTTGATAGTTGTTATTGAAACTATATTGATGGAAGCCATATTTGTTCCCAGGGTGCAATCTTCATCTCCACCCAAGGGAGGGTGATTAAGATCCCTGTTGAAAGATGCAGCCGCTTCACAGACAGCGAGTAAGTCAAAAGTCACGCAAACTACATATTCCTCACCCAGAGGTCATATATTCAAGTGGCTGCATGTTCAATTAAGAATTGACCTTCACTTTGTGTGAGTTCATTGGAGAATGAACCTTCATAGAGTGAGGGCCAAACTGTATGAACGGCGGAGCTTGTGATGACGTTCATACAATGTTTGGCCCTCAATCTATGAAGGTTTATACTCCAATGAACTCCCGCAAAGTGAAAGTCAATTCTTATAAAAAATTTATCACAATTTCTTACCTCAAAGGATGTAGGCCAAGATCAAAGGTGGAAACTTAACAAGGGAAGCCAACAGTTAATTGACCATTTGTCCATTGCTAATCACCTATCAGTGCCTATTATCTGTTGACTTCCCTTGTTAAGTTTCCATCTTTTGTTAACTTATTACTTTTGTTGTTCTTACATGAACATATATATGCTCTCTGCCTCATAGCATTCATTAACCTGATGAAGGAGTTAGCTTATACTCCGAAACGTTGTATTCCTCATAATAAAGAAGTTGACATCCATTAATTCTCACTTCTAATTGCCCTTCAAAGACTTAATATTTCTGGTCTTCTGCATTCAGATATTGCTGGAATATTGCTAAAAGTTTTGTAAAACCATACTCACTTAAGATTGAAGGTCAATATAACCGATTTTGGGGCATTTTCAGTTTGTGTGTGAATTCCATGGATCCTTACTGCGGCTGGGACTCCGTGAACAACACCTGCTCCCGCGCCCCTCATGGAAACCCTCACGAGGTCACCTGGGACCAACACATCGTCTCCTGTCCCATTGTCGAGTATCCAGGTAGGTACACACAGTTGTACTTGAAGTGTCCACAAGGTAACACCAGCCATTAATTGTTGGAGGAGCAGGCCAGCCACTGTCCCATCACATGCTATGATTGAGCAGAGTGTTGATATAGAGATTGTTACATAAGTATGTGTGTCACTCCGATTTTATGAGGGGCGGTCGGGTAGCCTAGTGGTTAAAGCGTTCGCTCGTCACGCTGAAGACCCGGGTTCGATTCCTGACATGGGTACAATGTGTGAAGCCCATTTCTGGTGTCCTCCGCCGTGATATTGCTGGAATATTGCTAAAAGCGGCGTAAAACCATACTCACTCACTCACTCTGATTTTATGACATCTGAATTCTGGCACAATTATTTTTTTTTTTTTTTAAAACATGAATACGTACATACACCTGGAACACAAGTGTAAAAACGTGTGGTGTCACCCTGGGCATGTGATATACCGTATTCGACGTAATAAGCGCCCAGGGCGCACTCAAAATTAGTAATAGGGGGCTCTTATTAGAATATTACTTTGGTGAAAAAAAACAGAGTTAAAGATAAATTTGGTGGTTTATGCTGACAGCCTGAAATGTTTATATACGACAGATATATTTTTCCAGAATGTAATTGCCCATAATTAAGGGTGCATGCAGCACACGAGTGCGTATTATACGTGAAATAATAAGTCTTATGTACATTGATCAATCGGAAGGGGTGCTAAATGAGATTGTTCACTAGCCAATATATAAGCAAATGTCGCCGTGGGCGCTTATTAGAGCGGGGCGCTTATTAGAGCGGGGCGCTTATTACGTCGAATACGGTAGTTCAAATGTGCCTCTGTTCACCCAGCAGGGAATGGGTACCTGATTGTGACGTGGATGTAAAAACCCTCTAGCGCCCATAGGCAGCTTGGGTTGTATACTCCCCAGGGAGTTGAGAATGATAATTGGAATGCAAATGGATCCACTGGTTGGGGAACTAATAAACCACATTTGAGCAGATACTGTACCAGGACACCTGCGGTATATAAATGTATAATAAAAATAAAAATAAAAATAAAAATAAAAATAAAAATAAGATGATCTCCCTTTCTTGGTAACAATAGTGATAAACATCCTGTTTCCCTGTTAACAGCACCTGACCGATATCTAGATCTTAATGAAATATTTGTCAAACATTTATCCTTTTCTGTGTCCCCATTAAAGAGTAACTGACCAATCAGATATTGATTGATTGTAGGAGTATTGATAAACGTTTATTGCCGTGTCCCCAGTAAACACCAACTGGCCCATCACATATCTCTAATTCTTATGGACAGTATTGCTAATGTCACCTTCTGTGTCCTCAGTGAATGGTAAATGGCCAATCAGAACTAGAAGTTATAAACAGTATTGCTAATGTTGCCCTCTGTGTCCCCAGTAAACAGCACCTGGCCAATCAGAATTAGAAGCTGTGGACAGTATTGCTTATGTTGCCTTCTGTGTCCGTAGTGAACGGCAACTGGTCAGACTGGTCAGACTGGAGTCCGTGTGAGCAGGTTGGGGCTGACCAGGCCGGGGAGGACTGTCTGTGTCGCCATAGGAACTGTGATAGTCCCAAACCCTACTATGGTGGGCGTCCGTGCTCTGGAGCCTCCATTGAAGTCACCAACTGTTCAGGTGAGATGTTCGATCTTAGTTTTGTTTTACCGTTTGAATCCCAAAACTTTTGTATCCGAAAAGTGACATATTTCTGTCCTTTCAGTACCTTTCCGAATGAAATCATCTGGACTACCAGATTCACAGATTAATGCATCATTAATTGTATTGAAGATAATGTATTATATGTGGGTATTCTGGATACGAATATAGGTACATGTATATATTGTTGTAAGAGGCGACTAACGGGATCGGGTTACCAGGTTCTGTGACTCGGTTGATGCATGTTATCGTATCCAAATTGTGGGCTCAAAGCTCATGATGTCAATCACTGGATTGTCAGATCCACCTCGATTATTTACAGACTGCCGTCATATAGCTGGAATACTGCTGAGTGCAGGATTAAACTACAATAATCAAACACACAAACAAACAAACAAAACCTTATAATGTACACATGTAGATATTCGAAACCGAATTATTCAGAACTTCTGGACTAGTCATGTTGTGAGTGAGTTGGGTTTAACGCCGCTTTTAACAGTATTCCAGTTATATCTCGGCATGTCAGCTTAATGTGGGAGGAGAGCCCAAAGTGATGCAGGTCTCTTACCACTTTGGTGAAACCCACGAGCACGGGTATGGTGCTGACAAACCTAGAAATATAATAGGGGCAAACCAGGATTCGAACCCACAATCACAGGTTTCTGGCATGCCCAAGGGACGCAACTCTGCACAGCAAATTGCAGCGCCTAAGACGACTGGGCCACTCGTGCCCCCCACTAGTCATGTCGAATCCCATTGGTCTCACTGTATTTTGATTTCCCCAGCAATGCTCTGGCGTACCGTAAGGATAAAAATGCTGACAGTGCACTTTTTAAGTCTTTTTTTCAAGCTGTGTCCCCCTGTGTTTCCAGTTCACGGAGCCTGGACGCCATGGACCCCTTGGTCCAGCTGCTCCAAGACATGCGGCTACTCCATCAAGAAGCGCGAGAGATACTGCAGCAACCCCACCCCTCGACATGGTGGGTTCGGTTGTGAGGGCCGCCATGTTGACAGCCAGCTGTGTTCAGGTCTCCCAGCGTGTAAATGTACGTACTTCATGTGGTGTGGGTCACCCCAGCGGGCCCAGCCCTATTCCACAAAGCAACATCCATGTTATGTCAGTCCTAGGTCAATGTTAAGATGGGGTCTTGATGGGATATACTGTTTAGAAACAAACAATAAAAAAAAATAAGATGAGTCAAATTTTTATTGTAGAAAATTCAAGAAAATGTCTAAAAAGTCTGTTTTGAGTAAATTAAGACTTTACTCTTGTCGTAATCATGCTAATATCTCATAAAAGTTGCATGTAAATGGATCTAATGGCATTAGAAATGTAGTCAGTGTGGGTATGTGAAAAACATGAATTACACTAATGAAGCGAAACCAGAACCAGCTGTTCCCATGTTTCCCTACAATAGATCCGCTTTCGCATAGGGATGATTTCACAATTTAGATTCAACTTGGCAGCTTGTCATGTGTTTTTTTATTGGACCAGCAACAGGTCACTATGTTTTTCCTGACTAAGCCGAAACAATTTGACTACTGACTATATAGACCCCATATTTGACTGACTACTGACTTGTGACGTATATTTGATGTTGTACAAGTGTTTGACAAGTGTTGATTTGTATCTGCTGTTGTCAGTGCCCCCTGTTGATGGCAAGTGGTCCAAGTGGTCCGGGTGGAGTACATGCACGGCCAAGTGTCAGGGCGGCATCCAGACGCGGCGGCGGACATGTGACCAGCCCAAGCTGAGTCGCGGCGGCATCCCTTGCATCGGCAACAAGGAGGAGATGAGGATGTGCAACACCCAGAACTGTGATAGTAAGTGTACCTGCTGATGCAGTAGTGGCCAGGGCAGCAGCAGCAGCATGCCGACACATTCTCATGGCAGATGGCGGAAGGATTACCAATAATGGAAACAAAGACATAGTTAATGACGTCCCAATTTCTCGAAACAAACTTAAGTTTGCTTTGGTAAAGTTTGAGATTTGAGTACAAACTCAGTCAAAACTCAGCAGTTGAGATCGATCATAGTTCTTTTCTTTTTTTTCTTGATAATACAGTTTCTAGTCTTTGATAGGCATTTAGAAGCTGGGAGAAGATGAATACATGACACTTTTTTTTTTATGGATACTAACTTTTTTTTTTCTTTATACAACTCCTTGCTCCTTCATCAGGTGAATGAATATTCTATAATTTCTTATGAATAAGTTTGTTTTAAGAAATGCATTTTGCTGATTTTTCAAAATTCTGAGTAAAAACTCAGACATAAATCAAAACTCACTTAAGATAATCCAGAGAAATCGGGGCCATATTCATTTAAAACTGAGGTCATATATTCATGCTATTAATGTTTGACAGTATAACAAAAACATTTGTTGTCAGGTACATGGACAATAGAATCTGCAGCTTACATACATTCAGCATAGAAATGACTACCGGCAATATATTGCCATCATCAGTATTTGATTAAACTGTTGAAATTTTCCTTGCAGAAGTGGTCAAGCTGACGCCATGGAGCCCCTGGGTGAAGACAAATGAAACTAAGGGAGGATATTTCCAGCAGAGATTTAGGTTTACATGCCAGGCTGAGGTACCAGATCGCAAGATGATTAAATCCAAGTACTCTAAGAGCCAGGCCCGTTTTTGTTTCAACAATGACCGCGGCTGCTACACGCCAGGTGAGCTGAAGAATACGATTACATCCGTAGATACGTTTTCCTCCGTAGATAGAGTGCTCAAAAAGTTCTGTAGAATTAGGAGAAAACTGTTCAAAAAGTACTGCAATTGTCGGACATTGGGGGTGTTCCTGGTGTGTCAGAAGTGCGGCTACGGATGACTAGAGGGGTCCGCTGACGAGATCATGCTAATTCTGCTGTCACTGAGAAGATACCGGAGGAGACCGTCGTACTAACACCACCATTCAACTTTGATTGGCTACAAGATTCATCACAGAGATTCATGGCTTGATTTTGTTAGATTTTAATTTCCATTTTTTTTATAATTTTGCTGGACGTTAACATCAAAATGGAAGGGGAGACCCTTTTTGGGATCATGACAGGAATCGCGGAACACCACCACCATCAAAGCAATGTGTCGCCAAATGCTCAAATCTGAAGAATTCCGAAAAACAGTCTAATCATGTCATGTGATCAACAGATACACCATTGTCCAAATGTTATCAGTGCTATATTCCTTCCAACTGATTATAACAAAGGGACATTTTGTTAAGCAAAGAAAATTATTTCAGTTTTTCACTTGTTAATGCATGTTTTTCACAATGCACAATATCTCACAATCATATTGACATAGTGTCAGTGTACAAATATGTATAAATGAGAAAAAATCCCTTTTTAATATATTCCATCTATATTAGCTCCAGCATAATCACTAGAAGTAAGAAATAAATACAAGAAATCCTCGTGAGAGTGGAATATTATCATGTAAACTGTCCAGCAGATAATTCAAAAATATACAAAGTTGTAAAAGTTGTACAAAATGTAGAAATAGTTGAAAAAATATAGACCAATCACATGTAGTCAAGAAAATAGTGTCAGAAAAACGACAACGGCGGATATGACAGCAAGTAGTTAAAGTCTCGATCAGCGATATTATTCAGTCATAACTTAGGCATCATGGGATATCAACCCCGTTATCTCAATATTACAACCAAATTCTCAGGTCAAGTTTATCAACGACTTTATTAAAAATTCAAACATTTTATTTTAATACACCTAGTACAACCTTTGTATGCATGAAGGGTAAAACACATAAAATATACTGAACAAAAAAAGTTAGGGATCATTAATATTTAGGGGGATGTTTTTATGAAATTGTGTCTTCACAACGAAAAAATATCCCCCAAAATATATGTTCTATAACTTTTTTTGTTAAGTATATTTTCTTTCAGTATACAGCAGGTTTGTGTCAATGGACAAGATTATTAACTTCAATTTGCAGATTAAAAAAAAATTATGGAAAAGAAAGGTAAATTATGTAAAAAGAATACATTTGTGGAAATAGGCCCTTTTTACTGTTGGTTTTATACAAAACTCATAGAAATGTAAATGATTAGGGTTGATGAAATGTTGCCAAGCTGTGACTGCCTCGGAACTATGTGCAATATTCAAGTTGCATTTGTGTATGTCTCGATATTGCCATGCCGCATGCCGAACTAGTGACTTTGTGTGAGGGCATGTACATGTTTGAGTGCATGGTGACATATACCACGCTTTCCAGGACGTAAGCTCACAGATGATCACGGAATCACAGACTTGTGTGTTGCATGTGTAGAGCTGTATGTTTCATACTCAGTGACTATTGGTTGGAGTAGAAGTCACATGGTTCATTCATTGTGTTTGTGACGTTGTGAGGACGTGTGTGACTACTTCACAGTGCAATCCTAAAGCACCAGTTATGGCGTTAATTCTTGTGTCATTTCATTTTTACTTGTGCACCATCACGGACATGTTTGTTTGCGATTTTCACCTTTTCTTTCTTGATGTTTTACAAAATAAGCTACGAAATCTACAACTGTAAAATGTGTTCAGAAATGTTGAAAGAACGAGATCTGAGTTGTGGAGGGACACTCTGAGTTGTAGATTTTACATGACAGTATTGAGGTGTGTGAGCTCCAGTTACTATCACACCTGTATACAACATTGACAACCCAGTGATTTCGATGAAACTTGGTATGGAACCAAAATATTCCATTGGAGTTAAGTGTGGATACAATATTTTATCCATGCATGGAACGGAATACTTTTCAAGAGGAATGTGTAGAAGACTATTCCTGTCACCATGGCAACATTCTGCATACTGGGAATTTCATTGTAAATATCTTCTTACCTAATGGAAGAAATTCAGCGAGTATGTATTTATTATTGAAGTTTGAAACTTACGAACATGTAAATATCTCAAGGTTTCTCTGACGGAGTGTAATGAATGCCACTTTTCTCATGATGTACATGGTTGATATTTATTGTAAACTTGATAATTGAAATGTTGCTATGGTAGTATGATGTGCTGTCACCATGGTTACCTTGAATCGTGGTGCTCTGGTATCCAGATCAGCTGATGATCAGCTGTTACAACACAGTTGTACATAATGTAGCTGCTTTTTGTATAAATGACATCATTTGTGTACATTTACATAAATCTGACGTCACCGTGTGGAGGGAGCGAGCGAGCTGACCAGGGACAAAGTTTCAGTATTTTGTAGACATGTATCCATCGGAGGTACGATATACTGATTTTGGAATTTTCCAAAACCTCTTCTCTTACATGAATATTTTTATGACTCTGAAGGCCGACAATGAGGCTTGTGTGCATGATATTATTGTAGATTTATGTAGAAAATTCTTGCCGAGGACATAACAAATTGCTTGCTTGTTCCTGCTAGTTATGGCGTTAATTCTTGTGTAACCATCATGGATATTTTCTTTCTCGATACTTGACAAAGTGAGCCTTGAAATCTATAACTGTAAAATTTGTTCATAAAATTTGAAAAAACGAGATCTGAGTTGTGTAGAGACACTCCGAGTTGTAGATTTTACATGACAGTATTGAGGTGTGTGAGCTCTGACAACCCAGTGATTTCGATGAAACTTGGTATGGAGCCAAAATATTCCATTGGAGTTAAGACTCTTAAAATAGATTTACAAATTGACAGACTAATGTCGAAGGCCACAGTACACCATGGTACAAACCCTAAATCAAGGTCCTCAATAAGACAAGTTCTCTCTACGAATCCTTGCATGGTTTGTTTGAATAGAGCCTTAATTCTAAAACTAACCCTTTGGGTTTCATCAAAGTGTCAAGTGTCAAATGATCAAATTAACGGTCATGTTGTGATGAACTGAATACTGGTCCAATAATCTTTAGAACGTACTCACTCACCATAGAGTCTATATTTCTATGTTTCATTTTTCGAGAGATCTTTAAAAGTTTTGAGAAAGTGTTTATTGTTTTTTGTGGACACAAGCATCAGAGGAACAAATGATTGATTTGTTGTGGCCTTGTCAATAAACAAATGTTGTCGTCTCCTTTATGCGGAATCTATTTTTCAAGGCACAGTTGGAGACTTGTTGAAGCATGTTTCTGGAACTATGTACTACAGGAATGGCAGGATGAATATGGTGATTTTTGTCCGGAACTATTTTCAGATCTTCTTTAGGCCAGTAACTGATGAAAAAATGCAATATTTTCATACTTTGTCTTTAGTCATGTATTGCAATTGCAATTATACACAGTTTCAGAATGCTCAAACTTTTGTGCACTTTTTAAAGATTTCCTCAAGTCTTCCATGTATTTCTATAAACAAATCACTGTTTGAAGTCATGTGAATGTTTCATCCTATTTAGTTTTATGTATACTACCCAAAATATGTTAAGAACACCCGATTTTGTTCATGTGACTAGAGTTAATCTGTCATGGCTGGTGGGTATTGTAACAGCCTTCCAATTGTGGGTGATCCTTAACTTGTTTTGAGTAGTATAACTCAATGTTCATGTGAGCCAATCAAAAGCATTAACTGCCGTTTTTCAAGTAGCAGCATATTTGTCAAATATCATAATTTGTCTTTTGAATAATTTTGAAATGTTATGCTTACGTTCATGTGAAATCATGTGTCAAATTTTTACAAACACTAAAATCACTGCTTTTCATTCATTTTCAGTTACTTATGTTTTTGTTGATAAAAATTCTTTAAAAGGACATGATCAATAATCTTTAAAAACCCAACATTTCAACGTAAGAAGATTTCAAAGTGTAGGGTTATCGTTATATAATGAAACTGATTTGACTTGACCAATACATATCAAATCAATATTTCAAAAAATTAAAATAAAAAAAATATGTAAATATTGCTGTGTAAATTATATCATAAAGTGTCAGAACCCAGATTTATTTGGTTTAAGATTAATTAAGTATTTTTTGGTTTCTTATCTTTCCAGTGTTTTGTTGTTGTGTTTTCTTTTGTAAATTTGTGTTTTTGTTATGTTTCTATGTGTACAAATTGTTAAAAGGTAAAAGAAACATGGAAAATATAACTTGAAAAACTGGTTATAGTATCGATATTCAAAGAAATAATTACTGTTATTTTATTTTAATGTTTCTCTATTTTGAATTAAGACATAAATTGTATATACTTTTGATTATTAATGGATTTTACAGTTATGCAAACTGTAAACATTTACAGATTTATTTTACACTTAACTTTGAATACCTCAACTTGATAGTATTTCAATTTGACAAGGGTAAGAAAAATGTTGCTGTCATAATAATTGTATGCATAATAGATTCGTCATTTCAATTGTAATATTTGCAAACTTTGTCCTGTGTGTTATATGTGCAGAGGATAAGATTTGTATGATTTAAAGAAACACACCTACTCCAGTGTGTAAAACATTGTCTTTATTCTACATTCTATAGAGTATACATGTTGTTAAACAACAAATGAAAATATGCAAAAAAGCTCAAAATTTGTGAATGATAGGGCACAAAACAGAGTCTTATTTTCATATTTTGAATAAAATGCAACACTATTCATTAACAAAGTTTATCATATATTCTCTATATCCCAATCTGCAATACCTCTCAGTGTATTTTCAATTCAATGCTATACAAATTATTCTATGAGAAAATATTTCATAATACGATTATATTTTTTTTATAATTTTTGACACATTTCCTCCCAATCTGCACTTTTCATCAATGAATATTGTATTTCTCAGTTATAGACAACAGTCCTCATCTCTTATAGAAAACATTTATTTATTGTCCTTTATTTATTGTCAATTATGTTTTTTATGTCACACAATAGTCCCTGTTTGTAAATAACCATTATTGTTACGCCTACAATAAACATTTTCTGAAAATATTATGTGTTGTTTTTGTTACTGCATGGAACGTGTGATGCACTGGCTTGTAGATAGTCAATGTGTCTTCGGGGAAATAGCACATCATGAACTATGAACACAAAACTGATAGGCCAACCAAACAAGATGACAGAGTATTTCACAGTATTCATGTCACGTCTACCACCATGGATGTATGTAGTATGGAATCACTAACAGCAGAAATATGAAGTCTGCACCAAGCAAACCATTACTGCTTGTGCATAACCAGAATAGAACCCAGTACCAACACACACAGTGATTTCATATAAATGCTGACCTACATGCTCATGTATAAGACTAAGGAAATATTTAGGACCCATTACATCATTTCACGAGAACAGGACATACTGACAGAAACACAAGTTATAGACAGGCGGGATATTTAAGAGAGAGAGAGAGAGAGACTACTTGACAATATACATGAAAGTGGGGGGGCGAGAGAGAGAGAGACTACTTGACAATATACATGAAAGTGGGGGGGCGAGAGAGAGAGAGACTACTTGACAATATACATGAAAGTGGGGGGAATGGGTGGGTTGGTGGGGGGTTGTAATGTTGGGGTGAGCTCACCAATTTAAGGATTACTCAGAGCTCCAGGAACTTCATGTTACCATTGTTACATGACCATTACATCATTTCACAGTTCATGAAAACAGGACGTAGTACTGACAGAAACACAGCAAGTCATAGACAGGCGGGATATTTAAGAGAGAGAGAGAGAGAGAATCTACTTGACAATATACATGACAGTAGGGGAATGGGGGAGTGGGTGGGGGGTTGTAATGTTGGGGTGAGCTCACCAATTTAAGGATTAGTCAGAGCTCCAGGAACTTCATGTTACCATTGTTACATCACCATTACATCATTTCACAGTTCATGAAAACAGGACGTAGTACTGACAGAAACACAAGTCATAGACAGGCGGGATATTTAAGAGAAAGAGAGGGAGAGAGAATCTACTTGACAATATACATGACAGTAGGGGAATGGGGGAGTGGGTGGGGGGTTGTAATGTTGGGGTGAGCTCACCAATCTAAGGATTACTCAGAGATCCAGGAACTTCATGTTACCATAGTTACCACATAGGGATAAGAGACACAAAACATTTCAGACACATCAAAACTGTTTAGAAAATGATAGTTTCTGTATATTTCTATCAAAGAAGCAATTATAATATCAGCAACATGAATACTGTATATATGTCATTAACAGAGACTAACAGCCTTTGTCTTCTATCTCTATTGAATGTTCACTATTGACATATCGATGTATACTTAACCTATATATAGACTAGTTTGACTATGTATTCATAATGTGTGACACATCATTCACAAAACTTTGTTAGTTTGTTTGTATAGAAATACTCCTCAATGGATTATTTTAGTACACACAAAACTTGAAAATGACTTTGAAACCACAAATGTTACGCCGAGTTCTAAAATCTCCATTTTCAAAGTTTCAAATAATTGAAAGACTTTGATTCATGAATTCAAGATGCTTTGAGAAGTTTTTCAGGAAGTTGTAAGGATATGCATGGACCTGTAAAGTCGTATGTAACACAGGTAAGACCAACAAATAGACCGTTTTGTTTCAATAACATATTAACTCTATTTACTAAACTAACTCCGGAAAACCCACCACACCATGACGAGAGACAATATCATATTAATAGCTAACTCCAGGACCAAAGACATTAATTCCTGGTCATGCAAAGACTGTTTAAATGAAAGGACGCAACACGCTCTTCTATAGCTGAAGCAAAGACGTATATAGAATATATATATATATATATATATATATTGTATATACGTCCGTGGCTGAAGTATTCATAAATCCTATTGATGATTAGTTTAAGGGAATGGTTGAAAAGTTTTATGTCGGATTATAAAGTTTAGAGACATTCCCCTACTACCTCCCTAAGGTTAAAGTTGAATCCTCAAAGATTTTAAGAAAGAAAAGTTTGGTACTTAAGAGTACAAGAAGACATGAAACTGTTATGGATAACAACTTAATTGTTTGTGACAATGTTTTAGGCCTTCTTCTTGCCCCTTCGTCAGGTAAATGTTTATTTGGTCCGATGGTAACCTTGCACACCTGTTTAACCCCCCCACACACACATACCTTCCCACACCCCACCCCTCCAAATCCTTCATCCAACTTTTTCAATTTGTAAACAGTAAATAGCCAGTGTCTTGAGAGTGGAAAGTACAGTCAATCAGCTTCAGTGGCAGAGAGATTAGTGATGTCATTTGATTGTGTCATGTAGCCAATGACATCACAATGGCCTTCAAAGCATTGTGGGGGCGGTCGGGTAGCCTTGTGGTTAAAGCGTTCGCTCACACGCCGAAGACCCAGGTTCAAATCCCGACATGGGTACAATGTGTGAAGCCCATTTCTGGTGTCCCCCGCCGTGATATTGCTGGAATATTGCAAAAAGCGGCGTAAAACCAAACTCATTCACTCACTCAAAGCATTGTGATGCAATTTCCTTATAGCAATATCTCCTAGGATAATATCGATTGATCTTTCCCAAGCAATATCTCTTATGAAAGCCAATCTGGATGATAAAATCTTTTATCCGACATCAAACTGTTCAACGGTGCCTGACCATTATGTATGTGCTATTCTGCATCATGTGTGTGGTGAGTTTTCCTGTAGTCCCTCCTGTATCAGGGCTTGTGCATGCTCCCTAGGGTCAACGGTTGTTCCCATCAGTGAAAATGGTTACATTTTATTTTAAGGAGCCTACTGATGGCCCAGTTGTCTTAGGCGCTGCACTTTGCCATCACAAGTTGTTTCCCTTAGGTATGCAAGGATCCACTCCTCATAACCTTGAATCTCAGTTTTGTTTCTAGGTTTGTGGGCACCATGGGTTTCACCTGGGCAACATTGAAACCTTCAGGTTTCACTCCCACATCAAGCTAACATGCCCTGAGATCACTGAAATACTGTTTAAGGGGTTAAACCCACAATGAATCACTTCAATTTGATTACAGAATGGTTTAGGGGTTAATATATGCTTTGAATTCTTTAGGAAAGCTATTTCTTCTCTGAGGCATATCTAAAATGTTCTGGCAAATCTCTCCAAACTTTACTGAACATGAGAACTAGATATCTTACGACCAGAGTCTTAGATGCAGGATAACTTTCAACAATGGATCATTAAATAAAAATGTCTCACATCGTCGTTCCTTATAATCCTTTGTTTCTACTAACCATTGCATCGTTCTTGAATAATATATAATGACATTGGAATGTTTGTGCATGATATTGCTAATTAACAACAAAAATTACAAAGTTACAAATTTTCTTGTTGCAGCTTACCACCATCCTTGATTATCTAGTGCAGTATATCTCCATTGTGTTATGATAAATGACCTAGACTCATTCACTACCATAGCTTCATTTTGAGCCATGTTCATCTCTCACGATGCCATAAATAGCCATCCAATCAAATTACACTCAAGGGGAGAGAACCCTTTGTTAAGATAGCGATATGAGAGATGGAACTGTGACATCATTTCAAAAATGAGGGCTGGTGGGGTAGCCTTGTGGTGCATGCGTTTGCTCATCACACCGTTGACCAGGGTTCAATTCCCCACGTGGGTACAATGTGTGAATCCCATTTCTGGTGTGATATTGCTGGAATATTCTGAAAAGCAGCATAAAAAGAAACTCCCTCACTTCCAAAACGAAGCTTTGGTGGCAATGAGTCCCTGTTATTTGATGGAAATGGAAATGGAATGGAGATGAACTACCCTGGATAATTGAGGATGGTTCGCCACTTAGTGAAACTCTTCAAAAAGAAGTTACAGTTAAATGTGTACAAGTTGTCCTCATCTTATACGGCTCCTCCCGTCTCCCCAGCCAACCTAATAGCTTCAATCCCCCCACCCCTCCCCCAGCTTATTGTTTAATATTGACCACTAATTGTTGTTGTGACTAGTACTGAACTGTTTGTTTCTGGGGGAAGGATATGACATATATTTCATGACAGTTGAATGTAAACATCAACTTATTTTAACAAAATCTATTCTTAGATTCACTAAAAATATTAAGTCTTTGAAAGGCAATTAGAAGTGATACACATGAGAAAGAGAATTTATGGATGTCAACTGTTATGTTAAATGTTATCTGGTTAAATCTAGTATTATTTATGTAAAAACAATCAATAAAACAATGATTGATTATTAATCATATTTTTAAAATGATCATGTTTCTGACGATGCAATGTGATGGAATTGATGCACCAAAATGATTTTGTTGGTATTGATATTAATATACTGAACAAAAAAGTTAGGGATCATTAATATTTTGAGAATTGTTTTAATGAAATTTTGTGTTTATTCAACACTACAAAAAATATCCCCTTCAAATATTCATGTTTCCCAAATGTTTTTGTTTTTGAAAGTATATATTATTACTCGTGAATATATGACAATATTTCATTGAAAACATCTGTATCAGTTCTGGTAAAAAATTACCAAGAATGTTCATTTTAGATGTTACTTTAAGATGTAAATTTAAATTTGTCTATCAAACATTAATCCTCAAATTAGATTTGATGAAGCAGTTGATAAAGTTCATTTGTTTTAGGTTTCCATGGTAACAGAATACTTTGAAATAAAACATTTGATTAAAATGAAAAGCATAATAACAAACATGTCCTCAAAATCATTTTTTTAATATCCCTAATTATTGCGTCAGTCATCAATATTGCTATTATGATGAAATAACATTGTCATGTTTCAGACTCGCCCCTCTTGGTTCATGAGGACGGTGGGTGGTCCGAGTGGGCGGAGTGGTCCCCTTGTGATCAGGACTGTGAGGGCGGAATGCAGTGGCGACGTAGGTCATGTGACAACCCTCCACCAATTGGGCGGGGGAAGGACTGTGCTGGGCACGGGATGGAGGGGAGACAATGCAACACACATTCTTGTTATGGTGAGGATCTTGATGTAGCTGGAGTAGGGCATGGAGTCATCCCAGAGATGACGTCATTATCTTACGGACCGTGCTATGTGAGATTGAACCCCCTGACTTCAGTCAGCGTTCGAAATACCTGCCTTCCCGACCGTCCGAGACGGGTTGATTTCTAAACTCTTCAATTTTCAATTTTTAAATCCCCCTGCCCGACGGTCGGGTTATATTTCATAGGTGAAAATATTCTAAATAATTCCCGATGATAAGCATTAATTCAGATGTAAAGATAAATGATAAAATGTAACCAAAAAGAAACCCCATTAGCTTTTAGACAACCTAACATTTAGCGATGCGCTTATGCTACAAGCAATCAGTTTTCATATTTTTAATTAAATTATCCTGAGAAACATATGATTATAGTGGGCAGGCAGGTTTTGGTCAGGGCTGGCAAGTATTTCAACTAGCCAGGCCTGTGGTCTGGCTGAAATTTTTGGGAGTTCATACCCTGCTTCTGTGGGAAAACAGTGGGATGCAATACTGAACTTGATATGTGAGGTTGTAGGTTTGATGCAAGCCATGGAAGTTTCAGGTGAAACCAGTCAAAAATCAACATTAGATGCATATTAGGGGCTGTTTATACAGTTCAACTGTAAAACCTAGGTCTCTGTAAATTGCATCACTTCAGACTTTCCCCCATGTCTATATAGAATAATTGAAATACTGTGGTATTAAACCTAACTCACTCACTCATGCAACCTGTTATTGCTCCCCAGGTGAGTGGTCCTGCTGGTCTAGCTTTGGCCCATGTTCGGTGACTTGTGGTACTGGCATCAAGGCCCGCACCAGGACCTGCTTATCTCCAGGCCTGGACAGGAAGACCCCGCTCGGATGTGTTGGCAGTGCCAAGGACTTGCAGATGTGTGAGATGGAGCCTTGTGAAGGTGAGGGACTCTGGGTAATTACTGGGATAATTGTGAGATGGAGCCGTGTGTAGGTGAGGGACTCTGGGTAATTACTGTGATGTGTGTGAGATGGAGCTGTGTGAAGGTAAGGGACTTTGGGTAATTACTGGGATGTGGGTGAGATGGAGCCATGTGAAGGTAAGGAACTCTGGGTAATTACTGGGATGTGTGTGAGATGGAGCTGTGTGTAGGTCAGGGACTCTGGGTAATTACTGGGATGTGTGTGAGATGGAGCCGTGTGTAGGTGAGGGACGCTGGGTAATTACTGGGATGTGGGTGAGATGGAGCCATGTGAAGGTAAGGGACTCTGGGTAATTACTGGGATGATTGTGAGATGGAGCCGTGTGTAGGTGAGGGACTCTGGGTAATTACTGGGATGTGGGTGAGATGGAGCCATGTGAAGGTAAGGAACTCTGGGTAATTACTGGGATGTGTGTGAGATGGCGCTGTGTGTAGGTGAGGGACTCTGGGTAATTACTGTGATGTGTGTGAGATGGAGCCGTGTGAAGGTAAGGGACTCTGGGTAATTACTGGAGATCTGTGTGAGATGGATGGGACTCTGGGTAATTACTGGAGATCTGTGTGAGATGGAGGGGACTCTGGGTAATTACTGGAGATCTGTGCGAGATGGAGGGGACTCTGGGTACTTACTGTGATGTGTGAGATGGAGGGGACTCTGGGTAATTACTGTGATGTGCGAGATGGAGGGGACTCTGGGTAATTACTGTGATGTGTGAGATGGAGGGGACTCTGGGTAATTACTGTGATGTGTGAGATGGAGGGGACTCTGGGTAATTACTGGAGATCTGTGTGAGATGGAGGGGACTCTGGGTAATTACTGGAGATCTGTGTGAGATGGAGGGGACTCTGGGTAATTACTGGAGATCTGTGTGAGATGGAGGGGACTCTGGGTAATTACTGGAGATCTGTGCGAGATGGAGGGGACTCTGGGTAATTACTGGAGATCTGTGTGAGATGGAGGGGACTCTGGGTAATTACTGGAGATCTGTGTGAGATGGAGGGGACTCTGGGTAATTACTGGAGATCTGTGTGAGATGGAGGGGACTCTGGGTAATTACTGGAGATCTGTGTGAGATGGAGGGGACTCTGGGTAATTACTGGAGATCTGTGTGAGATGGAGGGGACTCTGGGTAATTACTGTGATGTGTGAGATGGAGGGGACTCTGGGTAATTACTGGAGATCTGTGTGAGATGGAGGGGACTCTGGGTAATTACTGGAGATCTGTGTGAGATGGAGGGGACTCTGGGTAATTACTGGAGATCTGTGTGAGATGGAGGGGACTCTGGGTAATTACTGTGATGTGTGAGATGGAGGGGACTCTGGGTAATTACTGTGATGTGCGAGATGGAGGGGACTCTGGGTAATTACTGTGATGTGCGAGATGGAGGGGACTCTGGGTAATTACTGTGATGTGTGTGAGATGGAGGGGACTCTGGGTAATTACTGTGATGTGTGAGATGGAGGGGACTCTGGGTAATTACTGTGATGTGTGAGATGGAGGGGACTCTGGGTAATTACTGTGATGTGTGAGATGGAGGGGACTCTGGGTAATTACTGGAGATCTGTGTGAGATGGAGGGGACTCTGGGTAATTACTGGAGATCTGTGTGAGATGGAGGGGACTCTGGGTAATTACTGTGATGTGTGAGATGGAGGGGACTCTGGGTAATTACTGGAGATCTGTGCGAGATGGAGGGGACTCTGGGTAATTACTGTGATGTGTGAGATGGAGGGGACTCTGGGTAATTACTGGAGATCTGTGTGAGATGGAGGGGAATCTGGGTAATTACTGGAGATCTGTGTGAGATGGAGGGGACTCTGGGTAATTACTGGAGATCTGTGTGAGATGGAGGGGACTCTGGGTAATTACTGGAGATCTGTGTGAGATGGAGGGGACTCTGGGTAATTACTGGAGATCTGTGTGAGATGGAGGGGACTCTGGGTAATTACTGGAGATCTGTGTGAGATGGAGGGGACTCTGGGTAATTACTGTGATGTGTGTGAGATGGAGGGGACTCTGGGTAATTACTGTGATGTGTGTGAGATGGAGGGGACTCTGGGTAATTACTGTGATGTGTGTGAGATGGAGGGGACTCTGGGTAATTACTGTGATGTGTGTGAGATGGAGGGGACTCTGGGTAATTACTGTGATGTGTGTGAGATGGAGGGGACTCTGGGTAATTACTGGAGATCTGTGTGAGATGGAGGGGACTCTGGGTAATTACTGGAGATCTGTGTGAGATGGAGGGGACTCTGGGTAATTACTGGAGATCTGTGTGAGATGGAGGGGACTCTGGGTAATTACTGTGATGTGTGTGAGATGGAGGGGACTCTGGGTAATTACTGTGATGTGTGTGAGATGGAGGGGACTGGGTAATTACTGTGATGTGTGTGAGATGGAGGGGACTCTGGGTAATTACTGGAGATCTGTGTGAGATTGAGGGGAATCTGGGTAATTACTGGGATGTGTGTGAAATGGAGACGGTTTGAGATTGAGGGGTTTCCAGGTAATTACTTACAAGGAAGAATGTGTGAGAAGGAGCCCTCTGAGGAGTTTGGGTTACAGCCATCAGTGATGTGAGGCTACAACTTGGTACAGTGTGTGATCCTTGGTACTGTGTGTGATCCTTGATACAGTGTGTGATCCTTGCTTCATGGCCTGAATGTTTTGTCAGATACGCACCCCATGAGAGGAGACTGGTCAGCTTGGACAGAGTGTTCCCCCAGCAATGTCCAGTACCGACATCACATCTGTGACCAGCACCAGCTGGGACCAGACTGCAGTAAGGATATCATACAGCTCCAGCACTGTACACACAAGATACATGGTTAGTGGTAACATACACAGTTAGTGGTAACAAACGTTGTTATGAGGCAGGGTTTTACGTGGCGCACAAATGTTGAGAATGGATGCAAAAAAAGAATACACTGTGTCCCGAGGGATGCGGAATGATATTCATTGTACCTACAGCACATCAAGCGCAGTTATGGGTGTCTCTCATTTCATCCATGAACCATAACCACTGTCCACACGATCACTGAGTCATTCCAGGCTCTAAAGTAATTACCGTATTTGACGTAATAAGCGCCCAGGGCGCTCTCAAAATTAGAAATAGGGGGCTCTTATTAGAATATTGTTTTGTGAAAAAAAACAGAGTTGAAAGATAAATTTCATGGTTATGCTGACAGCCTGAAATGTTTACATACGACAGATATATTTTTCAAGAATTTAATTGCCCACAATTAAGGGTGGTATAACACACGAGTGCATATTATACACGAATAAATAAGTCTTGTGTACATTGAACATGGACCCCCACATTTGTAAATCAAGTTAAAACTTAAAATGTGAAACGCAGAGGTTAAACCAGAAATACTTCACACACAACTAAATTGTGAAGTATATAAATGTCAACACAAAGTTTATCCATGAATTATATTGAAGCACACAATTTTAGGTTTACAATCAAACAGGCAATACAGTGGCTCAAATAACAGTGGTAACAAGCCCTTAAATAATTGTTAGTGCATTCATAAATGTTCGGAATAGTGTCTCTGTTGAAAGTCTTGAGAGCTGGTGTTTGTTCTTGAATCTGGTGCAGTGTTGGAAGCCAGAATTCATTGTTTCCAAATAGGTATTCAAACCACACTTTGCAAGTAGATTAGAAACAAGCCAGGTTAAAAAAGACCTTGAATCACCCTCTGGTTCAGCAAGCCTTCTAGAAACTGTGCAGTCCCAAAACTCTTGATTGATCAAGCCTGTATTAGACAAGGGCAGATAACTCTAATTATACACCAAAGTGTTTTTTCAAAACAGTTCAAGTCAACAATTGATAATTTTTACTAGATTATCAAACGTTTGCTGCCAATGACAATTACTATGAAAAATTTACCCCAAAAATACTTATACATTATAACATGTTTTGTGGAAAACATACATGGTTTATATTCCACTGAAATCCAGAAACTACTCTTACATTCTGTAACTTAGAAATCTAATTTCCCCATACAAGCAGATCAACTTAATCATCAAGAATAAAAGGCCTCCTGTGTCACTTTAACAAAATAAGGGATGACCCTTCTGATACATATTTAATTTGATGTCAACATTTTCATTGTGTTCCAGTGATGGAGGCGAGTGTCGGAGCTAGTGTTGCCGCCAACCATCAGTTCTCTCGGCGCGTGGGTGGGGTATACCTTGTGATCGTGGCTGTGATTGCGTTCATCATCGGTGGCCTGGCATCGGTAGGGCTCTTCATGTACATCCAGCGGTACCGAGACCAGAAACACCAGGATGAGGCTGAACTATGGGGGGTCTCCAAGAATGAGATCAACATGAAACCAATCAACACTGCAGAATCCTCCCAAATTAGTCTGGATTTCCAGAACTTGCCGCCATTAGTGTCACCTAATAATCGGTTAAGTCTGAATACTTTTGGGTCCTTGAAAAAGGAAAAGATGACTGTGAATGAGGCAAGTACCCTGAAACGGAATTCCATGTGGACCAACTTGTCTCTGAATGAATTATAGACACAACTGTATGTGATGTCAGAAAGTGAACCAGGCGTATTTTTTAAATGTCATCAATACTCATGTTTTTTGTACACTACGTTCTTCTAGCGTACATTAGACCAATTTGCGTTGTAGGGGTGACGTGTGTATTTTTGGTCAGTGTTTTACTCACAGAAGTCAAAAGACGATACTCTTCATAGGAACCTTTTGGAAACCCTACCAATGCCTGACACTGGCTAAAGCTGTACATCTGCCTGGAGTGGGGCGGTCAGGTAGTCTAGTGGTTAAAGCGTTCACTCATCATGCTGAGGACCTGGGTTCGATTCCCGACATGGGTATAATGTGTGAAGCCCATTTCTGGTGTCCCCTGCTGTTATATTGCTGGAATATACTCACTCACTCTGCCTGGAGTGTGGAAGGTCGGGGTTGATACCTGGCCGTGTGATACCAAAACACATTAAAAGACGGTACTGTTATCCTGCCTGGCACTCAGCATTACGGGGATAAAACATGGACTGGTCAGCTCTGAATCAGTATACTGTGTCTGGAGTATCCATGATAAACTGGGGGCGGTCGGGTAGCCCAGTGGTAAAAGCGTTAGCTCGTCACGCCGAAGACCCGGGTTCGATTCCCGACATGGGTACAATGTGTGAAGCCCATTTCTGGTGTCCCCCGCCGTGATATTGCTGGAATATTGCTAAAAGCGGCGTAAAACCATACTCACTCACTCACCATGATAAACTGCGGTGTCGTTTCAAAGTGGGCTAGCACAATAAAACCGGACTAGTACAAGCAGCCACACACAAGTGTGCACGTCGCTATATAAGTGCAATAATCTTGAACGTTAAGCCCCATTTCACCTCACCACAAATGCTGCACGTGATTTAAAGCAAGAAACATTTGCCGTTTGTACTACGTAAAGTTTGTAATCTGATCGCTCATTGGTCTGAGCACTCACTAGTTTCCCTTTCAGGCTGTGACTTGATTGGTTTAAAAATTATTGACCCAATGTATTCACGAGTGTTGGAGGAATGTGGTGTATAGGAACCTGTGAAGTATTGACAATGTTTGCTAATATTTTATGCAAGTCGCTACAACCATTTGTTTCTGTGAATGTGACGATTATATGTGTGATCAGTGTTTTGTATCAAGAACTCTTTAAGCCCTTGTGCTTCTCACTAAATAAACTGTTTACTAATTTGTATGTGTTTACAGTGAAGCTGCATACCTTACACTGATTGGATGCTAGTTGCTTATATTTTCAAAACTAATATTAATACATTTTTGAATATCAATAACCAATCATGTTTTATTAATAGAAATAAATGTAAGCTGCTTTTAATGTGTGGGGGTGTTTTTCACACAATAAGATGCTGAAATGTTATGTATGGCTGGGAAATGTAAATGTTTCAAGTACTGATATAATTTTGTGTTGTTATCAGACTGTCGTGTTTTTCTGATATGTTTTACAGGAGTGATGTCAACATGCGCCATAGCAACTGATGCTTATTTATAATATATGATTCATACGTTTATAGCTTGCGTAACACCCAATGAGTCTGTTAGCTGATGAGTGATACTCTGGGTTCCTAGTGTATCTTAAGTGTGTATTTACTGTACGTTGTATTTATTGATTTCTATTTATATCTTCATGTTCTGTACTATATATTAATTGTCAATAGATATGATTGGTCAAATTGGTTGCTGCTCAGCTATGTATACCACTCAAAAGAAGTAAAAGAACACTTTCAATAGTCATGGCTGGTGGGTATTGCAACACCGCCTTCCATTTGTGGGCGTTCCTTAACTTGTTTTGAGCAGTATATATAGCTTTATTCACCATGTATCATGTTATCGCCCCATTAATATCACATATATATATATATATATATATATATATATAAATGTCTTGTAAGAGTCCCACCATGTAATATTCTAGGGGGCCTGTAATTTGTTTTGAAATTATTTTTTGACTGCATCAAGACGTACAATTTATTTCTGTGATTTTTTTTTTAACAACTCATTTTTTCTCAGGACATGTCCAGCTATCAAATATATTTATAAAACCTGAAGCAAATTATATTTTTTTCAGTATTTACTGCAAAATATGAGAAATTCAAAACTCTCCCAGGCTTAACACCCGAGAATATAAAGTGGTTCCCCTAAATGTGTAAGACATGATCTCATTATACACCGGTACATGTACCGGCAGACGGATTAAGGAATACAGGCTCTACACCCAGGAATGTTAAATGGTCCCCGTAAATGTGTAAAACATGAACTTGTTATACATGTTCTTGTGCCATTTCTTCACTTAATGATATTTAAAGCTACGGTTTAAGATACTGGAGCAAGTTCATCATAAGTACATGTACCGGCATTCAGATTAAGGAATACAGGCTCTACACCCAGGAATGTTAAATGGTCCCTGTAAATGTGTAAAACATGAACTTGTTATACATGTTCTTGTGCCATTTCTTCACTTAATGATATTTAAAGCTACGGTTTAAGATACTGGAGCAAGTTCATCATAAGTACATGTACCGGCAGACGGATTAAGGAATACAGGCTCTACACCCAGGAATGTTAAATGGTCCCCGTAAATGTGTAAAACATGAACTTGTTATACATGTTCTTGTGCCATTTCTTCACTTAATGATATTTAAAGCTACGGTTTAAGATACTGGAGCAAGTTCATCATAAGTACATGTACCGGCAGACGGATTAAGGAATACAGGCTCTACACCCAGGAATGTTAAATGGTCCCCGTAAATGTGTAAAACATGAACTTGTTATACATGTTCTTGTGCCATTTCTTCACTTAATGATATTTAAAGCTACGGTTTAAGATACTGGAGCAAGTTCATCATAAGTACATGTACCGGCAGACGGATTAAGGAATACAGGCTCTACACCCAGGAATGTTAAATGGTCCCCGTAAATGTGTAAAACATGAACTTGTTATACATGTTCTTGTGCCATTTCTTCACTTAATGATATTTAAAGCTACGGTTTAAGATACTGGAGCAAGTTCATCATAAGTACATGTACCGGCAGACAGATTAAGGAATACAGGTTCTACACCCAGGAATGTTAAATGGTCCCCGTAAATGTGTAAAACATGAACTTGTTATACATGTTCTTGTGCCATTTCTTCACTTAATGATATTTAAAGCTACGGTTTAAGATACTGGAGCAAGTTCATCATAAGTACATGTACCGGCAGACGGATTAAGGAATACAGGCTCTACACCCAGGAATGTTAAATGGTCCCCGTAAATGTGTAAAACATGAACTTGTTATACATGTTCTTGTGCCATTTCTTCACTTAATGATATTTAAAGCTACGGTTTAAGATACTGGAGCAAGTTCATCATAAGTACATGTACCGGCAGACGGATTAAGGAATACAGGCTCTACACCCAGGAATGTTAAATGGTCCCCGTAAATGTGTAAAACATGAACTTGTTATACATGTTCTTGTGCCATTTCTTCACTTAATGATATTTAAAGCTACGGTTTAAGATACTGGAGCAAGTTCATCATAAGTACATGTACCGGCAGACGGATTAAGGAATACAGGCTCTACACCCAAGAATGTTAAATGGTCCCCTAAATATGTAAAACATGAACTCGTTATACACGTTCTTGTGCCATTTCTTCACTTAATGGTTTAAGATACTGGAGCAGGTTCATCATTATTACATGTACCAGCATACAGATTAAGGAATACTGTTACACTTCTTTGTTGCAATTTGAAATACCTGTATGTACAAATCATGAATTGCAGATACATTGATATTTGAGATTCAGTTTGATAAGTGTTGGTTCGTGTGCTGTACATGAATGCATGTGTTCACCGGACTCTAAGACTTGAGATTTCCTCCCCATTAATCTGACTGCTGTGATATACTGAAGTACTATTCAAGGCCACATAAAACTCAACTCACAGACTCCATTGATTTACAAATTATTCAAAGTCCTGAGATCAAAACACGTCTGTAATGTCAGTTTATCAGCATGGGACAGCCCAGTAGTGTAAGAGTTGTGTCCCTTAGCCATGTCAGGATCTGTTTTAAGTGGGTTTGAATCCAAGGTTCACCTGATTACAATCCTTGGTTTGCAACACCATAGCTGTGCTAGTGGCTAGTAACAAATATGGACGACCTTCGAGCTTTCAGACTTCCCTAATTGTACATCTTACAAACCATATGACTGAATTACTGTTTAAATCAGTGTTAACACTCCTCACCCAGTTGCTATCCCGATGTGACAAAAAGATAACACTCTTTGCTGATGATGTTTGATGTGACGATTTCAAACGCTTGGTGCAAAATGTCATGTTCAATGTGTCGTCCTCTCAAGGACATTTTAAGGTGAGTTGAAAGCTTTTTGGATGCCAGTGGTTTGTGTGTTTTTATTTAAAAGTAGAACGAATTGCTCTGCCTTGTTTAACAATGTGGCTTGTTGGGTAAGATAGTGTGACTGGATTTGACTTGAACCTCATCAGGGCAGCCTCATTGAAGTATAGGTGAATCTGTGCAATGATACATCGGACATTGTCCAGGGTATTCTATTACACTTAATGTCCTGGGTGGCGTTGTACAAAACAACCTTAGCGCTACGACTGTAGTAGGTCAATGTTAAAGTATGGGAGTTACGATCATCTTAGCGCTACGATCGCTATCTACAACGCCACCCTGGACCCATTCACCACCGTAGTAAAAATCAACATCCAATGAGAAACAATTCTTTTGAACTCAAAATATTTTAAGGACCACTCGATTTTTTCATATCACTAAAGTTAATCTGTTATGCTATGGTTGGTTGGTTTGTCGTTTGACGCCGCACTCAGCAATATTCCAGCTATATGTAAATAATCAAATCTGGACCAGACAATCCAGTGATTGATATCATGAGCATCGATCCACACAATTGGGACGATGACATGCATAAACCAAGTCAGCGAGTCTGACCACCGATCCTGTTAGTCGCCTCTTGCGACAAGCATAGTCGCCTTTTACGGCAAGTCGTCAAGCATAGGTTGCTGAAGACCTGTTCTACCCTGGATCTTCACGGGTCCTGTCATGCTATGACAGATTAACTGTATGAAAGAATTGGCTGTTCCTGCCATAATAGATTAACTACAGTAACATGAAAGAATTGGGTGTATTTTTAAACTTCTTTTGAGTAGCGTATTGCATTTAATCAGAAGACTGTTATTAATTAACTCTGGAGAAGATGTCTTCCCGAGTCCTAGACGTGTTTGAGAGGAGACAGAACACAGAATGAGTCCTGGTGGTAGGGCTGCCTCCTTTAATCAAGAAACAATGGTGTAATTTGATTGGACAGCTATTTTTAGCTTCGTATCATTTGTAACAGACGTGAAACAAAGCTATCCAATATTGGGTGCAGGATATATTTGACCAGCCATGAGATAAGGGACCTGTTGATTACAACATGAAGTTCCATACAATCTTGATTCTTTATTCTTTCTTATTCTTGTGTCTCAACTCTCATGTACAAACATTAGATTAACTGTAACAAATAGAAAGGATTTCATTGAGTATATGGCTTTTGAATTTCTTAAATTTACACATTAACTTCATAATACAGCAGTAATACTAGGTTGGGCTTGTTTACTTTACAAAGGCATGAACATTCAACAGTAAGGTGTACAACACAAACCTGGAAATTGCACTAAGTACATAATAGTCCAATAAAATGTACAGAAACAATGCCTTAACTGCACTAAATAAACAGGAAGCTTAATATTTCATATACCTTTCATAACTTTAGGCCATGAGAATATTTATGAACAAAGTTGAAGTCTAGGGTGTATTTCCATGAGCCAAGTCTAAACCAGCCACAAACCCTCAATTATGAAGAATTAAGATACTGTGTATGGTAGAAATTAAGAAGATGCATTTTTAAACAAATTCCTATTTATGAATTTTCAAATGAGTGACTAAATGTGCCTTACCATTACTTTAGACTTCACTGGCTCCTTGCATGACTTCCTCATGCATGCTGCTTAAAGCACATGGTGACATGACCACACCAATCTGTGCTTATCTCCCTTCTTATTAAGGTTGATGTAAAATTGGCACATCATCAAAAAAGGAAATTAAATAAACATCCTAACCATAACAATTATTTAAAATTTTATATTGCTGTTGTTAAAAGTAATACATAATTTGTGGAAATTCTAGAAACCAGATTTGATACCTCCTTAACCAATTAAGCTATCATAATTGATAGAAAATAGAATTTAAACATTTTGACCATTACAGGACCTTATAGGGGAAATAATCTCAATTTGACTTATTATAGTTTCAAACTTAGTATCTTAGGAACACAAAAAAAAAATTCACACGCTTCAATTCGTATTTATTACAGGGATACATGGCATCAAACATTTGGATTCATTTTCTGCAAAGTCCCATTATAATTTTATGTAATAATTGCAGGGTTTACATATAATGTCAGATTAATTGAACGTAGACATGCATGCTGAAATGTTTTCAAATAATGTTTTTATTACATTACAAGCTAACGGGGGAAAATAAGATATGTTTGTACAGTATGCACACAGGGAGATTTTTTAACGGGAGTAAGTCAGCTTTCTTTTGGACGTCACAGCACAATTGTATCCTAGCACCAATAAGGTCCTTTTTCTCCTGGTGGGTCTCATGTATTATAACAAAATGGAGACATGATCCCCAGGGCCCCGTTCCACAAAGCGATCGTAGCGCTAAGATGATCGTAACTCCCATACTTTAACATAGACTTACGACAGACTTGGCGCTAAGATTGCTTTGTGGAACGGGGCCCTGGACACAGACTCCAGGACTGATACAATGTGGTTGTGTATCAATATTAAAAGGAATTTATGAAGCATGTTTAAATGAAGACTTGTTACACTATCATGAAAATGAAATATACAAAAGCTATTTTCTTAGTTTGGGCTCAAATATCTTTGGGGTTGCAAAACATGGGGTTCGATCTTGTCAGCCTGTATGGTAAAGGAAAGGGCTTCCTTAACATGTGACAAGTTTCATATTGTAAATGGAGATGTATTCCTACAAAGTGTATTGTTATAGCTAGGGCTGGGACGGGTAACTCGAGTACTCGGGTCGGGTGGGTGATGAGAAGGACTCTGGTACCCACAGGACTACCTGGACCCGTGGTTATTCACGTGATATATTGTTTAATGACAAAACTTATCTAAAACTCTATGGTTACACTACAAGTCACTAATGTTCCCATTTCTTTCTGAAAATGCACCCATTCCTTCTGACTTTTATGTTTGAATAAAGATAAAACTCCATGCAGTAAATTTCAGTGTATGCATGACCAGATCGTTTTAAACATATATCTAAATTTTGCCAGGGCTCTGGTCAAACTTTTCCAAATCGGACAGTTCATACCTATCTCTAAATATCTACGGGTACCTGGGTAGGATCAGGTAATAGGGTGAAGGGTACCCGGGTAGTAAATTTGGATTGTCCCAGCCACAGCTGTAGCACTCAAACTCGTTGGAGTGATCAGATAGATGTGTGTGCTAATGTTGGATGTACATGACCGCTTTTATGTTGAGCAAATTATTGAAGATCTATTTTTCCACAGTTGACTCTCAGGACATTGTATCATACACACATTCATTGGTTAGTCTTCACAATGGTTTCTATACTGTTTATCAACACAAAGAAGTGCATATAGTTAGATCATGGATATTGTTTAGACAGCAATATCCCAACTGCATTAGAGGCCAATAATTAATCAAGTGTACTACAGCTAAACTGTTTAAACTATTCAATGTGTATGCATATTTTTTTTGGTTCAGCAGGGCCCCGATTTTCAAAGCGATTGTATCTGTTTGTCTGTTGTAACTACAAGAATATAGACAATAGTAGCGCTACAATCGCTTTGTAAAAAAGCCCCTGATTCAAAGATATATCAATCCAACATAATCTTTTACATTTTCAACTTTCTGAAACCAACGGCTAAAGCTGAAATTTGACTGGATAGTACGCACACAATTCGTATGTTGAGTACTGCAGCCATATTGAAAACGTCATCTTTGTAAATATTTTGCTCTAAGATCAATTGTTCAGTCAATTAATGATAAATGGTAGTCTCTCTTTGAAGCAATATCTTTGTCAGTGAATTATTGCCCAAGACGGGTCTTCGTGATGGTCATGTGACTAAAAGCGTTTGTTCATGAAACCGCTGCATCTCATCTTAACAAACATCCTGGGATGGATCTCCGGAACAGGTTTTGTACAAATGGCAGCTAGATCAGGAAAATATTTCCTGTTTTTTGCAAAAATTACTCATCATTTGTTGTGCACGCATAATTAAATCTTAGCTACTGTCTGCCATATGATGTACATCTAATACTTTGTAATTATTAAATGTGATACAAGTGGTGTATTTTCTACAATAAATCTATGTGAACATGTTTGTTTTGTACCATATTATAACATGAATGATGACAGACCATGAAGATCGGGGTTTGGATTGGTCTTCGACCCATGCTTATAATAAGAGGCGACTAGCAGGATCGGGTGGTCAGGCTCACCGACTTGGTTGATGGATGTCATCGTATCAGAGTTGCGTAGGTTGATGCTTTAGATGACAATCACCGGATTACCTGGTCCTGATTCAATTATTTATAGACTGCCGTCATATTTGCCAAAACATGTCACTCACCTGTACTTCTTTACTGCCTTATCATACCTGAGAGTTATCTCAACTCACCATTAAACATGCTCTGTCTCAGTCGATGAACCATATTATTGGACCGATGACCATCCAGGAATTTGTCTTCAGCAACCCATGCTTGCCGTAAGAGGCGACTATCCTTGTCGTAAAAGGCGATAATGCTAGTCGTAAGAGGCGACTAACGGGATCTGATGGTCAGGCTCAGTGACTTGGTTGATGCATGTCATCATTTCCCAACTGTGTAGATTGATGCTCATGACGCTAATCACTGGATTGTCTGGTCCAGACTCTTATTTACAGACCGTCATATAGTTGGAATATTGCTGAGTGCAGCAATTAACAAAAAAAACAACATATTATTGTCCCTTCCACCTAGCCCTTACTGTAATGCTGTAATGCCCTAAATGAAGCAAGTCTAGATTGTGAGTGTGAGTAAGTGAAAGAGTGAGGTTTTACGCTGCTTTTAGCAATATTCCAGCAATATCACAGCAGGGGACACCTGAAATGGGCTTCACACATGGTACCCATGTCGGGAATCGAAACCCGGGTCTTCGGCGTGACGAGCGAATGCTTTAACCACTAGGCTACCCGACCGCCGGATAGTGAGCAAGGGACGAGGACCACTTTCAGCATAACAGCCTTTGAAATTCATGTTAGACTGCGAGAATGACATTACTAAACTGTGCTGAGGACAGGCAAACACGCAGTGATTGTAGTCCTCATTGACTGGAAGCATTTGAAGACCATAATTCGGATCTAATTCTCAATGCTTCAATTTTGCTACAAAATGGAACCGAATAAAACTGAAAGAACATGTAAACATAAACATTTTTGTCTTGTTCAGGACTACTGTAATTACAAACTCTGAGCACTTGTGAAATATAAGGTTTACACTGAAGGTTTAAAATTTCTGAGGCTGTATTGGCAATATTCCAGCAATAGTACAGTAGCAGGACACCAAAAATGGTACCGAATCAAGCACAGGCCTTCGGTGCGATGATCCAGTGCCTTCACCTCTGGGCTACCAAACCGCCCTGGAATAACCTCAGGCATCAACAAAGTGTTGACACAGCACCTCCCTGCATATCTGAGGTGAGGTGAGGCGAGGTGAGGTGAAAGGGGGTTTAACGTCGCGTCCAAGATTATTGAACTCATATAGCAACGTGCATGCATGCGTGTGTCTGCTTGTACTTGTGATCGGGACTGATGCCGATTTATAGTGCTAGCACAATGAGATACCATGCCGTAGTTTAACATGAATACCCCACACAGACACATATTGACTCTGAGCTGACCAGTCCTTATTTTAGCTCCTAATGCCGAGCACCAGACAGGGTAACAACAAGTACCATCTTTAAACGTCTTTTGGTATGACGCGGCCGGGGATCGAACCACGGACCTTCCGCTCTCACTAGACCACGGAGGCGGTTGCATATCTGAGAAAAAACAAAACACTCTCTGTTATCCACTTTGTTGTATTGTTTATTTGTACATCAGCCCCTGGTTGTATAAAATATCTACACAAGTTGACGTCCACAGTCCAACATGTAGAAAGCTTTCAGATGACGTCAACTGTTTTTCGGTCAAAGCATTGTGGGTACAGACGACGGACTGTTGAAGATGTGACCCCGCCCCAGTAGCGAAATCTCACAGGAATACAAGTCTTTGTACATGCTTCTAAAATCAGCTGATAAAACATCAAAGAGCTTGGAGATAGAGATAAAGAATTGTATGTATGTTAATAATGTCTTCAGAAGATGTACAATGTCAGGACCTTAAGTACAACACACATGGCAAATGTACAACTTTGTTCAATTCAGAAAGGATGCAGTCTAAAATAAGAACTTTACAAATAGAATATGAACTGTAAAATATTTAAATCATAAAAGACAAAAAAAATACCATGCCCTTTCCTCAATGTATGTAAGTTAGTTGATCAAAATAAACTTTAAACAATATCAAATATCAACCTAAGCTGTGCATGGTTAATTCTTGAAAATGGGATCTCAAACTTGATTATTACATCGATCCTTTCATGCATCCTGGGGGAAAAACAACTGTCGTGATAATAATTATAATAATAATAAAACAAGATAGGTAAAATATTGATAAACATTTAAAAAAGTACAGACTTTACTGAGAAAGTTTAAAATCAAGTAAGTTTTGCAAGGGTATGCATAGAAATACAATGAACGACGACTGATATGATTTATTGTGAGCAAGGCTATAGGAGTTATTTCAAGCATCTAAAGATTGGGAGCCTACTTCACAGGTCATAAATATCAACGAATACTGAAAGCTTCAATTTTTAACAATACACATTATTAGTAGTAGTTATTAATTATACCAATTTCATTTCTATTCGACGGTGAAAAAACTATCTTGTCAGCACAATCTTCCACATCAGAGCACAGACCACACTTTCTATTGTTTTCTATGAATTGATTAAGCATGATTCCTTAATTTGAAACACATAAGGCCACAACATATCGAATATCTGTTCGTAATAATCACCTCAATTTTCCCCAAATACAGATTTGTATTCAGGAAAATACTTCCAAAGGAAAAAATAATTTGGCGTGGCCTGAAACTGCAGGTTTAATTTAATGTTTGGTACACATACTGCAGTGTAAGTAAAACACAATTCACAGTTCATTGTCACATAGAGATAAGTTTACAAAAAAACATTTGCTTCTAAATGCCATTTTTTCAATATGGCACCAAATTGCAGCATAGTAATATAGCTTTCAGTGGGAGCAACTGAGATCTAGGAAGTAGCCAGTTCCTAATTTCTTTAATATAAAAAAAAGAAAAAAAAAAGAAAAATAGAAAGTAGTCTAAAATTATAGCCATACTAAGATCTATGTACATCTAGGATTGCTGTATAAGCTAAGAACAGCTCATGTTATGTACATATGGACGAACAAAATATTTTAGCATTTTAACAACAATTGCACTGCGAATTTTGCCAGTCTCCATAAATGGCACACAAATAAATAGGACTTCTTATGGATCTACTATACACTAGCATGAATGAAATAAATGTTGTTGATAACCTGGATATAACTTAATTAGAATAAATGATAACAAATGTATGATGATGGTGAATAATAAAGTTATACATTAGGGTTTACACATTATCAAAGGGAAACAACTCTAACTATATGCTTGCAAGGGAGATAATTTCGGTGGTTCACTTTTGTTACATAGCTGTGTTAAAACAATGTCCAGAAACTGGGCAATGATTTAAGGCATTAACCACATCTATTCAGTGATATCCTCCAAACCATTCAATAAGGAAAAAAGATTATTTCCAATTTGAATACACACTCCTTTATCAGAATATTTCAGTGACGTAATAGTTCATGAAATGTACGTTTTGAGATCAAGTTTATCATAGAGATACTGTGTTTCACTATTTGCATAAAGTCATAATGGCCATTAGAGGAGGTAGAACATACAGGAAATTGTGAAAGCAACTCCACACTTATACAAATACTTTGTAGGACTGGCGATATATCGAAGTCATGAAGTAGCATGCAAGATATTGAAACTTAACTCGAACAGTCATATTAAATCAGAATTAATTGTGAATATTTTGTGCTTCAAGACTCATTCGATGTGTTGAAGTGAAATGTATTTAGATACTGAAACTCTGGAAAGTTTCACACATGAATTATTGTGAGTGCCTTACAATAGCCTTAACTGCATCTGGAAAGTTATGCAACACCCTTTTAAGATTACAAAAGATTATTATTGTATAAGTAGGAAGCGGGGTGATGAAATGGTAACTTGGTGTCAGTTCATGATTTTTAAACTATAGATGCATGTGTTGCAGTTGACATGGAGGACTGGAGTAGTGTGATTATCTACTACTATCATGCTCTATAGACTGGCTGGTGTACATCTGGAATACTTCTCAGTGTTGTGTGAGCAACTAGACCCGATGTGACAGGTTAGTGAACTTTCCCCTGTAGACTATTGATGCTGAATGACAATGTGTAATTAAAGAAACACATGATGGGAGGGATTATGTATTTAATCATGCAGTGGCTGGTTTGACAATGTGTGGTAGAAATGTGCACCTTAGCATTTTTTGTTCATTGTTGGTCTTACAAAATATAACTGTGCCATGAAACTATTGTGATTTTGTTTCAATCGCAGTTTTTTAGCAGTCATTTCCTTTTCACAAAGCTTTCCAGTTTTACAGTAATATGAAATCATGAAAATGAAGACCGTCGGGAAAGAGAATATTTTCTAAGCAGGCCCACAATCTAAAAGTATCAATAATCTCTAAGAAGTACACAATTAACTTAAGAAAAATTAAAGTTCTGATTCCTACCTAACGTGAATAGTTCCTCTTACCAAAGAAATTTCCTTTGAATCAGCTTCCTGAGAAATGGGATTTTGCATAGCCATATCTATCTAAGTAGAACCACAAAATAAGTGCTTAAGCCATATATACTACTCAACATTTGCTAAGGATCAACATAGACATCTTTACAGGGATAGAAATTAACCAAGACAGTGATAACATATAAGAACATCCCCAAAATGTTTGAAATTCTACCAGCCCTGAGGATACCTTCAACATTAGCGAAAATGGCTCAGGCTAGCAGGCTAGTGCTTATTTCTATCCCTGCTCTAATCAAAGGTGTGGTCCTCAGCAAATGTCGAGTAGTATATTATAGTGTCTGAAACTTAACAACATAACCCGTTTCACTTGCATTTCCACAAAATTGTTGAAAATGAAAATGTTTGAGATTTCTTGACAATTTTGAAAGTAATCAAAATCTTTAGTTGAGATCATTCGTGTCAAAGAAAACATCTAACTTAACATTCAACTTGCAAACTACCTGTGTAGATGCTGTGGGATGACCTAGTCTTGGTTGTAGGTTCGAGAAAGTGTCACAGTTGGATGCAAATTGTACCTTAATACCCTACCTTACCGTATCAGAGACTCCAGAATGAAACCTGTTGGAATATCTTGGTTTTCACTGATACTGCAAACAGTTAAACAGTCCTACATTCAATATTTCAGCAATTTCTTCTGCTTAATAATGACAATTCCTTGGCATTAACTGTAATATGAAAGAATCGGGTCCTTAACTTCTTTTGAGTAGCATATACTGTACCTGTAACAACACATCTTTCTTCTTTAAAACACACTTCTCTAATTTGAATTGTGGTTTGAACTTGCACCATAAATAAACAATTAAGTTGTTGGCTAAGGATTCTAGAACTCCTTAACCCAAACACATTTTTGTAACTTACTTCTCCAAAAGAAACATCCAGCTACTAAAACAACTCATTTTCAAAGTTCGAGTTACTCCTCGATGGAGCTACTTCAGAAAAACCTCGGACAGCAGAGAAGCAGACATTACCTTGCTACATGATACCTTCATAAAGCATGTGAAAATCTGCCTTTCTTGATAAACTTAGGTCGCCATGACTGTTAGGTCCTAAGCTGCTCTTAGCCATTTTCCAGCCATATCACAGCACATAACACCAAAAATATATTTCATTGTACCAATGTGCAGAATCAAACCTGGACTTTTGGTGTGGCCATGAATGCTTTAACCACTAGGCTACTCCTACAGCGCCAGAATAGAATGGTCTATGCAGAAATCATGACCAAAATGAAGATTCTAATTTTCTGAAGTTTAGAACCGCCAATAGCTGACGTCACTAGTAACCGAATTACACAAAAGACAGCTACTTCAGACACATGGAAGGATGACTGGAGGGGATGACAAACTATCCACTGAATTAATCAATCCAGGCAAAACGTGATGTTGCAGCTTAGCAGTGCAGGAAGATCAGGTCAAAAAGCAGACACTTGGCACATGGGAAATCAAGTCGTCAAAGATAAAGCCATTCAAAAATAATTTGATGTACAATTCACAAAGCTACTGTCTACCTGTTATTAGAATTCATGCCTATAGGACATCAGCTCTTAGGAATGGGGTCATTGTCCCATTTTCAAACACAACCCTTCAGTTCTGATCAAGAGAGGTCCATTGGCCCAATAACTGTTATTCCCTAGTAATTCCTATCCTATTTTTCTATCAATATGACACCATACTCTTATACAAGGAGACTTCTATTCAATTTTTTTGAACTAATCAAAATTACTCAATCATTACTGCATGAACAAGGGAACGGTATGAAAATAAGTATCTAATAAATGCATACATTCAATTCCAACTTGCTTGATTTCTCACTATCTAGAGGAAATACTAAGCAACTCCCATGGCGTTTCCTGAGCAAGCACTGACAACTACTGCATGTGTTCTTTAAATCTATCAATATGCTGCAAACAAACAACTGCCTTACTTTCAACAACTTACAGTAAGTGAACAAATACCTAAAAATAAGCTATATTGGAAAAGTTCAGTGAAAAAAAAATATTCCTAGAAATGTTTACACTTTTCTATTATGTTGAGCTTTTGTTTGCCATTGTGATTATATGTGCGCTACGATTGACCAAAGTACAACTGTTCATTCAACACATGTTCTATTTCAATTTCCTTATTCCCTACACCATAACTTACAGGTAGTCATTTAGGTGCTTTAAAGAGCTGGTCCAAAATACCTTACCATCACTAAGTCTTTCTGTTTGATTATTTAATATTTCTCCATGGTAACTGAAGCATTTTTCCTAAGACAGTTTAACCTCTCTATTTGACTACAATTGAAATATTCACCTACTCTGAAACTGTATAATGGAATATAAAAGATATATTGGATTACAAAGTAATATGAATGAGTGAGTGAGTTTGGTTTTACGCCGCTTTTAGCAATATTCCAGCAATATCACGGCGGGGGACACCAGAAATGGGCTTCACACATTGTACCCATGTCGGGATTCGAACCCGGGTCTTCGGCGTGACGAGCGAACGCTTTAACCACTAGGCTACCCGACCGCCCACAAAGTAGTATGAACACTGATACTGTTTCAAGAAAAAGGTCAACACATTATTCTGATGTACATTTGCGCTAACTTCACACATCGGACCCTGTGTAGTTTCTACACCAAATGCCCTGATCATGACTACTGAATCTAATGCTTCAACCATATTTAAATAACATTTTAACCGTAACAGTCACAAAATGAGACACTGCTACAAGCCTAACGTACGACAACCTTGTGAAGAAGTGTGTTTAACACCTGAGCAAATAGTTAATTAGTCATGTTTATAAACCTGCTTAAAGTAACGACTGTTAGTGGACATCGAGTGACTAGCTTCACAGATACATCCTGATTGGTTAAAGTCAACATGAAATGCAGCAGTGATCAACTATTTCAACAACAACTACAAAACAGGGTGTTTCATACTTTGCACAGATTAGCTCAAATAACAAACTTTTAACACAATGCTGAAACGGGAAGAGATCAATCTATCTATTGATTAACGTGATTGAATAGAGAATGAATTCGGACAGGTTCATATGACGATGGGATTTCATGATAGGACAACAAAATGTAAATGTCGAATGCCGACAAGGGGTATAGGATTCAAGATCAACAAAGTAACAAAAGCAAGAGCCTGCTGCCTAGACCAACAGGTCAATACTGTGACAACTAGTTGTAGGAAGATACTATCTATATCAGCCAGCACTTATATTGCAGAAACAGTTGTCAGGCAATTAGTACCAGGGTGTAGATGACTCTCAACAGTTTGGGAAACACAGACACAGAGATCAACTCCTTCACAAGACAAAACAATATACTACTCAAAAGATATAAAGAACACCTGATTTTCACTTCAAGGCCATGAGAAATTAACCATAGCCATATGAAAAAAAATTGGGTGTTTTTTAACTTCTTGAGAGTAGTATATATTGACACTGCATTTGCTAAAGAATTGCTTATGTTGATATGATATAATGATTTTACCACAAAGAATAATGAATTCCATTTAAGATTAAATTTGACAGAAAGTATCACAATGTTATTCAAGGATATTAATAAAAATCGAGATATTTCAAGGTAAGATGGTTCTTCAAAAGATGGCACTATTGAGAGTTCTCCACACCATAGTTGAGATAAAACCTCAGAAAATGAGCACACTTCAAGAATACCTAAATGAAACAAGAGTTGTCTACCCTGGTCTCCACTCAAAATCAATATTGCACTCTCAACTAACAGCATAGTTTCATAAACTATTTCAACATTTCACATGAAAATGCATTCATATGATTAGTGTCACATATTGACTTAAATGCTTGTGCCTTTACACATCTGTCCATTAGTAGGAAAATCTTTTCACCAAAAAAATGCCAACAATCAAAACATCATATAAACCAGATTAACACAACTCATTGGTTCTGTAACCTAACACAACTGAAAACACTACTACTCATGCCACAGTGATAAGACGATTTCACAGCATATTAAATGGAAGAGATGAAAAAAGAAAAAAAAATCCTTTAAAAAATCCAGTTCTTGTGACATGAGCATGATAACCTAACTAAAACGATACACAGTGATGATGATAACAAGATTCACACTGACTCCTACTGTTGATAAACCAGCATGCATTGCTATCTTCTGGTGACCAGGGCAGACACGTGAGGGAATCCCTACAGAAAGTCACAAGATATGATTGCATATCTCCATACAGAATAATTTACACGGTCTCTTTATCACAACATTATAACGCTTGTAGTCGGTAACTTCCCTCAGTTACCTTGGATTGTCCCATCCTAAGCCACCATTTTGCCTCAGGGGTTCTGGGAAGGCATAGGTGATCCCACTGAATGAGGATGTCACATGACCTCAAGCATGACCTCGATCGTGGAGATCGCTGCTCAGTTGGCAGTAGTGTTCAATCCATCATCTTTCCTCTGTTGCACTTAACGCTGAGGTCAGCTAAAGGCAGTGAGACTGTTTAGCACTGGTCACACTCTACTAGTGTGCAACTGAAACAGGGCTAAGCAGCGAAACATTAACACACATGCGTTATGGGCTGGTACGTCAAACTAAGGCAATCTAGCTAATCACCTTCGACACTTAGGTACGTACATATGCCATCACCACTGTCAAAGTCATATCGAAACCTGACATACCCTCTGGTGGCTGAACCCGATTGACAACACCAAGTCGCACTGGGACTGCAATGGGACTGATATTTGTGTGTGGTTTCCAGGAATAATCAATGCTTGTGCCCTTCACACTGGTGTCTTTTCTGTCTGTGGTAACTGCTCAAATAACACTTGCAGGCAATTTGTCAAATACATCATTTTTGCCCGAGGGCTGAGCACTGCCTCTCCTCCGTGGCAATGTTGGATGCTCAGGACAGCCATTGTTAATTAGGAGCTCTACACATTCTGTGGATCCGGAACTCTTGGCATACCACAGAGCATTCCGGCCTTCATGGTCCACCACCTTCACGCTGGCATTATTCTGGAAATAAATCAAAATTTGCTTTTCATTTTTAGTGAGTGAGTGAGTGAGTATGGTTTAACGCCGCTTTTAGCAATATTCCAGCAATATCACAACAGGGGACACCAGAAATGGGCTTCACACATTGTACCCATGTCGGGAATCGAACCCTGGTCTTCGGCATGACGAGCGAACGCTTTAACCACTTGGCTACCCGACCACCCCTTTTTCATTTTTAAACTGGCTCAAATGTATTTATCATTGAAAACAGCTTCCACAGAAGATATCGCTAACGAAATTGCCTCACAATTCTTTGCTTCGTTTACCATGACGTCACAACCAAATCACATACTAATCTCTTTGCCACTGAAGCTGGTTAGCTGTACTGCTTGCACTCAACACACTGGTTATTTCCATTTACAAAAAGTTGAAAGAATGATATTGGATGATAATCGAGTCTCACCCTCATGTCTTTTGATATCAAATATATCAACTTGTGTTATCATTGCAATATATTGATATATCGTGTTGCTTCTCAGTTGCTATATCAATATGGAAATTTCCAATCAATGGCATCTGTACATAATTCCCTATTTAATCCATCATGTCCTCCGACTCACCCATAGCAACAACTGCACAAAGACTACATTTCCCAGTGCTGCAGCTATATGAAGTGCTGTTCGGCCATCATCTTTACTGTACGGGGCATTGATGTCATCAGGCTGACCATGACCCAGGATTATGACAATATTTCGGATATCCTCACGGACCAGAGCATCAATCAGTTGCTGTGAAACAGAAGCCGCAGAGTGAGGTGAGGTGAGGTGAGGTGAGGTGAGGTGAGGTGAGGTGAGGTGAGGTGAGGTGAGGTGAGGAGAGGATTATTGCACTTATATAGCGAGATGCATTCACACACATACGTCTGTACCACTAGACAACAGAGGTGGTCTTCAGAGTAAGGTTTCCGCAGTGGTAAAATGGTGTATTTGCAGTTTAAAGCAGATAGACTGCATCGAATAACATTTCTTTCTTAGTTGTTTTATGCCCAAGTTAGCAATATGCTAGCTTTATTATGGCTGCCCATACGTAATCAAGTCACCAAGCTTGACCACCTGATCCAACTGAGTCGCCTCTTATGACCAGCAACTGAAGGCCAGGGAACTGTTTCCCCGAGGTAGTTATAGGCAAAATTTAGTAAAATCACCACAATCATATTGTGTAGAAAACTGTGTTGGATTAAAAATATATATGAAACTTTGTTTTGTTCATTTGTTCTTTAACGACGCCCTCAGCAATATTCCAGCTATATAACTATGGCCTGTAAATAATTGGTCTCGATCAGACAATCCAGTGATTGATATATCCACTCTGTCTGGGTACGATAACATTAATAAAAATAAAAACGTCACCAAACCTGACCTCCCAATCAATTACATCGCCTATTATGGCCAGCATGGTTGCTGGGGACCTATCGTAACTGTATGAAACTTTCAGGTCCAATGACAAACTATAATGACAAAGTTATACTTGGCCACGTTGTGCACAAATAAACAAGTTCAGTCCTGGTTTGAGGTGTGCATATTCCTGCTCTGTTGCTGCTGCGGTATCCCTAGATGCAGCTGGCCTACTTACCTGGTTAACTGGGATATCCACATAGGGAAGTGGTGGTAATAGTTCCTTAAGTTCATACTTGGACTTAACCCATCTCTCCTTCTCATCTCTGAAACAGTCATCAGTAATTGTGCTTTACATCAATGTGAATGTATTTTCACTTACGTATATAATTTCGATATTGTTTGTTTACAATCTACACAACTGGGATATGATGATATTCATCAACCAAATCAGCTAGCCTGACCACACAATACCGTTAGTCACCTCTTACAACAAGCATAGTTGCCACTTATGGCAAGCATGCGTTGCCAAAGACCTAGTCTCTACCCGGGTCAATTTTGATACTGAGAATGTTTTGATTGTTTACACTGGACACACATGCCTCGTGCATGCATTAGTGGGGAGGATAGGGTTTGCCTCACAACTTTTAGATATTTGGGCAGTCATCTGTTGAAAAATGTAAACATTTTATTGTGTGAGTACAGCCCATAACAGGAAATTATGGCTATGAAGTCACAGAGGTAAGGTGTTCAAAGAAATTATATATTTTCACATATCTTTCAGCATATGTTGTTTAGGAGCAGTAAACCAAACATATTGTCAAAAATTCTGTATCAAAGTACAAGCATGACTATGATTTTTTGTTTGTTTGTTTGTTGTTTAACGCTGCACTCAGCAATAGTCCAGCTATATGACAGCGGTCTTTAAATAATCGAGTCTGGACCAGACAATCCAGTGATTGACATCATGAGCATCGATCCACGCAATTGGAATCAATGACATGCATCAACCAAGTCAGCGAGCCTGACCACCCAATCCTGTTAGTCGCCTTTTACGACAACAAGCATAGTCGCCTTTTACAATGCTAGAAGCCAGCGGGTGTTACCTGGGGGAGGACTGGGTAGGCTTGGTCCTCTCCTTAGCACCAGCACTAGCTTCCCACACAGAGTTGACCGTACTATTGCCAATAGCTGTCATCACCTTCGTCACCTCCGGACTAATCAACAAATGAAACATACTTGAGAGGATAAAATAATAAAGATATGGACATAATATAATCTAAATAATTTCCAGGATGCCAAATTGATCCTGAAAGCTGCAATAACACTTCACATCTTTACGAATTTGCAGTTAAAAGTCAAACTTAAGTATTTTTCATGCAAAATATTAAAATGTTATCTTTTACGCTGTCAACTGTATTACAATACATTTATTACACAATTACAAATTATTCAGTGAATCATCAGTATGCTGGATTTCAAATTTTAGTATTTTTCATTCAAAATTGAAAATGTTTTATTCTATTAACCTTATTATAATATTACATTTGTTGCACAGTTACAAATTATCTGTACTTACGGCCATTCATCCAAATCCAGTGACCTAACTTTGGAGATGTGAGTTCCTAGGTTGCGGTGGATGCCTGAACACTCTATACAGATCAGAGCTCCCATGTTAATACTAGCCCAGTCAGGGTCTGAAACAGAGCCAGTCACGTACAAACATCAGTGCCACACCATCAGTGACACCACAAATCCATCAGTTTAGCCATAGATGCTCTCACAGATCCAGCAGGAATTACTAACACTGAACAGGCATGGTTTGACAATAGCTTCAATCATCAGTTCGAATCAGGACTTCTCAAGACCCTTCTAATTTGACTACCTGCATTGTCTGTCACAATATCATACCAATCAAGGTGATAACAAAACAAGACTAAACGCATGCAGGAATATCATCAACCAAACATTTGTCTTCGGCACAATGAATCATGATTTCAAAACAGAAAATATCAGTAGTTTGAACTATTTTATCAGGTCACAAGATTCATTCATTTCTAATCATTTTTGATCATAATAATAGTTCATATTCTGGTTTGAGAGAGCTCTCACGATGATGATCACGTGACACAGGACATGCTTCCCTAACTAAATGTCCTCTATCTGTTGCAGACGCGAGAAGAGCTGGCCAGAGGCATCGTAACCCATCTGCACACGACTTAACTCCATTCTGTTAGTAGCAAGCTGGCAATCTAGCGATGTAGACTTTGCATACTTTTCGAGATGTTATCAGGATATACATGACAGTAGCCATTTTGTCCTTAGAGTGTCCCTTGTCACATGATCCCCGAAAGAAGTGGAAAACCCAGTATCAACAGATTGGTGACATGTGTCCGCAAGTCTAGCGTTGTGTCTTACTTGGAGAGCCACAGTCTGCACAGGCATTGTTTCCCCTCACATTTCGGATCGCTTGCATCCCTGCTACGTCTGTCAAGGCCTGGAAAACAAACTTCTATACTGCATTTCTAATCATGATTTAGTCTCAGTCCAAAAAACGGTCAACACATCCCACGGATTGAGGGAGTGAGATTGGGTTAACGCTCCTTGCCCAGTATTTCAGAAATATCACGGCGTGTCAGCTTGATGTTGAGGAATTCCCAAAGTGATGCATGTCTGAGATGTTGACCACCTTGGTTAAACCCACAAGTACTGTCGTGGTGTTGACAGAAAGATAATACTAGGGTGAACCAGGATTTGAACCCATGATCATAGGTTTCTGGCAAGCCTAAGGGATGCAACTCTGCACAGCAAATTGCAGTGCCATAGACAACTGGGTGCCACTGTACAAGTTGTTGATGTTGATTGTTGTTTAACGACACACTCAACAATATTCCAGATACATGACGGCAGTCTGTAAATAATTAAGTCTGGACCAGACAATCCAGTAATTGACATCATGAGCATCGATCCACGCAATTGGGATACGATGACATGCATCAACCAGCAAGCCTGACAACCAGATCCTGTTAGCTGCCTCTTAAGACAACCAAAGTCGCCTTTTACGGCAAGCATGGGTTGCCATTGTACAAAATAACCTCAGTGCCACGACTGTCGTAAGTCAATGTTAAGGTATGGGAGTTACGAACACCTTAGCACTCAGATCACTTTGTACAATGGCTCCCCGGGCCGCTCGGGACCCTCCCAGACAAGGAGTGAAAGCTATTGATCAGTACAGGCTATTCAATTCTACTTGAATGAATTTCTTATCGGGCAACTACATGAAATCCAAGAGGTCAATCATTGTGTTTTAGTAAATAGAGGGCAAGAGAGGCAACTTAGGTCGTTGTTTATTATTCTGTACTACTAAGAACACTATAAGACCTGTTGTCTGGAAGAAACCTACATAAACTAAAAGAAGTTATATTCCACTTTCCCAAAGAGGAATTCAATTTATGACAAGAACAATTATGGTTTAATCATAAGCTAATCCTCAATCTTCTTGTACTCATCTAATATATGGTCACAGTACTGTAAAATATAGCTTTTCTTCTTACAACAGCAACATGAGTTGGTACAACTATAAAATTAATCCACTTACCTTTGACTTTGAGCTATCATTGCCTTGAAGACTAGTAAGAATTTGTTGCTCGATGGCACACACCCACTCGTCCCTCTCCTGAAATAGGTTGGCAGAAACTTTAACAATAGCCTTAATTCTTACAAAGAAATCAACATGTCATTACATTGAAATAAAGAATTTAAAACAGATCTTGTTCTTAGCTTTTCTTTGAAACAGACATGTCAAACTCAATTTTTTTAATACTGAATACATCATTACTGTCATAACCATTACGTATCGTGGCAAGTGGGTATTTTGACTCCACTATTCCCCATCAAAGTAATGTGCTATGTAACCCCAACCCAAAGGTTTGTTGGTGACTATCACACACAAGGAAAAGAGGCAAATTGTCTTGCCTCATATATGCACATGAGGTACAGGTAGCAGGATACTATTACTTGCACAACTTATTAGATATAGCTGACAGTGAAGAGGACTTCTGTTGAAAATTTAAAGGTTTTATTGTGGGATGACTGCCAAAATACCAGATTTATTGCAACTATGTAATAGAGGTAGGTTATTTGCAGGAATAGCTGATATTTTCTATCCATTATTCCTCGTCAGGGATGCAACTTTTTATTATTCCACTGGCCTGAGTCAGTTTATCTAATGCTAAAGGTATCCTAAGGCGTAGTAAAATGTCAGGGTTTTTAGGCGTATGACTATTTGTTTGGCTGTTGTTGAACGTCACACTCAACAATATTCCGGTTATTTTTTATAATAATGTTAACATTATTAGGCTAGTAAATGTTTCAGGTAAAGTTATGCCCCTTGATAATGTTAGGTGTCCCTGCTAACCACTGGATAAAGATTAACCAAATGCCCCCCACATAACTAAAGTTCAGAAACTTGCTACTTCGATCTTTCACATACTGAGAAAACCTGTACATGCATACATACCTCTCCATTTCCAGCTTCAAAGTGCCATTGTTTATTTTCTAAAGAAACTATAACAAACTCGTAACCATCAGAATCTGGAAAAAAACATGTAATGTGAAGTCAGTCTATAAATCATAGCCAATCATTAAAAGTGACATGTCATATTTTGTCTTTGCAAGGCATTTAGAAGTGATACACAAAAGGAAGAGAATGTATGGATGTCAACTTCTTTATTATGAGGAAGGATCATAATAAAGAAGTTGACATCCATAAATTCTCTTCCTTATTTCATATTTTGTGTCTCTATTTTATTTGCTACTCCATCTTGGCATGTAGGCCTAGAAAATCTGTAAACAAGAAATAAACTACAGTGATCCCTCGCTACAACGCTACCTTCGGGGTCCAAATAATTGATCAGCGTTATAGATGATCAGCGGTTTAACGAAGGTCGAGTCATAGGTGGTAGATGGCCAACAAAACAGTATACATGCTCTGCCTACCCAACACGATCTACGTTGCACGTTTCAGAGTTTAAATAAAGATTAGAATAGAAGTTGTTTATTATTCATAGTGTAAAAAAAGATTTATCGAGTATTAATATGCGCTTTAAAAAACCCACATCGTATCCCCTAAGGTGAATAAGCAGGTAGATCTATAACAAACTTGGTCAATAAAAGTATGAAATTTCATATAAAACATCACCAGACATGATGATTTACCATTAAAAATGTATTTCCTGCTTGCAAAGGCATTGTTTTATACGCAGTGATTAAGATTACCGTGCATATTTTCTCGTAAACTAAGCCTGAAATAGCAATCAGCTGTGCACACGTTTCCTCCCAATCTACCGGTGATTCAGTTAAAACGTACCCAGTGATACCACTTCAAAGAAATTTGATGCAATGGTCGGAAGAAATTGTATCTGAAATTATTATTTTATCAGGAATAATATTTTCCAATATCGTGTTATTTTAGTTGCAGCTTCCACTATATATACTTAAAATTAAAAGAACCACAAGCGTAGCACTTTGGTATAGATTGTATGCAGGATATTTTTTTAAGTATTGAACGATTTTGACCAGTCACTGTAGAGACTTCCCACGCAACATCTATTTCGATTACAAAAACGTTATGTTGACATTTAATAGTCAAACTGCCTCAAATATGACTTTTAGCAAGTCATGGTACAGCATTTATGATATGTGTATCCATTCTCTTGCAACTAAAGTTCGTTTAGCGGTAATCAATATTATCAATAGCGGTAATCTGACCGTGGTTGCTGTTAATCGCGGTGAGTTGTGCAATCTACCGATCACTTCACATACAATTTCGCTGAAATTATTTTAAACATTATTATAATTATTGAATGAAATTTTGAATATAATTAAAAATATATATTGCAAACATTAGTCAAGATAAATAATGAACATCTTTTTTTATTACCAGATTATTATAATAATAGGATTAAATTGCGTACTTCAGTTTGGATTTGTTGACTGGTATTTCTGAGATGGGGGAAAACATTGTGTCAGTGGAAAACTTGAGTCTATTGAAAATTTTAGTAAATTTGGGGAGCCATGCTTTACTGCGCGCTATAACCGAGTTAGCGCTATATTGAAGGGCGCAATAACGAGGGAACACTGTACTCAATTGATATAGGTACTGGAATTTGTTATCCTGTTACAAAACTAGTAGACAACATATTACTAAATTAAGTCCCTTTGTCAAATGAACTTGAAGCCATACATTCCACTGCAATATCAGATACCGTATGTATGACATCACTTCTAAACTTCTAGTTTCATTCCGGCCCAAACTGGACACTCAGAATATCCTTATCAAACATTGAGCAGCATATAAATGTTCTGCCCTGATGTAGGAGCATCTACGTAGGTATTGACTGATAACCATTCTACAATCCCATAGCTGGAATAAATTCATTTAGTTCAATACACAGAAAATAGAGAGCTACAAACATAGCTGTCATCTGCTGAAACGTGCTCAGGATGTTCTAAACTGTGCCCAAACTGCAAGATTTCACCAACTTAATTCCACTACATTAAGGCCATAAATTCAATAAATCTCCATCAGCAAACTCACCATCTCCTTGACTAGGATCAATATTTTTAATCCCTCCACTTTTCGCTCTCCGATGCCTCTTTTTGACATTGGGAGTCTCTGCTTTGGAGCTCAGCGCTGAGTTGTTGATACCCAACCGTGGTACTCCTGAAGTTTTCGGTCGAGGAGGTGGCCGTGGCGAGGGGCGTGGCGAATCAGAACCATCAAAACCAGCTGTAACCAAAAAACACAATAACCATAAACTCTTATTCTTTAATGAGAAATAAGGGATTTATCTAGGATTCCAAACTAACTGCCCTTATCAGGCAAACTGGGAGAAAAATCCAAATATTATTCCAAATTGGATATTTTTAATGTTCTCACTTGGGAAATCTTACGGTCAACACTGCATCAGCAATTAACAGGATATATTAAGAGTCCATCATGTACTTGGTCAATAGATCATCGATTATGTATGAAAAAACATAACTAACAAGTATTTAATGCAAAATTATTCACCTTGTTGGGTAGTTAATTATTGAACTCATTAATAACAAAATTATGATTGTTATTATTCTAAATGAGATCAGATGAAAAGGAAATAATAAAATTATCAAAAATGCAGTGACTTATAAGAAACCCAGAAAAGGGAATAATGCAAAATGGGAATAACAAACACACCATCACTAAGACTGAACGTAAGTTGAATGTCAGTTGAATATGGTTAACAAACGCATGTTCCCATCACCAGCAGCACTGTACACGTATCAATGATACCCTTGCACAAGGTAGTCTCACGGAGTGTATATCTATTTCTGTACATGTAATATGGTAATTAGTACCTTACAAGAGTTCTTTCAACGTCTATTTTCCTTATATTTTTTAAACGACTTATACTCAGATCATTTATCCAGAATGTTTGTTTGTTTGTTGTTTAACGCCTCACTCAGCAATATTCCAGCTGTAAATAATCGGCTCTGGACCAGACAATCCAGGGATCATTGATCTACGCAATTGGGATACCAAATCAGCGAGTCTGACCACTGATCCCGTTAGTCGCCTCTTACGGCAAGCATAGACACCTTTTATGGCAAGCATGGGTTATTTCTACCCCAATTCTAAGCCCAATTCTACCCTGGATCTTTATGGGTCTATCCAGAATGTGTAGATATCTCACATATTGTTATTGGTCTTGATTGCCATACATATACCCTCGAATTTGAGGTGAAAAGTGAGCATGTTTTGAAGAAGTAAGTCACTGCTACAGCTGAAAAGTCTTATACCCAATTCATTTATCCAGAATGTATAGAAATCTCAAACATTCTTATAGGTCCTGGCTACCGTCCATAAACCCTCGATTATGAGGTGAAGTCAAATATGTGCTCTAACTGTCAGTCTAATGCATATGTAGAAATGGTTATTAAATAATATACAAAGCTGTATGAGCAGAGATCCCGTCACCTTGCCTGTATACAGTGATGTAAGAAGCATGACTTGGCCGCAGCTGGACACATTCATTCACACTTCCCTTCACTCAACATTAAAACAAAACACACCCTGCAAACATGTTACGATTTATCATTAGTCACCAACATTAACAAGTAAGAGTTCAGTTCATGTGAAAATCTCACCTGTGTCTTTTGATATTAAGTATATCAACATGAGTAGATTAAAGTCTAAAACTCGGAGGTTTGCCAATGAGTGTTGATATATTTTTTTCCAAAATACATGAGAGAGATTCTATTTATCATTTTTCCAACTTTTTCAGTTTGTAAACAGAAGTAGCCAGTTAACAAGTATAGCAAACCACCTAGAGATTGCTGACGTCATACAGCTGTGATGTCATGGTAACTGATGATGTCACAATGGTCTGCAAGGCATTGTGATGCAAGTTATTGCAGCGATATCTCCAAGAGTGAAAACCTGTATCGGATGATAACTGTTATTCTCCTACAGTCTACATAAATTGTTGAGGTAGTTGAGGGTCATGCCTCCCTTTAATGTCCTGTTGTCAGACAGATCTACAGTTCTCAGTAATGATAAATCTATTACAAGTATTGGTCACTTGTGAGGAACTTCTCCACAAAAATTCTGAGAAATCCTAAATCCATGTTGCCAGCATACATTAAATATACCGGGTAACTCAAATATCCAATCAGTTTACCATGTTAGAAAGGAGAACATTTTGTCTTGACTGTCTTGCCCCTTCAAATGTAGAGCCTGTGCATCAACTTATAGTTTAGTTAATTTGCAAAGCAGTGTTCAAATTAAAGGTCCTGGCACATGTTTCTAAATATTTTGTTCCAGGGCTTTGGTAAAACAATTCCTAGTTGGACAGTTTGAACCCAACTCTTGCGACCTACAGTGGGTACCTGGGTAGGGTCAGGTAATAGGAGGAGAAAACTTGGCCTCGTCCCATGTCTATGAACATTAAACTTTCAGATTATGGTTATGATAAAGATCCGTGGAGTTTTATGGTTAATTTCAAACACTGCAATAGACAAAAGTGAAATCCCATTGCAAGTACCGTATTCGACGTAATAAGCGCCCCGCTCTAATTAGAGCCCAAGGCAACATTTGCTAATATATTGGCGAGTGAACAATACCAATTAGCACCCCTTCCGATTGATCAATGCACACAACACTTATTTACTCGCGTATAATACGCACTTATGTGTTATATGTACCCTTAATTAAGGGTATATAAATTCTGGAAAAATGTATCCCTCGTATATAAACATTTCAGGCTGTCAGCATAAACCACGAAATTTATTTTTCAACTCGGGTTGTTTTTTCCCCACTCAAATAATATTCTAATAAGATCCCCTGATTTCTAATTTTGAGAGCGCCCTGGGCGCTTATTACATCGAATACGGTAGTACAAAATGGCTGAGGAACCTTGGACTGTGTGATAACCGATTCTTATGGCGAACACCTGTTCATAGTGACCAATACCTGCAACTCTCATAACAAGGCACAGGGAAAGCAAAGATGAAGAAGAAGGAGTATTATAGAAAAAGCAGTTATGGTGAGGGGTGAGTGTGTGGTGGGCGGCTTACCGCAACATCGACGTATGTGCGCCAAATACGTAGAGGCGATAGAGACACGATGTAGTAAACAAGGAAGGAAAAAAACAAAACATTAGCTTGGGATTCACACTTTCTGGATTCGTAATTCGAAATGAAATCAAGGTCACATATACTGAACCAAAAAAGTTAAGGACCATGAATATTTAGGGGGATGTTCTTATGAAATTGTGTTCAGTTTTCACAACAAAATATCCCCCCAAAAATATTCATGATCCGTAACTATATAGCTTCAGTATATAAACCAAATACTGTGGTAATAGGAGAGTGGTTCAATTCTTTTAATTTTTTTCTAATTTCCTTTTATTATATTTTGTTAAAGATATAACTAAGACTCCATACTGAAGGCAAAAATTTAAAATCAGTCACATAGGATCCTGAATATCACCCCTTTGCGAAATATATATATATACAAAATATGCTACACTAGAATTTTTCTGGTCTCACGGTCATTAACTCTTATCTGAAATTAGCTTCTGAAAACCTGGGACATAGGCAGGGTACTTACGTGGGGTTATTGATGAGTTTGGTATAACCAGAGAGTTATCTATCGTAGGAACACCGTCTTGCGTAGCTTCTGAAACTGAAACACAAAACGTTCATGAGTTTTCATTTTAAGTAAGATCTATTTGCTAAAATGTATGGTCTTGTTGTTTTGATGAAATATTCATTTAGTGGAAACTATATCCTCCCCATGGCAGATGCTTAAAACTTACAGATGCATTCCTTATCAAATAAATATATTAATAAAGAGGGAATTGATAAAGTGCAAAGGGGAGTGTTGTTAGGGTTACCTGCCCTTGCAACTGACCACTTTCTATGAAAAAAGAAATGTGGCACATTCGTAATTGAAAGGATGTGTTCGGAAACAGTCTTGGGTTTCCACATTGTTCCATTACTTCATATCAAGTGATTTCAAAGTGATAAGGTATTTAACAGTTTCCGCTTTTTTTTAATTGAATCAGATAATATAAAAAAAAATCTTTTTAAAAAAGTGTAAAGAGACTTCTATACCTGAGAGACTGCTGATATCTCCATTGACTGGTGGTGGTGGTGGGTGATGGGCGGTGGTCGTAGTGGTGGTTGTTCGAGAGCCGCGAGGCCGCAATCCTGGTATCTTCACCGTCGTGTGTACTAGCGGGATCTCCTTCCCGTGCACATCATCCATGTAGTCCTGGCAACACAGGTGTCAGATATACAGCTGGACCAACAACCTTTTACTTATTACTGATGGATTATCGTCACGCTTACAGCTCTTTATTTGACTCTCTTTATGGTGTGACCTTATGATGTCATACTATTTGATAGCAGACGTGTTCATAGCAGATAGTGTAAGGCTAAATAATGACCTTCTCCCCCCCCCCTTAATGTTGATTGGCATATTATTAATCACATAAATTATGGAAGAAATCATATTTTCAAATATCAGTTGCAAATTCGTAACAAATACGAAAAATTCGGGACAAGTTGACAGCTATGCTTTTACCATTACATAGAAGGCAACTATAAGATTGGTTGGTTGGTTTGTTGTTTAACGCCGCACTCAGCAATATTCCAGCTATATGACGGCGGTCTGTAAATAATCGAGTCTGGACCAGACAATCCAGTGATTGAGATCATGAGCATCGATCCACCCAACTGGGATCGATGACATGCATCAACCAAGTCAGCGAGCCTGACCACCCGATCCCGTTAGTCGCCTTTTACGACAAGCAGTCACCTTTTACGGCAAGCATGGGTTGCTGAAGACCTATTCTACCCCAGATCTTCACAGGTCGGGTCCATTAGGCTTGCTGCAGTAGCATGTGAATTGAGGGTTCTTTTAGATGTTAAGTATTAAACAGTAGGGTTATGACAAGGACCCCATGACTTTCATGTGTAATTTCTACTGCTGCTCCCCTACACAACTCATGAAGGATGGTTTACTTACATGCAAACTCGGATGGTACGTGAGCTTGCCTTGGTCTTGCAGACACACATATTTCTTCTTCCATTCCTTGTTCAGCCCATGGCTCTTCTTGTACAAGTAACCCTGAAATTCCATGGATCAATTCGTCTCAAAACAATTCTATTGTCAAATTATCTTTACCAATACATTTGATATTTATATACTTATCCTGCATTACATATAATGCAAGAGATTACATTACCTATGTAATGCAGGATAAGTTAAACATTATACAATAATCTTTGTACATATTAGTGAGTTTGAAATGTATTTTAGACATATTACATCAAGTCAACTGGATATGAAAGGTGAGGTGAAATGGGGTTTAGCATCGCGATAAATAACTTATATAGCGACGCGCATGCCTGCGTGTGTTTTATTATGATATGTCAGAATAAATCAGAGGTGAGTGTTTCTTTGCTTGTTTGTTGTTTTTAACTCCATACTTGGAATATTCCATCTTTATGACGGCGGCCTGTAAATAATCAACGCTCAAAAAACCAATCCAGTGATTGATATTGTGAACAAGGATTCACACCGTCCAGGCACAATGCTATGCAATGAACCCAGTCTCCAAGCCTGATCACCCAATCCATTTGGTCACCTCTCACCTATTCTAACCCAGAATCTCCACGAGGTGGGAGGCGAGCGAGTTGGCAATTATTGCTTAATCAGCAAACTTGCACTCATTTGCAGTGAATAAGTGGGTGGAGGCCTAAAGTGAAACAATTGGGTTCAATATCAGCATGGTTATGGTGCAGACAATTCAAGGATCACTGTTCGATTCAAACCCACAACCCACAACCACAGCTAAATGATCTGAAAAACGAAAGTTTGCCAGACTAAACACTGACCTGTTTTAGTGGTATCGCCCGTCCACTGCCAAGCTTCTCCCCCTCGGACTTCTTCTCATCCTCCTTCTTAGGCTGCAACACAACAAGTTCATCTCTACACCTCTCTTTCTCTCCCCACACAAGCAAATCATACACAATTCTGATATTCTACTAGATTTAAGTTTCCAAGAATTTTTCCTTTTCACAATTTAGTATATCATCAAATCAACATCGCAACGTGCCAAAATAAATAATGAAAATATTGCATAAAATTATTCAATCATTTCTGTCTTCAAGTTAGGTGAAACATGTTGAGAACATGCTATAATTTTTAAGCCAGTTATCAAGTGAGATCAAACTTACTGATTCTTTTTCATTGTATGATAATTAGGAACAAGAATGTACATACAAACAAACACACAGACAGAAGAGAGGAGAACACAGACTTACGTATAATAAAACATATTTCATACGCCATGAAATGATTTTCATTCTGGGATGATAAATTAGGCCATTACCATCAAAATATATATTGTCAGCCCTAATCTACAGTTCTATATACATTTACTGATAGTATACCACACCGTTTCTCATGCGTGTTAATTTCATGACAGCAACAAAATATGTTCGTTTAAATGGCAGAAAAGTTAAACCTGCTATATATTTATTGTTTGTTACTAATTAATCTTACTATACAAATGCATTCATGCACTAACTGAAATAAGGCGGTCTTGTATCAAAATCAGTTTACACTGTAAGCACTGAAAGCATATTCATTCAACTTAACAAACACTGCTTGGCTGTACGGAACTTTGAAAGCTAACACTGTTAAAACTGCAGCATTCATTTTTCGCATAATCAGCTTCATGCCAATGTTAATAAATTGTATTATCTGTGTACAATACATCCGTCTAATGGCTAATCATTTGACCATATTTACCTACCACTGCTTATAAATATTGATAACACTTTAATGGCCTTTCGTTTATTCAAATTATCAACTCAAAATAGCACACTTAACCTTTATTTAACCTAAATGTTTATATTACCATAGTTTATTGCAGAGTGAGTGAGTGAGTATGGTTTTATGCCGCTTTTAGCCATATTCCAGCAATTTCATTGTGGGGGACACCAGAAATGGGCTTCACGAATTGTACCCATGTTGGGAATCGAATCCGGGTCTACAGTGTAACTAGCGAACGCTATGACCACTAGGCTACCGGACTGCCCCTCGTAAGTTCAGATTCCTCAACTGGACATCAAGAGTAATTCTAGGAAGGGCAATGGGTTTGACTGGATGTTTAGTTCAGGCCACCAGACGGGCAAGTTAAACATGACATTATAGTCCTTAATTGGGTCAACAAAGATACATTATCTATCAATTTTATTGATTTAGGTAATAGCCTACCAAAGTCCTAGGCACCATTCCACAAAGCGATCATACCGCTATGTTGACTGTTACTCCCACACCTTAACAGAGCCTAATAATAATAATATTGTAGAGCTAAGATCGTTTGGGAACAAGGCCCTGTTCCACAATACAATCATAGCACAAGCTGATCATAATTCCCTTAATTTAGTATTGACTCATAACGGTTGTGGCGCCAAGATCACCCTGTGGAATGGGGACCTGCAGGATAAGACATATCCTTGGATTCATCCAAGAATTGCAGTCATATAAAGTCTATGTAAATATAACAGTTGGTGTGCCATTCTCTTTCTGCAAATCTCATTAAAATCAGATCTTACAAACTATTTCAGGTTACAGCAGAAAGACCTTCCATCCAACTGATCAGAGAATCACTTACAAGATCGTGAAGGTGAAAGTCTGAATGTGTTTACTTATCATGCAACCCTGAAAAGGTCAACATGGGGCATTTCGAACAAAGCATTGTCCATCTCTCCCTTCAATTGGGATAAACGGAAGAGACTTTCTATAGCCCATGGGAAGTACTGCCAAACAATCTCAGCCATCTATAAGACATTCCAGAAATATCTTTCACTGGTTTTCAAATTTAGAATGGGGAATATATTATCAAAGGACAGCCTAGAATGGAAGTCGCCATTTTGAAATAAGTGCCAAAAAGCTCAAGAAATCTCCTTTCGGATTGGCTAATCTCAATTTCCAATTAGTCATTTCATTGGTCAGTCAAAGTTTGCAAAAGGTTGTTCTGACATGACCTGTAATAGGATGTCCTCAGATCCAAGCAGTAGCGAGCACCAAGATCTGATTTAATGAGATTGTCTTTCAGCAAATGAACAATGTCCAACATATTTAGATAGATTTTCCTTCAGGCGTTAGAATTCCTTCAGGATTTTTAATGTTACTTCTGACAGAACTGGAGCAAACAGGTGAGTACAAACATGTCATTCCTTAACAAGGGTAGGGTAGACTGATGGTGTGTCTACCAAGGAACTCCATGCCAACATAGTGCAGGAGACTGCCAACTAGTCAACAATGGTGTGTGGTGTGGTGCGGCGGTGACATCAACATCTAGGTCTACAACAACACAGACTCCCTCTTTACCTTCTAGAACAACTCCACTACTCTACAGAACACATTTTGTGTAGATCCACCCCTATGTTTAGTGGTCAGTGCAGACAAACAGTCTGGTGATCCCACTTCCACAATAATCTTCCCCTCTCTAATGAAAACAACTCTCTCATATACCAAAAACAACACTTACCACCTCTATCGGAAATCAACACATATTTACCCACCCCTCAACTTAACATGTGATTTTCCCACCATTGTATTTTACATCAATACACACTTCTACACCTTTTTCACTCCCAAATCAACACAGCGTTTACCCATCCCTCTCAGGTGAACATGACTTTCCCCACCCTTTTTTTTTATAAATCAATACAACACAATCCAACACTTCTTTCACCCTCAACACAATAACCATCTTCTCAAGGCAAGAGTTAACTGACTATAACAGTGCAGTTTCGACCCTTGCCGAACTAGGCTGGTATTATGGAGTTACATTTTGGCTGGACTAATGAGTCCATGCATAGTCCAATCAAAATTGCACAAAGAAATATAAATCCAGTTCGTAAACTGCCATGCAGATTTCGATCGATTGCAGGATTTGCAAAGCATGTGCACCGCAAACTCGTTGTCAACAGATATGATACAAGTCTTTTCATGTTTTAATCACAGTGCTCAAGTGATCTGATGTAATTCGCAATGTCAGACCCGTTTTATCACAATATAGATCTTGATTATCGATCAGATCATCTTGACTGTGTGCTGCCATTTTGTTTGAAACAAATGCAAGTGATACGAGATGTGGAATCTGATTGGTCCATATAGGCGAGGCTTAGAAGGTAGAAAACTTGTTATAACCACTGGTGGCACTACAATTGAGCCCAGGAATTCCAGCCTTGTTCGACAAGGGTCGAAAGTGGAGTTGTAAAGTCAGTTCACTCCCTTGCCTCGGGAAGATGCACAATAACTCACCCACCCTCACTCCTATATCAACACAACACTTTCCCAACCTTCACATATACACAATACAAACCTGACATACTGGCTTCATTCATTATCTATCCAATTTATTATCCTAATTCCAACTATGAACATCTGAAATGAATCTCACACTGCCTAATAAATATTCACATATGGAATAAATGCATAACGACCGACCCCTTCGGTGGATCTACAGCTACTAAAGATATGAACACCATTCAAACACACTGAGAGTTGTCACCGCTACACATGTCGGCTTACATTGAAGAGATTCGACCTCCGTCTGTTTTTTCTAGACTGCGTTGGAGTGCTTGTTGGAGTAGGCAAGTCTTTCCCTTCAGGTTTATCCTGTAAGAAGGTATATATTGCAGACATCGTTAGTCCTTTATCTATATGCTATAGCCAATCCCATGCTCTAATTCATCACCTACCGTAATCATTGCAAACTGGGAATTGTGAGATAAATACCAAACAATTTATATCAAGAAGCAAAAGAAATTTAATTTAACTTCAATTTTGACTTTTTAAACTCCCAGTTTACAGCATCCATGAGCTTCATGCCGTTTCCTGATTGGCCACCTGTTATATTACCCATCATCCTGTAGTGCTATCCAATAATAGGCAGACAAAAAAGCCACCAATTATATGAAAGCCATGCACACAGTAGCCCATGCATTCAAATCATAATACCCAAAGAACAAAATAAATGAGTTACAAACATCAACACAAGAAACATTTATTTAAGAAATCAAATCAAAAGAGGCAGTGACAACCTGAAATAGCAGAATCAGTTTTACGTAGCAATGAATTGATGATGAGAAAGAAATTATTCAAGATATGAGATATGAATTCACAGCAAAATTCTAGGTTCGAAACCTACTCCACACCCTAAATCATAATTCACACTACAAGTGCAAAAGTCAATGTGTGAGCAATCAGCCAAATTCAAGCCGCAAAAAGGTGATTGGTTAATCCTTCCATGCTGTGTAAAAGTTAATGGCTAGTTGCTATGGCGTTGTGAGGGAGAAAAGTTCCGTCCAATCAGCTGTAGGCACTTACTAGTATGAGGCTGGACCTGACACGGGTCATTCTAGTCAGGAGAGGGGTGAAAGGACTATTGTCGTGAATTTGTAATTCCATCATGTAAGAATCCATTTTTTCCTACAAAAGGAGTTAGAGAATCGCATAATAAAAATAAATGTTATTTAAGTCTCAGAATTAACTAGACACAGTCCATATAGCAACGTCTATCCATTGAAAAATGTAAACATCAATGCACCATAATCTGATTACGGTTAATCCTTAGCTGACAGCGGATGTGTTTTATGGAACATTATATTTGCACTTACACAGAATTTGTCTCATTAACAAATATTTCCTCTCATAAGGGAATTCAATGTACATATTTCAAGGGCTTATCAATAAGAGATGTAAGTTTTAATTTGAAAATGACTGAACGATTTTAGTAAGTCTTAATCTGTATTAGTTGACAAAACATACAAGGGGCTATGCTAGACCATTATGACAAGTACACACAGAGGAGAGAGCTGAATAACTCAACTAGACGACCACATATATAGGATCAGAGCTTATATCAATACAAGGACCTGCAAAGGCATAAGGCTAGGAATACATTGCGGGGTCAGTATTGATATGGTAGGCACTAGAAGATGTATCAAGAAAATTCATAAATTGATGACAAGCTTAAACAAAAGTGTTTTAAGATCTCTCTTGACAGGAAAGTCCGAAGACCTTAATTCCAAACATCATTTGGACTGATAGACTGTTTGAGATCTCCTTGTTCACTATGAAACCATAACCGTCGGCTACAAAGAATTTTCAGGAGTAATACTTTTGCGATTGAATTCACAACTTGGTCCTCATGGAAGGAAACATCATGAATCTATCTGCAGGAAAGGGTGAAGTATGTCACAGAGAACTATCTGAGCTTGATAAATTTAAGCCATCAAGTTAAGCTAAAACTGAAGGAATAACCTATTTCGTTCTATAGGCTGTGCGATTTCATAAATTAATCATCAAATTAACCCCAAATGGCACCCATTACAGCTGATGGCGTGTTACTTCTAAGATCAAATAGTCTACCATTAGGTTAAAATCTTGCTAAAAGACTACCTATATATATCGCCTAAAAAGCTAAGCAAACTTACATTATTAAACTAGTATTACTCTACAAATGATATACCAATGAGATATTACTATCTCAAACATAAATATATACAGCAGAGTATATGAAAGTTAGTTTACTTGGCATATGTTTAGTTTTACAGTTAATTAGTTTTTACAGATACCAGCTAATACATGTTGATTTTCATCACAAGGTTCTTGGCACTAAACCACACATCTCTCTAGGACCCAATATTTTCTTTCATGTTTAATGCACTCAGCAATATTTCAGCCAAAGGATGACAGACTGAAAATAATGAAAACTGGACAGACAATCCAGTGATTGATATTATGAGCAACCATCCATGCCGTACTGTCACAATATCACCGAGTCTGACCAGGCAAGGAATTAAGTTGCTCTTATTAGCAGCATAGGATTTCGAGACCTATTCTAACCAGGAATCTCCACAGGTTGCAAGAACTCTATAGTAATCTGGTCCTTGAGGTAGGTAAGCCAGATTGTCATCAGAGACGCAGACTTTGACCATGTATGTAGGGACAAGATATACATCATTAGCCACCAGTAGAATACTACTTATCATGGTTGTACCAGATTGTGACCTGCATCTTTAAAGACCAACCAGATATCCAAGGAAACAGTTTGAAAAAGGTATAGTCTCCAATTCATCTGAATTGTAAGTATCCAGACAATGACATGGAATCTTAACTTAGCATGGTTCGATCCAGTTTGTTATACACAGATGATCCAATGCATTAATTGAAAGCAGAGAAATCAGACTACATCAGAATCCATCTGTTCTGGTGTACCAATAAAAGAAGTGTTTGAATGCTTGTTCAACTGTGGTCTTCCATGAGTATTGAAAACAGGGCAGGCTTTGTTGATGTCACAACATTCCATCATCAGATAAGAAATAACAAATTTTGCATCTTGCTGTATAACTTTGTTTCCTGTTGTTTGTTTTATTTTCAGGTTAAACAGACGAAATCACTAGTATGTGACACTTTGTTCACAGGGTTTATAAATACCATATCATCACACGATGGAATCCATCTTCATATACACCAGTGCCCGTATTCTCAAAGCGACTGCAGCTACGGCCAGGGTAAAGCTATGTTAAGCTATAGGAGTTACGGAAGTCGTAGTGCTACAATCGCTTTGTGAATATGAGCACAGATGCCAGTGATTGATGACTTGATGAGACTGATTTCTAAGATATGTATAGTCTAGATACTAAAAGAAACACTGACAGAGACACAGACAAGACAAATACACTACAGAACATACAAGAGAAGCAGATATGATGTTAGTAGATACACGCAGTTATGATGGAAGGCATGCGCACGTCTCTGACCAGACGAGCTTCCACAGACTTACACTCATGAAAGTAGGCTTCAGAGATTGTTTGTTTTTCCGAGCCAAAAAATTGGCCGTGGAATGGTGGGCATGTTGGCGAAGATCAGTAGCTCCCTGTCAAAACAAAGGTCCACTCACATGCATTTGCAAAGCTAAGCCATGGCTGGGAGGTAGGGGACAACCTTTTCCAAAAATCAACAAATATGGTCCCAAATAATGTTCCATTATGGGAAGGTCCTTTCCATACTGACCCAAACAATGATTTGAAACATTAAGTTTGTCTTCCAAAATATTCCAATTTTGAACAGTTCAAGTTTAAATTAAACTAGATGGTCAAATTACTAATGGAGAGAAGACTTTCCGAAGACTTAAACCCTTAAGTTTGGAAGTTCTGCATTTCAAATGACACATTCTGTGTATAAATAGATGATAAATTTAGTATTGAGGGAGACAAATTAGTTTTAAAAAACTAAAATTTTTAATTTGGAGAAGTCTTCTTAATCCCTCTAAGTTTGAAATTCAGCTTTTTGTTTAAACTATACTTAACAACCCTCTTTTCTGATTGAGACTCAACAACAATCAGGCCAAATAGTAACCCTGATTTGTAAACGTCATTATAATGTAACAAAGTTAATTTGCCAGTAGTCCCCTCCTCCCTCACCTCGGAGGGCACATCCTGCTCTTGGTTGACACAAAGCTCCATGTACTAATGCAACAGAAGTCCTGGCAATTTGCCCACATAGCCCTAGCAAGAAGCTCGCTTCACCTAAAGCACCAATTGCACAAACATACATCTACATACCGCCTGCATGTTCAAGAACTGCAGATCAATAATCTAATATTATTGCCAAATCAAAATTTTACAAACAATGTTTGGTTTTTCTAAGCAAGAAATGAGTAGATCTACCTTATCCTCATATCAAATCACAATTTTACAAATTATGTTCGCGATCTGGTTTTGACAGATCTTTTGACAAATCTTTTGACAATCTTAACAATGAAATACCGTATTCGACGTAATAAGCGCCCAGGACGCTCTCAAAATTAGAAATAGGGGGCTCTTATTAGAATATAATTTTGGTGAGAGAAAGAATAGAGTTGAAAGATCATAAATTTCGTGGTTTATGCTAACAGTCAGAAATGATACAACAGAAAAGTCTGTGCGTATTATACACGACAGATATATTTTCCAGAATTTAATTGCCCATAATTAAAGGTGCATATAACACACGAGTGCGTATTATACACGAATAAATAAGTGTACATTGATCAATCGAATTGCTTCTAAACAAATATTGCCATGGGCGCTTAATAGAGCGGGGTGCTTATTACGTCGAATACGGTAAGTAGCTTACCCTCGCATAAACAAAAAGGTCAAATTTTGAAACCATTTATGAATGAAATGATTGGATCATCATTTATCACTGCCTATGAGATATGATTCATTCACCTTCTGTACATGTTGTGCAACAATGCTAAAGGCAGAATGTAACAAAGAAAGAGATGTACTGCTCTCAGGAGTACAATGACGTTGGTTTGTCGGCTATGGTTGCTTGTTTAATCAAATCCCCATTTTTCCAGGGCTCTTATCATGATTCCCGTAAATGATGCTATTGTCCTAAAGAGCAATACAAGAACAAGATGCCAACACAAATGAATACAACATTGAAATTAACCAGCATGAAGGATGACAAAACAGAGTAAATGAAACTTAAAATCAATTAAAACTGAAACAAAATTACAAGATGCAAATAGGCTTGCCCTGTTTACTACTTGGATCACTGAACTGCCTACACACTATTTTTGTATGTGCCTCCCTTTTCTTCAGACACCTACAATCTCTCTACCATGTTTGAATTTTTTATTTTTTGTTGTTGTTTAACACTGCACTCAGCAATATTTCAGCTATATGATAGCAGCCTTTAAATAATCAAGTCTGGACCAGACAATAAAGACATTGGTAGTTGCACCCCTCTTTTAAAAATATGGATCCAACTCCATGTAGGTCTGTTCAAAATGTTACATAGAGTCCGAAGACTAAACAGAGAAGGGGGTCTGAATGGGTGGGTGGGTGAATGTTGTTTAACACTGCAGGATATTTTCAAGTTACACTTCAAAGCAATAATCAAAGAACTTTAACACCCAATCAGCCATGTTTCACACTGTAACCACACAATGCCCATGAGAGTCAGATCTTAAAATAAGCATCGAGCCAGTTGACCCCAGAAGGCGTACAAGGCTCTATGTTAAGGTAAGAGAATGAATATGTATGGTTTTATGCTGCTTTTAGCAATATTCCAGCAATATCACGGCAGGGGACACCAGAAATTGGCTTCACACATTGTACCCATGTCAGAAATCGAACCCAGGTCTTCAGCATGACAAGCGAATGCTTTAACCACTAGGCTACCCAGTGCCCCTCCATGTTAAGGAGTGCCGTTAATGTTTGTTGATAATATCCTTTTCTATTCTCATCTCCTGCAGACATGCATCTATGATCCAAGTAATAAATTATAGTGGGCTGAACATGTGACATGCATGATATAGAATGATGCTCTCTTCACTAGCAGGATTCATTCATGAAATATGACAGTGATGGTTACGTTCATAAACTGGGTAGCATGAAACAAACATAGGTGATTAATGAGGAGGATACAACAAAATCATAAAGAAGCAAAAGCTAGGGTAACGGAAGATAAATGAGAGCTATGATAAATGAACTACCACGCTGACAGTCAAAAAACATGAGTGAGTGAGTGATTGTTGTTCAACTCCAGTCAGAAATATACCACTCCAAAAAATTAAGGACCACCCGAGTCGTATTACTATAGTTAATCTGTCATGCCATAACAGATTAACTATAGTAATGTAAAAGAATTGGGTGATTCTTAACTTAGTTAGTGTATTTCAGCAATATCATGGCTGCATTAAATAACCAGTGACTGAAAACATGAACAATCAGGTCATATTGACATGCAAATTACCAAGCTTGATCAGCTGAATGATTTGAGTTGTATCTTAAAATCAGGAAGTGATTGAATGTTTTTTTGTGCCAAAGGCTCAGTGGTAGTCTGGTTCAGACAAACCAGCTGTGTCAACAGTTGAGGCAACTGACCACACCCCCACGTCACATGGACACAGTGAGCAGGTCACAGCTGGATGTTAGTTTACCAGGGTGGACACACACCAGGAAAATATAGCATTTTCTTTCAAAAATATTTTTAATGTTTTCTGACTGTCAGGTTCTAAAAAGATGAATGACATGCATGATATACTTCTCAACAATTGCTGAAATGGTCATTAGTGAACGGTGTAGTCCTTAGCAAATGTTGAGTAGTATATTGGAACACTTCACTAACCAATGTCATGGAGGTGAAGGGGTCTTTTTCAAAGTGTTTTACTTGTTGACAGATACTCCTGTGTTTTCGAGTGTTTAATTAACACGTTATTATCACCATTCTGTCTTGAGTTCACGTCCATGATTTGTACGTACGTTTGTCAAGTGAGAGATTGTAATGCACATGCTGTATATTAGTTTCTACGGAGAATACACAAGTAGAACATTCACATGGGTTCTGTCTTCACCAACAATGTGGGCGATTTTACATCAGTGAACTGAGCATTATTTTCATAATTACCATGTTAAGACACCAAACATTTTTCTCTGTTTATAAATTATTTCATTTGACCGAACACATCTTCAAAGATAAATAATCTCTGAAGAAAGTTACAAAAAATCCTTATGTGCAGAGTACTAAGATGCAAAAACCAAAAAGGTTCTTCATGTATAGAACTGTGCTTGTTTAGGTGCATGTTATTGTGCAAGTGAACAATCTGCCTCCCCAGTGAGGCTAGTGAGTTATCTGCCCTTGCTAGAGAGGGATCTATTGGGTGATGAGCTACCTACACCAAAGCCCTTCACCAAACTGAATAGAACAGAAGATGTGACAGGTAGAGGCCTGCTCTCTTGATCAAAAACACTGCTATTCCCCAAAGAAATATTATAGAATTACTTTTATCTAAAATTTATTTCATAAACATTTCTAAACGCCCTTGCACCAATTTCCACAATTTTGCATATTCCTTTGAACCAGTTTTCTAAATTTTCACCTTATCAACATACTCATATACACTCTTCAGTATCTTCAACCTTTTCTTTCAAACCTCGTTTTATGAATTTTCATTTTGCTAAATTTCTAAACATTGGGCATACCCGAATCCACTGTTTATTACTACAAGGTCTTGAAAGAGCTATTATATTGATAACGAACTATCAGTTTCCCTGAAGCAAATTCCCAATGATGACAAGCAGTCAGTGTTTAAGATGTTGAGACAGTGAGTCAAGTGAGAAAGGGCAGAGTGCAGAATAAACAGAAACTTACACTAAAGGAGTTGGATTTCTGAACAGAAGCGGTGGGTTTTTTATTTTTCCGAACAGCCAGAGGTGTCGATGCTGTTACTTCTCTAAAATCAACTCTATCATCCTACAACAAATATGACCCTTCTGCATGAAAACACTTCATAATTGTGGCGATACAATAAACAACATCAGCTATCAACCACATGGTAATACTCCCGATGTTGGCCCGAGGACGAACATCTACCATCTGCCTAAAACAGATACAAACAAGCTGGGGCTTGCATCACAAACTAAAACAGTAGCAGCCCATTCCAGGGGCGCTGCAGTATCTGCAATCATACAAAGGAATTAGTGAAAAGTTGGGTTTTTAGGACATTTTTTTGTTATATCACAGCTTGTCAGCTTAAAGCTGGAGGAAATCCCTAAGCGATGTAGGTCTGTATCTACACCCCTTTGTTTAATTTAAACCCATGAGAATTGTTATGAGGCTGACAGACCAAGGATCAAAATAAAGGTGAATCTGGGATTCAACCAACAATCAGCAGATCCTGGCATCACAAAGGGACACAACTCTGCACAATGAATCGAGGCTCTTGGATGATTCGTAAGTCTTGTCATACAAGAGATAACAGAAAATGAAGACTACAGACTACAAAACAACGCCTGGTACAACACAGGCTTTCAAGGGTGAAGATCAGTAGCCTTCTTGAATGTTTTGGTACATGTTGAATTTTGATTCAAGTATGATGAGGTGCAACATGGGATCATTCAACAATTATATTTCTTTTCATCAATAGGCTGAACTATACGATTTCTATGTTTGTTTGCTGTTTAACGCAACACTCAGCAATATTCCAGCTATATGAAAGCAGCCTGCAAATAATCGAGTCTGGGCTAGACCACCCAGTGATTGACATCATGAGCATCGATCTTAGGAATTGAGGTACGATGACATGCATCAACCAAGTCAGTGAGCCTGACCACCTAATCCTGTCAGTCCCCTCTTATGACAAGCTTGGGTTGCTGAAGACCAATTCTGACGCAGATTTTCACGGGTGTATGATGTCTTTGAATTCAGAATTTTCTCCATGTTATAATGTATACACCATTAAAGATACACAAGAATATAAACAAGGACTAACTGACTATAAGACAACACAGTATAAGATGGGTCAGGTAAACGAGACAACATGTACAGTCATGCAGACTTAGTTGGTCATAGGTTAGTGCTTAAGTGGATCAAATTTGTAGTTAAGTTAAATGTGAATATATTGAGTACAGGTGTTGTTTTCAAATTCATAAAAGGGGAAAAAAGTTTGGATAAAATAAGAAAAAGAAAAGATACTTGAATACCAAGCAACTTAAACCACCAAGAAATTCATTGGATGATGGGTACAAATTTTCATATATATTTATATATTTCCTGTAAGAGAAGGCTTAATGATTAGACATCTGAAAAGCATTTCAAAAATCATTTTAAAAAATTGGCATATAAACATCTGAGCACTGAGTTCAAACAGAAATGAAACTTTTTTTCCTAACATATGAAACATCATAAGCATAAACAGTTTCTATCATGATCACTTCAAATTATCTTCGTAGAAACATGTGTGCAGGCCATTGCAGGGGCGCTGCAGTATCTGCTATCAACGCACTCAAACTTTAAAGTAAATCACAGAATTAAGTAAGTACTAAACTCATTCAAAGTAAAGATTTGTGATATTCTCTTCCCCCAGGGTCTACAACCTTCTGTACTTATACTGGCCTAGAACAGTGCACCTACCAACATGGGAGAGACCTGTGATATTCTGACGGTCACCCCCAGGGACTACAATCCTGTGGTACCTATACTGGCTTAGAACTGCACCTACCAACATGGGAGAGACCTGTGATATTCTGACGGTCACCCCCAGGGACTACAATCCTGTGGTACCTATACTGGCCTATACTGCACCTACCAACATGGGAGAGACCTGTGATATTATGTCCGTCACCCCCAGGGACTACAATCCTGTGGTACCTATACTGGCCTAGAACTGCACCTACCAACATGGGAGAGACCTGTGATATTCTGACGGTCAACCCCAGGGACATGTGTGGTACGCATACTGGCCTGCCATGGGGCACCTACTAACCTGTGAGTCGGGCTCAGGGAGAGGAGGGGGGAGCTGCTGGGGTGGAGGGAGATGCTGATGCTCCTTCTTCTTTCTATCTGACTTCTCCTTTGTGGATTCTCGCATCTCTTTCTCTTTGGTAGTACTCCCTGACTGCTGGCCCTGTGAAGAGTGAGTGAGTGAGTGAGTGAGTGAGTGAGAATCTGGACCAGACAAAGTAAGAAAAGCCCTTATGAAATCACATGTTAAAGTTTATTAATGCTGGATTCAGCAATGTTCCAGCAAAATGACAGCGGCCTGTATATCAAATCTGGACCAGACAAACCAGTGAGTAACTGTCCACGTCTTCGGGTTATCTGCCAAGTCACTGATCCTGACCAACTGATACTAGCCCCAACAACTCACCTGGCTCCCCTCTCGACTAGCGCTGTTTTGTGTCCACTACTAGCCCCAACAACTCACCTGGCTCCCCCCTTGACTAGCGCTCTTTTTTGTCCACAACTAGCCCAAACAACTCACCTGGCTTCCCCCTTGACTAGTGATGTTCTCTATCCACTACTAGCCCAAACAACTCACCTGGCTTCCCCCCTGACTAGTGATGTTCTCTATCCACTACTAGCCCCAACAACTCACCTGGTTCACCCCTTGACTAGTGTTGTTCTCTGTCCACTACTAGCCCCAACAACTCACCTGGCTTCCCCCTTGACTAGTGATGTTCTCTATCCACTACTAGCCCAAACAACTCACCTGGCTTCCCCCCTGACTAGTGATGTTCTCTATCCACTACTAGCCCCAACAACTCACCTGGTTCCCCCCTTGACTAGTGTTGTTCTCTGTCCACTACTAGCCCAAACAACTCACCTGGCTTCCCCCCTGACTAGTGTTGTTCTCTGTCCACTACTAGCCCAAACAACTCACCTGGTTCCCCCCTTGACTAGTGTTGTTCTCTGTCCACTACTAGCCCCAACAACTCACCTGGTTCACCCCTTGACTAGTGTTGTTCTCTGTCCACTACTAGCCCAAACAACTCACCTGGCTTCCCCCTTGACTAGTGATGTTCTCTATCCACTACTAGCCCAAACAACTCACCTGGCTTCCCCCCTGACTAGTGATGTTCTCTATCCACTACTAGCCCAAACAACTCACCTGGTTCCCCCCTTGACTAGTGATGTTCTCTATCCACTACTAGCCCCAACAACTCACCTGGTTCCCCCCTTGACTAGTGTTGTTCTCTGTCCACTACTAGCCCAAACAACTCACCTGGCTTCCCCCCTGACTAGTGTTGTTCTCTGTCCACTACTAGCCCAAACAACTCACCTGGCTTCCCCCCTGACTAGTGATGTTCTCTATCCACTACTAGCCCCAACAACTCACCTGGCTCCCCCCTTGACTAGCGCTGTTCTCTGTCCACTACTAGCCCAAACAACTCACCTGGTTCCCCGCTTGACTAGCGCTGTTCTCTGTCCACTACTAGCCCAAACAACTCACCTGGTTCCCCCCTTGACTAGTGTTGTTCTGGATACTCGTCCCGGTTACCAGTGTTCCGGAGCTAGATGTTGACTGACTGCTGGTGCTATGACTATCATAGGGCTTGCTGGACTGTGTGCCATAGTAGGATCGTTGTGAGTGGTTTGGGGTACTTGGGACAGGGGTCACAGTAGATGGCAAAGATGGGTACCGGGTCTGCACTATCCTTTGGCATGCTGTAAAAGAGACAAGTACAGAATGAAAGTGACCAAAAACATTTCCATAATCATAAAACATTTCTGTATGATTCCATGATTCCTATGAGTCCAATGTATGATTCCAACTATACCATAATCATGTGAATCACTATCAAATAGTGATGGTACCAGATGTTCCCAAACATGTCAACAAATCCAGCACCACCGGTAGCACCTATCACAAACACATGCAAAGACAAGTCAACTGTTCACCTGAAACAACACAGCATATGGTTCAAGTCAAAACAGGGAATTGTATTGGACATCATTTTTATCCCTGATGCATCAAATTAGGAAATGTCCTCCACATGGCTACCATAAAACTTTTTAAAAGTCTTACTGAGGCCTTGAATGTTGTAACACTGATCAAACAACTTTTGAGCAAGAGTAAAATTCAGTAACTGAGTCAACAATAACTTACACTTGACATAGAGGAAATCTACATACATGTGACCTTTACAGGACAAAATCTGAGTTCTACGTATACTAATATGTATTAATTTACTATTACAGTAAGTACAGTAAGGCAAAATTGCTTAGCGACACAGTCACCATTATTCAGGCTGTGCAAAGTGGTCTCTAAATAATCACATCTGGACAAGGCAAACCAGTGACTGAATATATAACTAATGATCATGGGGACACATATTCAGCCATGCCAGAGCTCAAGACCACTCACATGAAGTGAGTGAGATGGGTTTAACGCCACTTTCAACAGTATTCCAGTTACCGTATTCGACGTAATAAGCGCCCCGCTCTAATAAGCGCCCACGGCAATATTTGCTAATATATTGGCAAGTGAACAATCCCAATTAGCACCACTTCCAATTTATCAATGTACACAAGACCTATTTATTCGTGTATAATACGCACTCGTGTGTTATATGCACTCTTAATTATGGGCAATTAAATTCTGGAAAAATATATCTGTCGTATATAAACAGGCCGTCAGCATAAACCACTAAATTTATCTTTCAACTCTGTTTTTTCCACCAAAATAATATTCTAATAAGAGCCCCCTATTTCTAATTTAGAGAGCGCCCTGGGCGCTTATTACGTCGAATACGGTACCTCGCGGTGTTAGTCACTCTTACAACCAACAATGGAGCGTTGATGTGATGCACAGCATGGTGACACATATTCAGCCATGCCAGAGCTCAAGACCACTCACATGAATTTAGTCACTCTTACAACCAACAATGGAGTGTTGATGACCACTTGTCACCTATATCCACATGGAGTGGATTATTTCAGTACATGGCTGAGTGACTGAACAGATTAAAACATCGTTAAACCCATGGGCATTATTCCATGCTTTATATTGCACTGTCAAACAATCATAGATAAGAATTTACTAGCCTGGCTCAAAGTCCCTGAACTATATATTTTCCCTTCTGCCCAGCCCTTAGTGTAATGCTATGGCTCTAAATGAAGCAAGTCTAGATTTCCACAGGTTCAGAATCTTAATCTCCCATCTCATTAGGCTCCTGTTCAATCTAAATGGAGTTGCTTGTTTCTATCAAAACTAAATATTTTCAGTGACTAAGCGTTAGTGTAAGAATTTACCAATGTCAGTGTTCAAGACTGTGGGGTCCTTGTCATAACCCTTATGTTAAAGTTGAAGATTTAGAGGTCCCCAGATTCAAATGCTATTGCAGCAAACCTTAAAGACTGTGGAATTTGCTAATTGTTTATCAAAATGTATGTGACAGGGGATCTGTCATCTACTGATAAGGGCGGGAGGACTAGGAAGGCTGGACTGATCTATTTGTTTTTGTGCACAGTGCAGGGTTAGAAATTGGCACTAGTCCTATATTCCTTGCCAAACTGCCCAATAGTAAAGGTATCCTAATGACTAGTAGAATTTAAACATTTTATAGGTTTTGCTATATGCTATCATTATAAGGACTAGCGGACTGAAACTGTTAGTTTCTACCGCTGCAGTGGGAGCTTGGATTCTTTAATTTCAAACACTGAAGACAATTCAGTGTTTCATTTCATTAGCATCAATCGATGCAATTGGGAAACAAGATGGCCTGCAATCCACCAAGTCACCATGGTCACCGAGCCTCAACACCCAATCCATTTAGTCACCTCTTGCAACAAGTATAAATTGTCATACCTATATTCATACCCAAAATACACAGGTATGCCATCTCTTCAAAGCTACAAATTTAGTCATAATACAGACTAATTTGGGAAATTCTTAATTCCAATTTGGGAATTTTTTCTGACATTTCCTGCAGACAAGGGCCGAATATCAGACTCTGAGCAGGTGTAAACAAACCCCTGAACTTTCCATGTGTCATAATATCAAGCATAAACAAAACCACCCTCCATGTTGGACAACAACAGTATCTTTTTCAATTCCTGACACGGCAAAAAGCATCACAATCTGCACTGGAAAAACATCAAAACATGAACTGTCATGCAAAATAAATATTACTGTGGAAATCAAGATGTTTCAGAATTCAAATAAGATAACCTACCGAATCAAATTTCATATTACAAACATCACAATCTAGAAAATAATTAAATAAAACAATAATACTTGCCTAGAAGAAGAGACAAAACAGACATCACTGTGTATCCTTTGTGAACAGGCCTAAATATTTTCTTTGTCAACATGCGAAAGCATCCCTAGGACTTAACACACTGCTGCATTTCTAGCTAATGTTAAAAAAATCTTCCCTCTGTACTGTCTTACCATCCTGAAAGACTCTCTCGACATTTAAACCATATGTGGCACACGTTTCATAGTAGGAGCATCTCTTCAAATCCGAGGCTAGTTTTCTCGCCCTCATGTCGTCAATTAGGCGAGGATTACTTTCGCTTATGGCATCTGAAAAGAGAAATGTAAACTTAAATGGAATTTCCGCACATGAAGCTGGAGATAGTTTATCAAGAATTTTAAGCCTTAGAATAAATAAACAAGGCTTTGATTCACACTAATAGAAGATGCTTTCTTTATGATATTTTTATGTGATTTATGAGAAGATAATAATCAAAGTTTACACATCTCAACATCATGTAGATATGGAATTTCTAAGTTTGCTGACATTCTCTCAAATGTCAGCACAAAGAGGTGTGTGTATTATTCCAAAATAGTTCACAGAGATTTGATCTTCTTAAACTTTCTTTATTTCAACAAAAAATGGCATTTGTTTGGTGATTTTGAGAAAGTGTAAACTATAAAAAGAGTATTTTTTATAAAGTTTATCTTTTTCCTACACGTATTAATACCAGGGATACAACATGGGTCTTAATTTGGTATTAAATCTTATGCAGATCATGAGAAAATTTGAAATACAAAGGTGTTTTTTAATGTAGGTAGTTATTTTTCCTACAGTGACTCAATAATACCCGAGATACAATATGGTCTTTTGTTTGGGTTCAACTTTTATACACAGATATCGAGAAAGTGTAAAATACAAAAGGAGTTTTTTAATGTAGTTTATAGTTTTCCTACAGTCATAAACAAGATGCTTCTCCCGAAAGGTTTTGAAGCCTAGGAATAATATCAGCACTGTATCCCACTGATTGTTTAGAATTGCAACAAAACGTTCAGACTTAAGACATATCATGCTGCACAGCTGATCTGATTTGAATGCAGGAGCATCCGGTATTCAGGGGGACGATTTTGTGGTAATTAAGCATGTGATAGATGTACACAGATGTCACATCTCTGCCGCATGTGGTCTCGGAAATCCAACACAGTTCAATAAAGGAAAAAGAGCCTTGTGTGTATATTTCACATCTGGTGCTCATTCATAAAAAGTATTTATTCGTTGTTTTTTCCTCAAGATATTTTCCAATTCTCTCCCCACATGGAATGCGGAAATACGTGGTAGAGAATCAGTGCAACACTCACTGTATATTATGTAAACCTAAAAACTACATCTGAGTGGAACCACATTGTTGAACACAGCTCTGTCTTTCTAAAGGGCAACACATTTTCCAAATTCTCTGATTTCAAGTGTAATCACTTAATGAATGAAATCTGGGTTTTTTCTGGTTCCGAAGTAGGAAAAGACATTTATTTTTCTCAGTTAATAATTCAAGTGATATTTAGTACATGCAATTATGCACTAATTTCAAGTAATTTGAACCTCCGTTCCTGTTCTTGGAGGAAACGAGAGCCTGGTAGACTGATTTATTGATTAAGCAGCATGGTAAGAAGTAATTACTGCTGAACATACATGTAATAAGGCTGCAAGTGTAACTTCCTCATCAGCTTACATCATTACATTATCTCCTCACTGCATTGCTTTAGAAATTAAGGCCAAAGACCTTTCTTCAGCAAAGCTGCATAAAACCGTCCACTTTCTATTTAAATTCACATTTTCAGAACGTTCTTCAAAGTGGACTGGAATTTAAAATTTGTTAATGGATCTATATTGCATCTTAAGAAGTCAACAAATCTTTTACTAGGCCTTCTTACAAATTTTTGACTTGATGAGGGTCAAACCGTGTCATAATTAATGTCTTATCAATGAATCTCAACTTGGATTAAACTCTACACTTCCCATCTGCTTTTCGGTGGTTACATTTTCTGATGTTTGAGGTATGTTCTGGATTTGTTGCAAATCGGGATGGTGTTCACATAGAATGACTTCAAGCATAACAGTTGCCATGGTTTCAAAGACAGTTTTGGTGCTTAGTAGCACCTTGGAACTCTCATCAAGGTCTGAATATCATAAAATTACCTTTCATATGTTATGAAAGATTCTCAAAAACATTCATAATAATTCAATAACAGAAAATGTATTCCATCAATTATGAGTTACTGTACAAACATTTCAAAGATAAAATTCAGAAAAGACATCCATAAAATGTATTTTGAGTTGCGTGTGGCAATGGTTATCAAACAATCTCTGAGTTAAGACATAAACTAAATTTATTCTCAGGAATGAACTTTGGAAAGTTTGGAGCAGGTGGACAATCTTTTTCATCTTGACCTAGAAAAAAGGGGTGCCATTCAGCTGCCAGAATTTTCAAGTTTTGTTTTATTTGCAGAACAAAAAGCTGTCATCATGGTCATGCTGGCTTATTTTATTAATGCACACAGTGACTTAAACTCAAAGTCCCTCGGGAAGAACTAGCCACATCACAAACCCATCTGGCCCCTCCATCCATCCATCCATCCATCTAACCAACCACACACCCACACACACACACCCACACACCCACACACCCACACAGAGTTCCATATTTTCAAGTTTTTCTACATTTTATTATTCAGGTAATTTCAAAGAAAATCAAAACATTTTTGCTGTGCTGAAAAATAATGTATGTCGTACAGATAGGCATTTTCTTACTGTCGAAAGAAATGCCACACATGTCAGGTCCTGAAATAATTAGTCCTTCCTGTGTTTTGTTTATTGTTTAATGCTGCAATATTTCACCTACATGACAGCAACCACGTTAATCGAGTCAGGACCAGGCAAACAGTGATTGATATAAGCAAAGATCCACATTAGGATGGCATGCTATCAACCATTTCACTGATTCTCTGACACCCAATCCATTAAGTTCAACAAGCAAGCATAGGTTGCTTCTTTTAATCTTGGGGGGGGGGGGGGGGGGGGAGAGAGAGAGAGAGGAGAGAGAGAGAGAGGAAAAAATTGGGAGGGGGGGGTCATTTAGTTGAGTATGTAGTGAGTATGGTTTTTATGTTGCTTTTAGTAATAATCCAGCATATCAAGGCGGGGAACACCAGAAATGGCTTCACACATTGCACCCATGTGCGGAATAGTACCCGGGACTTTGACATGAGTGAAGGCTTGAACCACTAAACATAAGCGTTGCAACAAGGACAACTGGATGTTCACACCTATTTTGAAAAACTGAATCAGTGCACAATACACCCAGGCTCCAGATAATGTTTTGAGCCATTGAGTATAAACTAATATGATATCATTCATATTGGGTATTGAATATATTGTACTTCTTTGGATTCAGTCTGCCAGGAACTTTTAAACCAATGAGTAAACATTTTTTTCAATAATTCTGCTTAAAATGCTGTTTTGGTAACTTTTAGTTTTCTCCTGTTCATGTGCCGCCCCAAATGTGCCAGATGTAGCAAAAGCTCACAAAAGCAATCAGTCTATACAAGAGTAGTTATTGTGCTATCAAAACAATACCATGGGATTGGGATTCGGAACTTTGGATTTCTATGTTAGGTACACACCAATATGAACAGTCAAAATCAAAGTTGTTGCCATGGAAACAGAATTTGTTTTTTTATAAACACCCCTTATTAGCAAATGGCAAACTGGTCTTTGTGTGTGCAAAGTGTCATGAAAGAATACCTATCACTTTTAGAGATATGGTCTGGACAAACACACCACTATGAACAGAGTCCAAGTCAAACTTGTTGCCATGTAAACAGGATTTTTTTTTTTTTCATTAAATTCCTAAATAACAAAAAACACCACTTCAGCCCTTGGTTAATACATGTACCAGGTTAGTATGAAAAGTCTTTCACAGTTTTCAAGTTGTGCTCTGGAAACGACACCTACCCCTACCTTTTGAGACCAAGTCCAAATTGTTTCCATGGAAATCAAGAAAAAGAAAAGTGCCCCAAATCCACAAATAACAAAATGCACCACATCAGGATCTGTTTGATATATCTGCCAAATTTTGTTGAAAAATATAGAACGGTTTTCGAGTTACGCTTCAGTAACCAAAAACAAGTTGCGCAAAATTATCCATGAAACTAGTAATCATGTCCTTGTTCAACTTCTTTCCATAAAGATTTTTAAAAATAAACATTCTAAAAATTACAAAATAGCAAAAGGCACCACTTCAGCATGTGACTGATACATTTTTCAAGTTCGATCAAATATACTGAATGGTTTTCGAATTCTGCCCCAGAAACAAACCACATCCCGAATGTTGTCTATGTCCAACTTCTTTCCATAAAAATTTGAAAAAATAAAAATTTGAAAAATCCCAAAATATCAAAAGGCACCACTTCAGTATGTGACTGATAGATTTGCCAAGTTTGGATCAAATACACAGAATGTTTTCGAGTTCTGCCCCGGAAAAAGAAGTGATTACAGACAGACAGAGGGACAGACTGGCTGATCACTATATCCCCCCACATTATATGCCGGGGTGATAAAAAGCAAGCAACGATATAGACTTGCACAAGTCTCTAAAAAAGTCTAAGGCAATAATTATTAGTTTAAATCATAAGGTCTAGATTATGAAAATAATAAGAACAAGTATTTGTCACAAAGTGACGAAATGTCCCCCGCCTGTATATACACCATAGTACCAAATATGAAGACAATCCAGCGATTAGTTCTTGAGATATTGCGGCAACACCGTTTTCCAACTCCAAAAACAGATTTGCCTGCTGTGACCTTGAAAATGGGGTCAAGGTCACCAAAACCGACTGGTGTCTGCGGTGTCTGTATATACACCATAGTTCCAAATATGAAGACAATCCAGTGTTTAGTTCTTGAGATATCGCGGCAACACCGTTTTCCAACTCCAAAAGCAGATTTGCCTGCTGTGACCTTGAAAATGGGGTCAAGGTCACCAAAACCGACTGGTGTCTGCGGAATTTGTATATACACCATAGTTCCAAATATGAAGACAATCCAGTGTTTAGTTCTTGAGATATCGCGGCAACAAACAGGTGGGATGTACGTACGGACGGTCGTGAATACTATATCCCCCGCTTCGCGCTTTCGCGCGGCGGGGGACAACAAGTTGTCCCTGTAAGAGACTGGAGTCCTTAGACTGAATTTCAGTACAGACTTGAGGCAAGGCTAACAACTATATTGACATGTACGCAAGCACCTAACAACAAATAGGGTTATGGTGATTTGACTCGAGTATATTACAACTTATCTGAAGCTCTGATACATGCTTAATGACCTTGTTTGTCAAGTCATACTGATAAGGTCTATATCCCCTTGATGAATAGTCACAGAAATAAAGCTGAAAAAATACTATCATACAATCCAACCGTTGGAATCAATTCATAGTAAATCACTATGCTCTACAATTATGTACATGGGGAAAACTTTCAAAAGTTTGTAAACAGGGCTGGGACAGGTAACTCGGGTACTCGGGGAGGGTGGTTCCTGATTAGGCCCCAGATACCCACAGGACTACCCGGGACTTGTGGTGATTGTTTAATGGCAAAAATTATCTTGAACTTCCACGGTTACACTATATGTGACTTCTGACTTTATAAATTTGAATAGAGATAAAACTTTAAGTCAACTTCAATGTATGCATGACCAGATCGTTTTATACAAGTATCTAAATACATTTTGCCAGGGCGACGGTCAAACTATTCCCAATCGGGCATTTGTAAATACATTTTGAGACCTACGGCAGGTAGCCGGGTAGGGTCAGGTAATAGGGGAATGGGTACCCTGATAGTAAATTTGGACTCGTCCAAGCTCTAGTTTGTAATTCATACAAGTCTCATAGGTGTCTTAATTATACAGCATTTTGAGTCCCAGACTAGGAGCGATTTCTAGGCCTGCAATCTCTTCAGCTCACTGTCAGCATTCACAGACAGAGCTCCTACAAGTCTGCATCAGAGATCAAACATGTGCATGTTGTCTTTGTAAGTCTTATCTAGATCTGAGAAGGGAGAAGTGATATAGGCATCCAGGGAAAACATGCAAGATGGATTGAAAAAGATAACATCTGTTGCATGCAAGAAGGATATTGAATTTCATGATAGTAATTGAAACTGCATTTTCAGCAACATGAGGCCAGCCTTCTCTTGTCAGTTGGTTGACAAAAAAACATATTTCTAATGTCTGTCTACATTCCCAGCAAATGGATAAAAATATATGCTTTCAAGTATTTTATCTTATCAAATTGCAGTGATAAAAATATCATAATTTAATGAGGTTATAGTAGTTATATATTATAGGTTATAGTAGAGCAACACCATGGTTCAAGAAGGTCGTAATGCAAACCATATTCCCCAATGCCACAAGCAATAACAATCCATCCTGAAATGGGATGTAATTTGTCAATATGACTTGAGGTCTGTTTCTGAGATGTCTTGTTTTTTACCGATGATGGACTCACTGATATTATGTAGGGCTGAGAAAATACATTTAAAAATAAAAAAATATTGAAAGTAAGATGGTGGTCTGGGGGACTATATGATCTATGTGTATGTGGTAATGGCATGTATCACAAAGTGACAGTTGACGTCACGAAAATCAAGGGCAATTATCCCTATAATATGTAAGAAGGGCACATAAAACCATTGAGAACTGTAAGTGAAATCTATACAGACCTATACAGAATTAACATGTCATGCAGGGGTATATTATTGACGTGGGCAGTATTGAGATGGAGGGTTGTTAGCCAACATTCTAAATCATTGATCAATATATTAGCTTTCAACTCGGCCATATCTAAACATTTAAGTTATCTTAGAAAATCAATATACAAACATAAACCATGCTAGAACACATGCTTCCGAAGAAATCTATCGTAATACTTGACTTATCAGATGAAAAAAGTTTTGAAAGTTTGCATCTCAGAGTGTGTGTGTATGTGGGCTTGTTGTTTAAAACTGCACTGAGCAATATTGCAGCTGTATGACGGCAGCTCGTAAATACTCCAAGTCTGGGCCAGACAATCTAGTGATTGATATTGTGAGCTGAGCTCAGTGAGTGAGTGAGTGAGTGAGTGAGTGAGTGAGTGAGTGAGTGAGCTGAGTGAGCTGAGTGAGTGAGTGAGTTTTAACACCACTCAAAAGTATTCCAGTTATATCACGGCATGTCAGATTAATGTTGGAGGTAAGCCTGAAGTTGCGCAGGTTTTAGACATTTACCATTTTGGTCAAACCCATGAGTACAGCCAGCAACCTAATGTCAAACCTAATGTTAAAGTGGAGGATTTGGAGTGCCCTAGATTCAAATACTTCAGCAGGAAACCTTAAGGATCCAAGGGCCTGTTCCACAAAGCAATCTTAGCGCTAAGGTGATCTAACTCCCATACTCTAACATAGGCATACGACAGTCGTAACGCTAATATCGCTTTGTGGAACTGGACCCAAGATCCTCTGCTTGAAATCACAAGGTTCATACAGAAATGAACCACTAAACTTCAAGGCCTTTTCCAAGCCTGTATGAACCTTGTAACAATAGAGTCTTATGACTAACTAATACAAAAGTATTGCTAACCATAATAATTTGCATAATCGCTCACTGTTTTACTTACCCTGCGTTCCTACCAATATGAGTGGTATTTCAGCAGCGTTGCGGTAGTGCGCCATCTTGGCATAGTAGCTGTACACAGCCTGGAAGCTGAGCTCGTTCTCTAGACTGAAGACGAAGATGATGGCATCAACCCAGTGTGTGAACTGAAACACAAGGCCAAACACAAGGGTCAACATCCACTCCTGTTCAACACTGCCATTTCCTCGTCTTGTCACTGCTCTATCTCAGTGCACAGGAAACTACTGAAGTAGATCACAAAGCTATTGTTTTTATGTTCACTCTGATTACTTGCTATTGTTACATTTCAGTTATGTTGCAGTTAAAAAGGTCGAGGTGAGATAAAAAAAGGATTTACATCTACGCTGGCGATTCCTTGTTTAACCCCTTAAAGCTGAGCGCCAGGCAGCGTAACAACAAGTACCATCTTTCAACGTCTATTAGTATGACGAAGCTAGGATCAAACCACTGGGTAGCGCTTTATCCACTTGACCACAGAGGCAGAGTAAAAAACAGACTTCAGCTCGCCTTATATGAATAATCAATAGCTGGAAATGTCGACAAAGACCGACACTTAAAATAGGCTGCTTATAGTTCAAAAGAACAATCTTTCTGTACAATATATTGTGGTTGTGGATGTTTGTTGATTAACACTGCGCTCAGTAATATTCCTGCTACATGACAGCAGTCTGTAAAAAATTGGGACTGGACCTAACAATCCTGTGACTGGATCTATGCAATTAGGGAACAATGCATCAACCAAGTTAGTGAGCCTGGCCACCTGATCCTGTTGGTCACCTCTTATGAAATCTAATCTAAATCTAATATCTTCACGAGTCAAATATATTATGGACAAACAGAAAACATGCAGTTTTTTAGTCAGCTGAACAAAACAGTGGAATCCAGAAAATTTTTTTTTGAAAACATGATTTTTGAGATAAGAAATGCTCTTCTGGAAATAGTATTACACTCATTTGATAAGTGGTAGATGAAGTTTGTTGCTAAACTAAACAATATTTCAGTTACATAATGCTGGCCAGTACATAATGAAGTCAGGATCAGACAATCCAGTGATTGACATGAGCAATGACCCCCGCTGTTGGGGAAACGACATTCTTTGAATCAAGTCACCGAGTGTGACCATCCATTGAATGAAGTCGCCATCCTGGGGAATTATATCAACATGGAATCCCCACAGTGGGAAAGATAAAGTAAAATAGGAGATTTGCAAAGTCTACATTAAGTACACACCTGCATTTCAGGAGCACCTCCTTCATCTCGTATAAGGAGAAGATAACTCTGCCCATCCAAGATCACTTCTTTCTTAAATCGCCCACCTGAAAGATTCAGTAAAACAAAATACAAACCTTATAGAGTGTTGGAAGGGAACTAACTCTTACTTTGTTTTGTTGAAAACCATTCAGAAAGATTACTGAAGCTACCATAAAATCTCCATACATTCTCACTTTGTCATGCATAAATGGCTAAACCTAAAGCACCTTCTAGGATTGTTGCACAGTGAATTAACTTCTTTTGGAATAAGATTAAGCCTGGCTTTTTAATGGGTAAGCTGATATATGAGCCTTGGTATTTACATGGAGATAGTTATACATCAACAGGCTGACCTATTTAGATAATGATCCTGATCACATCCTACATCTCTACTCCACAGATGTTCCTTCATACTGAAATCACCTTTGAAAAACTCACCCTTGCCTGGCCCATATTAAAACCCCATATAATATACATACTCCATTCATTCCCAGACATCTCTCAATGTAACTGTCATCCACCTCATGCCTTATTCTTGGTTATGTATTTAACAAGAGATGTATGTATGTATGTATGTATGTATGTATGTATGTATGTATGTATGTATGTATGTATGTATGTATGTGTGTGTGTGTATGTGTGTGTATGTGTGTGTATGTGTGTGTATGTGTGTGTATGTATGTGTATGCATGTACATATCATATATTTTGTTTCTTTTACTTAATATCCTCAAAATGTTACACGTATGTTTATATCAGTTGATTATGTATATGTCTACAAAATTGCCTGTGTTCTGAATATTTCTGGTAATAAATATATGTTATGTTATGTTATGTTATGTAATGTTATGTTATTATTGACAGCCACTCCTGAAAATATTTGCTTCATCCTACACCACTGTTATCATTTACACTCCGGCGGCATGGGTGTCCCAGTCATCTAAGGTGCAGCAATCCGCTGTGCAGAGTTGCGTCCCCTGAGCACGCCAGAAACCTATGATCGTGGGTTTGAATCCTGGTTTACCCCGATTATGTTTCTTGGTTTGTCAGCATCATGCTTCTGGGTTTCACCCAAGTGGCAAAATGTCTGAGACCTGCATCACTCCGGGCTTTCCTCCCACATAAAGCTAACATGCCATGATATAACTGGAATATTGTTCAAAGCAGCTGTAAACCCAATTCACTCACGCATTTACACTCTAGTCACCAACCACAATCTACATCTCTCATTCACAAACAGACCCCCACAGTACACAAGACATCCCCAACTGCCACACACTAATACCCTACACCACTGTCACCCCCATGATACACAAAACAGACACACAAGCACCTGACAATACACAGTCCACACCCTACTCCACTGTCACCCCCACAACACAGTCCACACCCTACTCAACTGTCACCCCTTATTACAGTCCACACCCTACTCCACTGTCACCCCCAACAACACAGTCCACACCCTACTCCACTGTCACCCCCACAACACAGTCCACACCCTACTCAACTGTCACCCCCACAATACAGTCCACACCCTACTCCACTGTCACCCCCACAATACAGTCCACACCCTACTCCACTGTCACCCCTTATTACAGTCCACACCCTACTCCACTGTCACCCCCACAACACAGTCCACACCCTACTCAACTGTCACCCCCACAACACAGTCCACACCCTACTCAACTGTCACCCCTTATTACAGTCCACACCCTACTCCACTGTCACCCCCACAACACAGTCCACACCCTACTCCACTGTCACCCCCACAACACAGTCCACACCCTACTCAACTGTCACCCCAACAATACACACTACACCCTACTCAACTGTCACCCCCACAACACAGTCCACACCCTACTCAACTGTCACCCCTAATTACAGTCCACACCCTACTCCACTGTCACCCCCAACAACAGTCCACACCCTACTCAACTCTCACCCCCACAACACAGTCCACACCCTACTCCATTGTCACCCCAACAACACAGTCTAGACCCTACTCCATTGTCACCCCCACAACCTACTCCATTGTCACCCCCACAACACAGTCAACACCCTACTCCACTCTCACCCCCCACAACACAGTCCACACCCTACTCAACTCTCACCCCCACAACAGTCCACACCCCCCAACACAGTCCACACCCCCACAACACAGTCCACACACCCACAACAGTCCACACCCCCACAACACAGTTCACACACCCACAACAGTCCACACCCCCACAACACAGTTCACACCATTACCTTCTGGTGATTCCTCCTGCATGTAGGAGCCTGTAAGGTAGCGGTGTACCAGAGCCGACTTTCCGCTTTGTACGCTTCCAAGAATACCCTGCAATAAACATGCATACCTTCTATGTATGAGGAAAATTCAGGTAACATGAGTCATTACTAAAATGTATAAAAATACAACAAATATTGCACTATAAAAACTTTTGAAAGTCAACAATGAATTTACTAGTTGTGTACTTGTTCATCTGGTGCAGATTCACCACACAATGTTTCATACAACATAGTAAATAAATCTTAAAGTACATCAACATATACAATATGACAACTATTGTATCGATGCTGCCACTGATATGTTGGTCTGTACATTTCCTAGTCTGAATAATGATAACAAATCAGGACACACCCCTTAACAAGCCCTGAAATTCTATTAGACTCCTTTAACATGACACAAACTAACTCAGACTACCAAGCTCAAGCCAAATTGCACCCGTGTTCTTTTCCATTGTTTATATACAGCTAGGAAAGTAACTTGAGAGCATAATCAATGAATCAGCAGTTTTGCAGTCATAGTGAGTGTAGTGAAAGAGAGTGATGGTACTCATGATGCAAGCTTACATCATCAGCAATGTCTTCATCTGAGCTGATTTCAAAATTCACACACACTTGAAAAAATATCCCATAATCTACATGGGCTACTGCAATTGGTATTCTGGGATAGATGTCCCAGTGCCCCATGCATGTCGTAAAGGCCACCATAACAAGACTTTTTAATCATAATATGTGATCTAGCTGATTGTGTGTCACGCTGTCATCACTAATTGTCCTATAGCCTTCTCTTTATCAGAACTGCTGACTACAGCGTAAAACAATATTCAGTCTATAGCAGTCCTAGGCATAACCTTCATCTAAACATCTGAAGATTTAAAGAGTCTCTAGATACAAATACCACAGCAAATTCCCCCAATTTCAAAACTGAACCAATTTATTTTCCCTTCCTTCACCCAGTCCTTACTATGATGCTATATCCCTAAATGAAGCAAGTCTAGATTTTCAACAGGTTCAACTGAATCTCCCATCACACTGGGGCTCCTTTTCACTAAACAGAGTCGCCTGTTTCTATCCAGATTTAATATATACTACTCAAAAGAAGTTAAGGATCACCTGATTCTTTCATATTACAATAGTTAATCTCTCATGCCATGACAGATTAACATTACCAATATGAAAGAATAGGGTGATCCTTAACTTCTTTTGAGTAGTATATTTTCAGAGACTAAATGTTAGTCTATCTGCGTGTAGTTGGGCCAGAAACATTCTTTCGCATTCTTTTAACTTCATCCAATTATAATGAAGTCAGATAACTAAACTCCCATCAGTGTCCCCTCCAGTAAGCAACCACTCTTACGTAATCATGTAAGTGTCTGTGCACCCTGATGTATAATACATGAGCATCAATATGCACCAGTCCTAACAGCTGATATCAGTCTCATCCCAGATGGCAGCACAAGTCACTCACCCCCTACTAGTCTCTCACGCAATCTGTCCACTTCAATACTCTCTTAGTGGGTTTACAACAGGGCAATTACTATCAAGTCTTGTGTGAACCAGTAAGTGGACACTAATTACTGCCCACTATTACTGGAAGTAGCTTCCCCAAGAGCAATATGCTATCAACAATGCTTTCATATCTTTCCCGCTTTACAAATCTTGTTTCTTAGGGCTAGTCCAGAGGACAAATAGAAACCTTTTTTCACTAGTCCTTACAGTTTATAGCTAGTCTTGTTGGAAAGAGACAAAAGTGTTTGCTGTGTTTTCTATGAGTTTTATTCTGTTCCAATTTGTAGCAAACTTGAAGCATTGAAAACTGGTTTAAATTAATAGCCCTCAAATCCTACTAGTCAATCAGGACTATCAGGATTTTTACTTGTCCTCAGGACAATTTAATAGTCTCGGGCTAGCAGACTAGTGTGAATTTTGAAGGACCTCTTTTGAAGAGTCTTCATAAAAGCAATGTACAAAATATTTATACGAACATTTAAACAAATAAGTTTATGTAACTGAAACCAGCATTACATAACTCAAGGCAGAAAGTAAACAAGGCAAGTGAGTGCATGTTGATGCCTTTGACTGGCACTTTGCAGTATATGAAGACATTAAACTTCTTCAGTTCGACAAAAACAATGCTTCCAGCTTTACTTTTGAGAGGAAGCCCTAAAAGGACATTACAAACAATAAAGATTGATGTTATCTACAAAAGTTTCATGTCTTCATAAACAAAAGTTGATTAATGCTGTGAGGGGCTGTGGGATAGCCTAGTGATTAAAGCGGTCGCTTGTAACCCCGACGACCCAGGTTCGATTCCTCACATGGGTACAAATGTTTTAAGCCCATTTCTGGTGTCCCCCGCCGTGATACTGCTGGAATATTGCTAAAAGTGGTGTAAAACCACTCACTTACTGATTAATGCTGCAGCAACCAATATCCCAGCGATAAGGCCAGTAAGCATAGGTCGATATTATTCACAATGTCCCACACCGTACAATGACACACAATCAACCAAGTCATCAAGCCTGACCATCAGTTGGATTTTAGCCACCTCATAAAAACAAGCATAGATTATTTGGGACCAATTCTATCCTTGAATGCCATTGGGATTCTAAACAGCTATAACGTACAAATCTATTTTGAACTTCGACATATCTGTAAGGGATGATCATTTTAGCCACATACACAGATTATACAACCAAGTGAGCGAACGTTGTTTTATGTCACAGTTCACAACTTACAGCCCTACTACAACTGGCATGAGGTATTGGGGATCTGGGGCTGTCCAATATCCTAATAGCTATCACATAATTGGATTGGTGTCAAATACAACTTGCTCGACTTACCAGTTTGAGATCTGGGACTGAGCGACTTAGTGTCCATTCTTGACTGTTTACAAATGAATCTGGAACAGAAGAGAAGATTGTTGTAAAAACTGCAATATTGCACATATTTCTCTGAAACAAAAATACCTCAAACTCCATAAATTACAAACACTGTTAGTTTGAGAAACATTGCTCTCCTTGCAATGTGATGACAAACTCTAATGAAAATCACAGAAAGTATGTGAAAATCAAGTATCCCCGAATCTGTCTCCAAGACCCTAGAGAATAATTCAAAAATAAATCAAACTCAAGTCAGGAATGATTTGGCAAGTCTAGATTGTTCTGGGCTCCATTTGGATTTTATTTTGGATTTTGTAGATAAATATTCTTAACTGAGATGACTTTATTTCTGGGACTAAACGTTAGTCTAAGTAATCCTGCCATAGCTCTTCCACTGATTAGCTGTTAGTGTACAGTCCAGGAGGCAGGTCAATTTTGACCAGATTGTAGATTTTCAAAGATTTACAATATGTTTGTGATGCAAACTTAGTTCCTCCAATACTTGCCAGGCACTAGAGCAATTTTTTATAGTTATAACATACACGCTACTGCCTTGCATTAAGGTCGGCAGTGGATGAGGAACTCTAGAATGTCTCCTGACCCCACGTTACTGACCTGCAGACAGTTTTATTACAAAACAAGATACTTCTAGATTGGGATATTTTCTGCAAATTGCACTCGAGTAGATATAAAGTATTCACAAGTGTTTTCTTGGCTGGGAGATATTTGAGCTTTTCAGTAAACGAGCTTGTAAGTATTTCAATGTATAGAAACCACTCCTTCTGTAACCTTGATGCCCCAGTTTCCTGACAAACTGCCAGACATCACTAGCACTTGACCCACAACAAACTTTAGCGTTTACACTTGATACAACGAAAAAACAAATCTCCATTCTAATATAATCACATTCATGGACTCAAATTCTTTACAAACTAGAATACCAATCTCATTATTCACATATTACAATGAAATGACATGTGTGTTGGAGAAGGAATAGTAAGTGTGTCACGTGTGCCTAATCCATTATTTCTTTTGCAAAACAATATGTTTACATACACAGAACCTCAAACAACCTTGTACGCCTGTTAAGCCCTAAGACAGCTAATTGTGCACACTACATATACCACTTCTGTAATTACAGTTAAGACAAGTGGATAATCTCATCTGGCCTAGTTGATGGCTGTTTCATGGCACTGTTACAACAGCAATCAAATATCACCATTAAGCCTGCCTATATAAACAAGACACAAGACATGTCAGAGGATAGTTGAAAGGGAGATAACTCCTACGGCATCTTAAAACCAGAAATGTTTATGCTACTCAAGCGACAACCCAATATTTCACCACATCCGATAAACATACACACATGCCTATTGGTACAAAGAAAAGGTCAAAATCACTAACTTACAGTTTTGCTTTAAGTCCTTCATTTCTGCTCACTAATCTCTTTTAAAAGAATAATCGATGTAATGAAGTCTAGGTCTTCAAAAAAGTCCACTTAAAGTCAGAAGTAAGCAGATTATAACAAACGAACACAATAGTCTTTTGTGAAGAGGGAAATCCACCAGACGAGGCCAGTGAGACAGAGATATTGACTTTTTAGCAATGATCCCTCTTTCAGGAACTACAGTATTGATTTCCACAATTCCCTCACATTCTACCATTCTGTTCACACATCTGCATCAATTAAGTATTTTTACGTACTAATAACAGAGACGGTCTGGCTTGTTTTTCGGATGTTTTCTGTATCTCAAGTGAAGAAGCTGAAATTTATATATACGTGTAACGGCTGTTGTATTGATCCGATAGGCTGGCTATAGATCACTGCCACCAATCCTGTGTGAGGATGCTGTATCACACACACACCACAACTCACCAGGAACCATGTTACGTATACACCATCCGTCAGCTTGTTTTAACCATGTTGTACAGACAGTGACCATAGCCACTTATGAAAATCACAGTCGAGTCAAATTGATGTTTCAGGCCAAACTCAGGCTAAGATAGTCTGTCTGTTTAGCGTAAATTACATACAATTCAACAGTGATTTCAAATATCAATTTTGATAATGTTTATATATCACGGCAATTAACTTTGAAATGTTCTTGTAATTCCAAATGCAAAGTAATTTGATTCCTGCATAGGACGTTCCTATGAAAGTTCCTGTGAAAGTTCCTAGATTCCTCGATCCTTGAAGATTCAAAGGTAGAATAGGTCTTCAGCAACCCATGCTTGCCATAAAAGGTGACTATGCTTGTCGTAAAAGGCGACTAACGGGATCGGTCGGTCAGGCTCGCTGACTTGGTTGATGCATGTCATCGATCCCAATTGCGTGGATTGATGGTCATGATATTAAGCACTGGATTGTCTGGTCCAGACTCGATTATTTACAGACCGCCTCATATAGCTGGAATATTGCTGAGTGCTGCGTTAAACAACAAACCAAACCAAACCAAACCAAACCAAAACCTAGATTCCTCAACCACAATCAAGCATGCAGGGGGACCCTACATGGCGATGATCACACTGGGACGATGGGATGATCCACGTGGAAATTTAAGAATGAGTGAATTTTAAATGTATCGAAGTGTGGAAGCAATATATATCATGATATGTAACACAATATGGCTTATGTATTGCAGTATATTGTGATAAGTATCACAACCTTTTGTACTGCAATATGTCATGATACATTTCACAATACAGTGATCGCTCGCTATTGCGCTCTTCGATAAAGCGCTACTTCGGTTATTACGCGCGGTAACGCATGGCTCCCAAAATTTATGTACACTTTTAATACTGAGAGTTTTACACAGACATGATTGTATTGTTGTTCGTTGTTTATTTGCACATAACGCTTCTCATTGCATAATCAACGGTTTATCGCTGAATGGAGTTCTAATAATCTGTTTGAAAATATCCGCGGCAAGTCCCGGAAATACGATTGTTCAACTAGTTAACTTTTCACACTATACATCCTTTGATCTTAGAAGCGCATGCATGCAATAAAAGAGAACCACAAGTGAAGTTTATATTCTTAATTAGTGGGCAATCCAATTTAAGGCTAAACTGTCACACAAATGTAGTTGCTGTCACAACACGGCGGTCATTCATTTCGTAATCGCGCTTTCGTAACATCGCCTGTTTTTTCCCCGTAGTTATAACAAGCGATTTCATTGGATTAAAATTTGTTTCTAATGACGCTTTCTTGCCGAAATCTGCTACAAGTTTCGTGATTGGTCAATTTTGAGCACGTGACCTCAGGCAGCCAATCAAGCTTTGATACAAAGCTCGTGTTTGATAAATTTCAGAAGTTAGCGAAAGATTTTTTGTTAAATCGTGTTATTCTGAACGTTTTAAGCAGGAAATCACGATATATATTAAAAATATGGAACTTCGCGAATGTATCGTGCTAGGTTACGAGCTGTGACAAAGATTTTTCATGCATATATTTTTGCATTAAACGTTGTGTCCGAGCCGAGAATTCAAGGCGACGAAAGCCGAGATGTCATTTGACTTACATTACACGCGATCGCACAAAACGATGGAAATAATAACTTAGATGTAAGTTTGATTACTTTTAGATATATTTTTGTTGATTTTATTTATCACTTTGTATAATATATTTAAAGATTTGCTTAAAATAGTCTATATTTTGCTCTTTGACATGTTCGATGCGGACCCGTTGTCGAAATGTGTGTCCGAGAATTTTATTTTCAATAACATCGCGGGAAATAGTGAATAATTTTTTAATTTATTGATAAAAAATGATAAATTAGAATGGAATACGTATTTCAGACATTGTGAAATATGACAGATTTAATAAATGAATGATATTACAGGTAGATCTAGGTCCATAAAAATATATACTATTTTGACGTGACGTGAGATAAACACATAGGCCTATTGATGATTTGAGATTTGCCGAGCGCGCTCCCCCGCCTCGGCTTCGGTTAAACGGCTCATCGTCTATAACGCCCACCAATTATTTGGACCCCATTGGTAGCGCAATAGCGAGCGATCACTGTACGACCTTGTGTATTGTATTATATTATGATACTTATCGTAATAAGACATGTTTTGCAACATATCCTGATACGTAATACGGCCTTGTGCATTGGTATATATGTGATACATATCGCAATAGGGCCTTGTGTAATGTGCCAATTGTGAACACTACGTATACCACTTCTGTAATTACAGTTAAGACAAGTGGATAATCTCATCTGGCCTAGTTGATGGCTGTTTCATGGCATCGTTACAACAGCAATCAAATATCACCATTAAGTGACCTCATGGACAGTGATACATATCGCAATAGGGTCTTGTGTAATGCAATATATCCTGATACGCAATACAGCCTTGTGTATTGGTTTTTATGCGATACACATCACAATAGGGCCTTGTATATTGCAATATATCCTGATAGGTAACACGTCCTTGTGTATTGCTATATATGTGATACACCTCTCAATAGGGCCTTGTATATTGCAATATATCCTGATAGGTAACACGTCCTTGTGTATTGCTATATATGTGATACACCTCTCAATAGTGCCTTGTTTATTGCAATATATCCTGATAGGTAACACGTCCTTGTGTATTGCTATATATGTGATACGCATCGCAATAGGGCTTTGAGCATTGCAATATATCCCGATAGGTAACATGGCCTTGTGTATTGCTATATAAGTGATATACCTCTCAGTAGTGCCTTGTGTATTGCAATATATCCTGATACGTAATAGGGCCTTGTGTATTGCGATATATCCTGATAAGTAACAGGGCCTTGTGTATTGCAATATATCCTGATACGTAACACGGCCTTGTGTATTGCTATATATGTGATACATATCGCAATAGGGCATTGTGTATTGCAATATATCCTGATACGTCACACTGCCTTGTGTATTGCTATATATGTGATACACATCGCAATATGGCCTTGTGTATTGCAATATATCCTGATATATAACACAGCTTTGTGTATTGGTATATATATGTGATACACATCGCAATA